AAAAACTTTGTTCTGCGTTAAATTGTTCACTATAATAAACTGTAAAATGAAGCTTTAACAGTGAGAAATAAGCTACGGTTCTCTCGAGAGAGTAAAAGTACGTTACACAAACTTTTTAGTCACGAAAATAAAATATAATTTAAAATTTTTCTGTGTTGAATATTCAAATAAACTATAAGTTTATCCTTAGCAGTAAAAATAAGGTTCTCTCAAAAAATACCTTTCATAAACTTTATAATTAAATTATTTAACATTTTTCCTTTACTTTCTTTTTAAATATTGAAAAATATATATCTGATCATCTGTTATAAAGGCTTTCTCAACCATTTCTAAACAGAAGTTCATTTAATTAAAGGTAAAACCATTGACGTAACCATTAATATTTATGGTCTCAACCTTTTCACTCTTTCTTTCTTACTTTCTTTGCTGCCTCACGCTTGGTTAACTGGCAATTCTTCGTCTTTGTGAGCCAACTTAAAAGGAAATTGAAGATGAAGCGAAGCGCATGGAATTTAAATGTGAGAATTTCAGTTTTCTTTTTGATTTTTTTTTTTGTTTCGAATTTCCAACAACAAGAACAACAATAGGGGGCGAGTCCAGCGAATATGAAAATTCGCCAGAGGCCTGGCTCAACCTTGGAAATGAAAATCATTTTCAACCCTTTTTTAGTGGTTAAGAAGAACAAGGTACAGGCCCCCCCGAGGAAGCTACCCCACATCGTATTACTGGGTCAGGTTTTCCTTGGGCTACCACTCGTTAACTGCCCAACAGAACTCATTTCATGTTGTTGTTGTTCTCTTCGGTTTTCCTCTCTTGTTTTTCTTATTTTCTTTTTTGTGTGTTACTGCAGCAGCATTAAATACACATATAATTTGGCAAAAATAAAAATAAAAAAAAAACGAAAAGAAGGGCAGGTGGGTGTGGTCATGAGCCAGGCGTATCTGACGCTGTTCTTGTCGTTTTGGGAGTACATAAAAGCATAAAAGTAGGCGAATGAACTGTTTTTTGCGAAATGAGGCAGCAAGAACCCCAAAAAAAGGGTCAAGCCACATATATTAAGGGACCTTTAGATGGAAATATCCTTAAGGCTAACAACGAATCCGAGTTAACTTGGTCTTATTAGTGGTTTCCGATTTTTAAAACTGCAAACGGGTTAAACTCTAATTTTATGTATTATTAAACTCATTAAAAACTGTGGAGATCATAGAAACGATAATAAATATCATATATATCACATATTTTTATTGGAAAATAGATATAAAAGAAATGTAATTATTAATTAATTACAATTTCCCTTGCAATTTGTGAAGAATTTTAATACATTGTCCCAAATTTAATCCTGTTTTAGCATACATTTTATAGCCAATGAAAATGTGTGTTTTCCGTACAAAATTCTAAATTAATTCTGCTGGCTTAACAAAATCTACGCCCCCAAATTGTGCATGTGTGTGGCCTCCATTTGGATGACACCCTTGGGTCACATTGTATCCGCCCATTCAACTCTTTGCCACTTCTGGTGGCACACACCTTTTGGAACTCAGTTCATCTGACGACGTGCCATAAAATTTGTTTTCAATTAACAAATTGTTTAGAAGCGACGATAAAAATCGATGGATCAAACTTTTGTTACCTTTCTTTTTCTAATTTAGGTTTGAGTTTAAAGGAAAGCGATTTCAACCCTAATCAATATAGAAAATCATCTGGTTTCTAGTTGAAAAATTCTCTAGTTCATTTATCAGTTAGATGAATTCCAGGAATTCCGCTTCCATCGAACAAGGAGAATTTAGGAAAAGGGATGCAGGATGCAGGATTCTTGCTCTTCCTTTATGCACGGCAAATTCCTACATGGTTAAAGCAACTAGCTTCAAGAGGAAGGACGAAACTTTCCCTTCCCTCTGGCAAATCAAAAAGTTTTCAAGAGACGGAAAAGAAGCTCTGTTGAGAGAATCTTGGCAGACAAGTAAGTTTCAACAGTTAACATGACAATGACGATTCTAAAAAACTTTGCACAACCCAGATGAGATAAAGTACCTTGTCTCACAAAGGCACAGCATCTTTACATAGATATACCATATGTATTTACTGTATATTCATACGTTTTTAAGGCTGGCACTTGACTGCGAATCAATAAATCAAACCGCAGAATGACGGCTAACAACAAATACTATCTATATATATGGTCATAAGCCGGTACAAATTTGTGACTCACCAGACAAAGTTGAAATACAAAAAGAAGGTAAGAAAAAAGCAGCGAAAAAGCTCAACAAAAAACTCCCACATATATGTAAGTATTAAGTACAAAGAAAAAAATTACTATTTGGATTTGGCAAGCAATCAAAATAATAGATAGATAGACGGACAAGTCAGTAAATAACAAGAAAAGCTCAAAACAAGTGAGGAAATAGATAAATATATAAATTGAATTCATGACTCGTAGATATTTACTGCATCAGTGTCATCTGCGCTTACAAAAACCAAATAAAATAAGTTCAAGTCACACAAAGTCATACCTTAAGTTAATTTCTATTAATTAAGGTATAATATTCCAGAGATTTTAATATATCAGACCCTTAAGAATTGTATGTATATAAAAATTGTATCCTTTATCCAAGTAACTTCGGTTTAATAACTTTACAGAAAATATAACTTATTTTAGAGACCAATATACCCTTTGTAGGTAGGGTACTCAATGCTGCGGGCATTTCCACTACATGAGGGTTTGAGAACAAAAAGGCAAACAAAGGCCATGTGACAAAGCTCACACAACAAGGTAAAAAGGCAAAGAGACATGCAAAAAATAAGAAAAACTGTTACATGAGAATGCAAAAGAGGGGTGTAAGTCACTCAAGGGGAGAGTTTTTAATTGCATTCGCATTACTCCACTTTTCTCTCCATTTATGCGGGCCAAAGAGAATCAGTTATGAGGAGAGACCACTAGTTTGTTATCAAAGCCAACTGATAGACTTTTTTATCAAGTGATAACACCACACACACTGATGATTCACTGAGTAGCCTGATGATTCACCTCATTCAATTTGTGTGTGGCCCACGAGTATAATTCCAATAGATCGTTTTATAATAACTAATTGAGGAGGAATGTAAATAAACTTTTTATCGCCCAAGCGTCATAAAGGAAAGTCGAACTGTCAGAGTGAATTGAATTTTTGGTATTACTAAAAAGATATACAGAATATATCAACAAAAAGAGGAGTTTTAACCCACTTTAAATATCTTTAGCAAAAAATTTGCATAAGCCTTGTGTGATAATGTAAACAATTATTCTGTTCTCAACCTTAATCACAATCGCTTACAATTTATAAAGCGATTATTTCAGCATCATTAACTCATACAAAATACAGCTTATTCGGATTATATTTTTATCAGTGCATTTGCACATGATAAAGTGGAGAATGGGTCGGCAGGGAAATATCGTCTAAGGTCGCTCTGGGTGACAACGATGACTCAATTCAAAGCCCACATTCACATCATGAATCCGGGGGAGGCGCGAACTCTGTGCATGTTCGAATCACATTAGAGGGGCGATATAGACATTCATACGCAGTCGAGTCTCATTCAGAATATTCCGCTGACAGGAAGCGTTGGGGAAGCGAGAAAAGAAATGAAATGATACATGATAAACGGCCTATAATATACGAGAGAACTTTAACAGATAATGCTTTCAAATTAAACACGCAACTGACACGATATCGTGCTCTTCTGCAGAGGGTCATCGTTTAAAAAAAGACCTAGACAAAAGACTAATGAATGAAGCGGCATTGAAAAAAGGTGCCTATGGAAATGATCGACTTTAGTTCGTAATATATATAATAAATATGCAAAGAACTTTGCTGCTTGTACTTAAAAGTTTTATCAAAATTAAATAGCCTTCGCTAATTAACGCTTAAAGAATTTGCTGTGATAAAAAAAACCAGAAAGCTGTGAAATATCTTAAATGTATTTGGGCTTTCCAGAGTTTGTTCTCCCCAAAACAAATGTGTGACTCGATTCCCTATGAGATCATCAACAATAAGATGCTTTTGTTATAAATAACAAATGAAGAAAACGAGGCAAAATGAGAAAATAAATGCATTTACTTTGTTCGAATTCATTTGCCTGACGAATAAATAAATATTTGAACGCGACATTTTTGCAACATTGGTAATTGATGATAAATTAAATTCTCTCGCTTCCACGTATTTACAAATGAAATCAACATCAATCGCAGTGTATTCATAATGTAATTATGGAGAAAGAGCATTTTTTATAGAACTCTTAATAATTATTATTGTACTATAAATATTCATTATCTCGCCAATTGTTCATATCCCATTTAGTTAAGAGAGAGAATGTGTCTATTAATTGAGGCTTTTTATACTGACGGCAAGATGACAAGAGCCGAACGATATATATAAACATATATAGATAGAAGTGAATGCGACGAGGAGGCAGAATGAGGAATGCCATTAAATATAAAATGAGATTTACTTGTAGAAGCATAGTAGTTGATAAGGAAATTATAAGCTATTATTTCACTTTATATTTCAGATAATTGAAACCCATAGAACCATTGACATAGATCCCAGATAATACCAAAAATTCTTGAGTATCCAATAATAGTTAGAAATTTGAAATTTAAATGAAGCCCAAGAATTTATGTTAACATACATACACTTCCAAATAGTATCCCCTAAAACCCAATATACCCATTTATACCCCTCAATTATTGGGTATAATTAGCTTTTCTTTGTTTTTGCCAAGATCTCGATTGTCGACGCCGCTTCACACTCTCGAAACTCGAAATGTCACAACAACACAAAGGGCACGAAATTCATTAATAGAAGTGGGCGGTGGAATACCTAAAAGGGGCGTTGTGGAGAAGGACACAAAACTCGACCTTCGACAATTATTCAAGTCACGCGGGAAAACCCTGGGCGTAGAAAGAGTATTATTGCCGCCTAAATAAAGAATGCTAAATATTATATAATAATTTCGTAACTCACCTCAGCGCATGGGAATGGAGCATTGCAGCTGTCAATTTATCGCTGGAAGCTGTGTAGAGCTGGAAGTCTGGAAAGCTGGAACGCGGACTGGAACCTTCAGTTTGACAAAGAGCTTGGCAGGGCGGAGTCGCGTTTTATTTATTTTCGATTTGCATTTTCTTTTCTTTTATATGTTTTGGGGGCTTTAGATTGCATTTTGTGGTTTAAATTGAATTGCAGCTTGATTGATTGACATAATACGAAGTTGGCGGCGAAATTCGTTCGTTTTTAAAGCGATTTTCGGTTTTTTTTTTCACTAGACGCGTTTGTTAACTGGGTGTTGTTGTTGTTGCTGTTGCAGTGGCTATTGTTGTTATAGTGGAAACGTGCTGATTGTTGCTGTTGTCATTGCAGTTTTTGGTTCGTTTTCATTTTGCATTGGAAAAGATCAAAAGGTAAACGTACGAGAGCGAAAAAAAACGTGCACTATGTTGCATTGTGATCGAAAAATCAGAACGGAAATTTCTCCAATTCTTACAAATTTGTCGTGAATTTTTCTCTATAATTATCGGCATTATTTGGTGGTGCATTAACATATTGCATTTCCTACTTAAAAGCGAAAGCATTTCTCCGTGTTTGTGTGTGTATATATATCTTAAATCACAATTTACATAATTTAATTCTCAAAAAACTCATACAGATTACGTTCGGTATTATAATAGAGTGATATAGCATATCTCTTGGATTCTGTATGCAGGTTATAGGCCATGATGAGCATGCTACTTGCTGGCTTGGATACTATGTAAAGTGAATCCAAGTATGTGATGGTCAGGTGCAGAATGTTTGATTTAATTCACATATTATTGTTGTTAAATTGTTGAAAGTTTGTAAGATTTATTTTGAGAGCGGCATGCCATAGAATATTTGTTGGTGTTTTTGGGTTATGTATTGGGGATAATTTGAATTCGATTCCGATTGTTAGTTTTGTTTTATTTGTTATTATTATTTTTTGTGGTGAGATGGGAAAGAAAGGAAAATAAATTAGGTTAATAAAAGAAAGAAAAAGATTATTAAAGCGTGTGTGTAGTTGTGGTGAATGTGGCAGTGTGGTAGTGTGAGTGTGAAATGAAATCATAGCTAAAAACTCAGCTCCAACTTATGGCAAGCGAAAAAAACTAGTTTGCAGGGAAGTTAGTTTATATTTATATTGGCATAAGAAACAAAAAATAAGAGGAGGAAATCATAGCAACAAAAAACTTGTTCAATTGTTTGCGCAATACCAACAAAATCTATAAAAAGCAACAAAAACTGAATAATCAACTTTGAATTTAAACGATTTAACGATTAATTTGAGTCTGTGAGTTGTTTACTCTGTTAAGTCAGCATTCCGTCAACTTCCTCAAAATGTTGGAGATTCGTTTTCAGTTTGTTTGCTTCGCTTTATCAACTTCTTCATTGAGAGAATGTTTTGAGAGTTAGCTATTTATCTATAGTTTTATAATTGTATATATATATATATATATATGCTGTGTGTGTTTTGTATAATTTAGATATATATATATAAATATTTATATATGCATTCAATAAATATGAACATGTTAAGTAAATAGCATTATAGTAAATAGTCAATATAGTTATTATCTAGCATAATAAACAATCTTTTTATAATAAATATTCAAAAGTTAACTAGAGCTTTGTTGCATCCTTCTCTTCTTCTTCATCATCTTGTTCAACATCATCAGTGGGTGAGTGTGTGAGTGTGGGTGAGTATGAGGCTACTTTTAGTGAGAGTTTTTAACAGGACAAACTAAACTAATTGAACAAATCAAAACTAAATGCATTTTCCAAGTCGGAAAAACAATTGTCTTCTTGCAACCGTTCTCCTTTCTCTTTTTTTTTGTTTGTGTTTCTTGCAAAGCATTAGCAGTGAGAGTATGTAAGTGTGTTCCTTTCTTTTTATTATAATATTTACTTTTTTAATTTTTGTTTTTTGCTTCGCATTATAACAATAATCAATAAAATTTCATGTTTTTCTTTGTTTGCAATTACTTGTTTTGGAGTTGTGTTTTTTTTTATATTACTTTTTCGCTTGTTTCAATTAGCAATTTTCGTTTTATTTACTTAATGTTCTGATAGCTAACTTTTGTGTTTTTGTGTGTATATAAGTTTTAGACTCCGGAGACTCTCTTTCTTGTATATAACTGAACTAACCATACATTTTTCACTATATATATTAGCTGTAATTGGTGTGATCCGAGCCCTGCTAATCATGTGTGTGTCTGTCCTCACTGGTTGCGATCTCTTACAGTTTAAGTTTTTCGATTTTTTATCATTTTCTCTGGGTGGGTTGCGCAACATCCTATAAAGGGGTTTTTTACTCAATGATAATGTGTGTGTGCGGGTTATGGGAGGAGGATGTGGGTGTGTCTGGCATATAAGTAATTGCATTCGAGATTTACATGAAATAACTGCTAACATATGAGGCCGCTAAGATGCCCAGCACAGTGAGGCAGATCAGTATCATGATCTTCTTTCGGCGGGCTTTGCTCTGGTACTTGAGCGCCTTCTTGGTATCCTGAGTTGCCGTCTGCACATAGTCCATAGCGTGCTCCACATGGTACTCAATGCGATCGATCATCTCGCCCTGCGACTCCACCAACATGGCCATGTCCATGAACATGTCGTGCAGCTCCTTAATCGATGTCTCCAGCTTCATGATGTCCTGGTGCCGGGCCTCAATATCCGCCAGTGTCTGTTTCGCCTGCTGTGTCTCCATGATGATGCCCTGCGTGAACACCGACGAGTTGCCCTCCTCCAACATCTTCTCCAGCTCATCGTCGTTTGTCGGCCGGCCGGTGATCTCCAGCTGACGCTGTATCCTTCCCTTGCAGCGCTCTCGGTAGTCGGTCTGGGTGCGATTGTATTCCGTCATCACCTCGACAAACTTTCGCGACAGCGTCGAGTGCTGCGTCTTCCGGATACGCAGATCCGCCGACGACTTGTTCTGCTGCTCCTCCTGCTCGATATTCTGCTCGATGCCCTTGAGCTTGCCACGCACCCGATTGGCGTTTTTCTTGATGTCGGCCATCAGGTCCTCCAGCTCCTGCTTGGTCTTCTCGTCCGTTTGCGGGGCAGACAGGATGGCCGAGTGCTTCTTCTTGACCTCCTCAACGTTATCCTGCACTTTGTCGATCATGCCGCGAATCTCCTCCACCTGGGCGAAGAAATCGTCCATGTACGAGTCGTGGCCGTCGACATTGACGGCCACCTCCGTCTCCTCCTCATCGTCGGATTGGGCGGCATGGAGAGCGGCTAATCTGTCCTTAGTCATCGTTGTGTCTGGCTGTTAATTTGGGTTTTTTTATGTGGGTTTTACTCTTTGTTTTTGGTAGGATATGGGCGTGTTTTGGAGAGTTTTCCTCCCTTGAAGTTATCCGTTTTTAGAGTTTCTTTGGGGACTGGTTTTGATTTTGAAGTTTTGTGTGTTATTTTGTTTTATCTCTGGGGTTTTTTCGTTGTATTATTATTATTATTTTCTTTTCTCAAGCTTTACGTAAGCTTTTGTTACGCGGTCTCGCAGATTGCGTTTTGCGATTAGCAGTTAAACGTTAACGCACACCAACACACACACATACACATAAACAACACACGTGTAAGCGCGCGCGGAGTTTATTATTCGCTTTTAGCAGCTTGCTTTTTAACTTGTTTGCACGTTTTTCCCACTACAAAGCGAGAGACAGAGAGAAAAAGTGGGATCTCTTTATTGATTTTCCGCCGCTCTCTTTTATGGTTTACTTTTAGTATATTTTACTAAACTGACACTATTTTTGCTGCAATTCTTGTTTGATATTATTATTCCTTCTTGTGTGTGTGTGTGTCGTTATTTCGCGGATGGTATGCGAGAGGGATGGGGGAGGCGGAGAAGGCAAAGAGAGCGCGTGGTTGCGGGCGGCAGCAGCGACGTCGACGGCGACGACGACAGAGGCAGTGGCAGAGCACCTCTTCAATGCCAGCAGCTAAAAAGCTAAAGCTGCTGCTGAATTAATTTTTTGCTTCTTGTGACTCACGGCGCGGCGAGATTGCTGCTTTTTTTAAAAACAATATATAATTTGAAGCTTTTTTTTCTTTCGCTTTGGTTTGTTTCACTTTCGCACAAACACACACGCACAGTTACACGCACACGATAAACGATTTTCGGCAGTGGGAGAGGCTCCCAAAAATCTCTTAAAATGGGCAAAAAAATCGATTTCTGCGCAAAGCTCCAATTCTGCCGTCTGCTTTTGCTTCAGCTTGTGCTACTGCTGCTTCTTCTTCTTCGCGGGGGGTGTTACGGTGGGCGTTATTTGTTCTTTCTCTCCTTTTGCTCGCCGTTTATTTTCGTTTGTTGCGTACGCGTCGTCTTCGGCGGCTCCGGTGGTTAGAGTGAGACGCACGACCGACCACCTCTCTCGCACTCGCACTAGCACGGCTGTCTTGGGTGTCACACGATTTGTTGTTGTTGTCGCCAATTGTTTTCTACCCGCACATTGGCAAATTGGCAGAATTAATGATTTTACGATGTTTCTTTATTACACTGAAAACCGAAAAATCATTTCGTGTTATTTTTTCCCGGCGACTGAATATTTTCGTTTATATATCCGCCCGATGCTTCCGTTTTCGCCGAATTTTTTTTCGATATACCCAAACAATAGAGGTGCGCAAAACACCAATGAAAACATCGATGCATCGATTTTCTAATTCATCGATGTTTATTTCAACCATCGATGTTTCTGAGCCATCACTAACGAGGGAGCTTTGTGTAGTCTTATAAATCACACATTGATAATAAACTATCTCGGCTATTAGTTTTCTAAGTTTATTTTATGGGGCCAAGTTAATAAATATTTGTATTGTTAACACAACCCTAAATTAAATGTTTTAAAACATTTATGTGTCATCGCTCACCTCTACCAAACCATCCAAACAATCAGTGGTGCCCGTTTAGCTTACTTATACATATGTCTGGTTTTTTTAAGCTATAACTATGTTACTCAACAGTGCAATTTCATAAGCAGACCTGTTAATATTCTGTTAACCCTTTCATCTGACAGCACGAATGCGACCCGTAGATGTTATCTACAATGAGGGAGTAATTTTACAAGTTTACAGAAAACTGTTACACGTTTACAGAAGCAACACGATACTATCGATATATTTATACAAGACGATTATTCGATTATTCTGCTCTCTCGACTGTTTATATATTTTATGTTTGACTTTTTGACTATTACTTATTTTCTTTTACTTTTGTTATAGGAGTAACATTTTCTGTATTATTTGTATTTTAACTTATAATAATAATTTACACAAATACTGACATGCCGAGTTGGGGCTAAATATGCCAGCACATTCGTTCCATTACGTCAGCCCTGCAACAACAATAACAACAGCTAGTTCTGGTTTGTTTGTGGATCCCATTCGTTTTTGCATCGCGAAACCGACATGCGCGTACGTTTTTTATGAATGAAACGCGACCGGCACTTTACTTAAAGCAACACTAAGTGGGAACTGGGTGTGGGGGCTAAATGCAATAATAACCCGATCGGTAATATAGGTGAATGTAATATAATTAAGTAAAACAGAGCTCATTTTTGGGCGTTTTACAACACTGGTCACATGGGGAGGCGGGCAGTTCAAAAGGAGAAACATTAACTCGAATCACTAAATTTCACTTTATAATAAATACAAGTAAGTGATTAAGTAATAAAATCTTGTTTGTTCGCGGGAAATAAAAACGTTTAAATTACTCGAGGCTTTTTATAAATGTCATCAAGTCCTGTCAATAATTAGGATAATCATTCTGTCACTTAACTAGAGTGACACTTTAGTGCAGTGGTGACTTTAGACGTCAGAGGATGCAAAATATATTACTTGGTTCTTGGTGTTCGCGGCACGGTTTCCACAGATTACAGATAAAAAGAGCGACATAAGGTAAGGAAAACAGGTGCACTCACCGGAAACTTTGTCTGCAGAACGATCCCACATATTTCGTCGCCGACGAGGAACTGCTCGCCGAGCATCGCCATGCACACATTCTCCCAGGCCCGTTCAATCTTGTTCTTGCGCAGCCGTATCACCCATTGGCCACCTTTGCTGTTGGCCGGATCCTCCCACATCGGCTTAATGCCCTGCTTAAATAGACTGAGCTCCCGGTAGGGCTTTAAGGCGGTGGGCCGGATGAGGTGCGAGTAGAGTGACCACCATTGCTGCACGCTGGCGCACCGGCCGACCACGTGCAGCGACTTGCTGTAGTCGGCGGCCGCCCGCTGCGTCCCCTTGCGCGAGAACCAGAGGCAGTATGTGTGCTGCAGACGATTCTCGCCGGGCCCGACTTCCAGCGGAGGCAGCTTGTCCACATCTATCTCGTTCTCCACATCGCTGTCGTCGCTGTCGACGAGATCTGGCCAGATTTTACTGGAACGGGCGCGCATGTCAAGATAAAAAAACAGTTTTTGATTAGTATGTCAAGGGTTAGAACTCAATTTTCACACTTGCCAACTTGCCACCACAATCACCCAGCAGTCTAGGCCCAATCGTTCGCATATTACATCAAGCTGAAAACATTTTATACTATCATGAAACTGTCCATTATTACGCTGGACCGGCGTACCATCAAGGTGGAGATGAGCGACTCGCAGGACGTGCGCACGCTGAAGCAGCGTTTAAGCAACATGCCTGAGGTTGCCATGCCCGCGGACAGTCTGCAACTAATCTACGCCGGCCGGATAATGGAGGACGAGTTGCCCCTGAGCAACTATAAGATAGCCGAGGACAAGAACATCGTATTGATGGGAAAAAAGATTGTACCTCCGCCAAAGGAACAGGAGCAGGAGCGGAAACCGGAGCCTGTGCCTGGCATTCCCACAGCGCCGCCAGCCGCTGGTGCCAATGAGGCACACAGCCAGCCGACGGTGGCTCTCCCATCGATAGCTCCCAACGAACAGCGGGTGCGCGATCTCATGGAAATGGGTTACGGCGAACAGGAAGTGCGAGACGCCTTGCGTGCCAGCTTCAATCATCCGGAGCGGGCAATAGAGTATTTGATCAGCGGAATTCCTCCGCAGGCCGCTACAGAAGCACAGATGTCGGCGGCCCAGCAAACCGGGGATCCGCATCAGATGGTGGCCTCACCAGCCTTGACTCGTGTGCGACAAATGATTCGCGACGATCCGCGCCTTTTGGACCAGATCTTGGCCCATCTGGCCGAAACGGAGCCGGAGGCTTTCGAAATCATTCGTAACCATCAGGCAGAGTTCATGGCCCTGATTCAGGGCAGCGATAATGACACCGGCGGCGAAACCGTGCAGGTGAACCTAAATGCTGACGAGGCTGCCGCCGTGGGACGTCTGGAGGCGTTGGGATTTCAGCGGGCCTTGGCCGTGCAGGCGTACCTAGCCTGCGATAAGAACGAGGAAATGGCCGCTATGATTCTGTTCAATCAAGCCGAGGAGGATGAGGATCATGATCAGGAGCAGTTGCCCTAAATAAAGCGAGAATGCGCACGTAAACGGTGCCCAGAACATAACCTAACAATCGCACCAAGATGTGAGCGAGATGCTGGCCCCGTTTATCGGATGCAACAGCGGGCGGACGGGCGGGTGATTAGTGGGTGGCGGCGGGAGGTGTGATCCACTTACGACTCGTACTGCTTGTTGGCTACTTTCTCCATGCTCATCCTGGCAATGGCTTTTGCGTCTCCTGGTACTAGTGACTGGGGCTGATCTGCCTGCTGCTTGCTGGTTGTTGTTCTCGCCGTGGCTGCGTTGCCTCTGGCTGTGTGGATCCCGCTGCTCCAATGGGACGGAGGACCGCTGCGTTCCAATTGCTGCTGCTTCTTCTGGCGGAATTCGTTGGTTGCTTTTAGCTTCAGAGCTCTCCTTTGGCTGCGCGCGTATGTGTGCGTGCGTGTGTGTGTGCGGGGTTTTTTGGTGGATTCTCTGCTCTAGGCGATTTTTGGGCCGCCGCTTCTTTTGGGGGTGAGCGGTTCGCTTGGGGCCGCTCTTTGGTTAACAAATGTGCTATTTGCGGGTATCCAGTTGTTTATGTTGTTGTTGCTTGGCTTATTTTACGGCTTATTTCGCTTATTTTTGCTGCAGTTTTGACGTTTCTTTTTGTACACACAACATGCGCTGATTGGATTCCACTTGCAGTCCACATTCCACGCGGCGCTGTCAAATCGGTGCAGTGTTGGAAAGTCGAAGCTATGTTTTTGCATTAATCAACACTACCCACAGTGCAGATGCACACCCTTCAACGGAGAGTATATATGTTTTGCCAATGCCTGGTTATAAATATATAATGCAAATTCAGTTATTATGTTCGAGTTGTTAATTCACTTTAAATGAACAGAATATTATTCAATATTTATAGTTTTCTATAGATTTCACCATAAAGTTACCAAACGTCGTCATGGACATACAACCCCAAGCTGCAGTTGAATAATTTTACGGGGTATCCGTCTATCGACTTTTTCTGTCACATTCGGTTTGTTTACGTTCGCTTGGACGCCGCTGAAAATGGGCAAGAGTGAGAAAAAATCTAAGAAAAGACACAAGGAAAAACGTAAGGAGTTTAAAGCGAAGCACAAATCCTCCAAGTCCAAATCAAAGAAGCACAGCCGACGGAAGCAGGAATCTCCGCCTCCTGCTGCTCCTCCTCCGGCACCAGAACAGGCGGAGAGTAGCAGCGAGCATGATGACTTTGCCATACCAATAGGTCCGTAAGAACCCCCATTAATTCTTTATCGTTTGCGTGTGCTTGCTGAACACTCTACCCCACAATAATTCAAGCACTGATGAACAGCAAATCACACGCACCCGAAACGCCGGAGGAGTACCAGCGACGGCAGAGCCAAATCCGTCGCGAGGTGGACCCCGTCACCGGGCGCACGCGCCTCATCAAGGGCGACAGCGAGGTGCTGGAGGAAATTGTGACCAAGGAGCGCCACGCGGATATTAACAAGAAGGCCACTCGTGGTGATGGCGAATATTACGAGGCCCGATCTCTGGATGCCGCCAGGCGACGCAAGTGAAGACCAAGCAATAACCAAAGCCACATTTCTTTGTCTTTTTAGTAATATAATTAATAACTGTCAGCTTAATTAAACAAAAATGCTAGCTCCAACTATATGTACACGCGAAATCATCCGTGGAAATTTCTATTTTTTTTGGTGCCGAGCTAGTACAACTGATGGAAGAAAGTGGTGCTGCCGTCCTGCCAGGCGGGATCGTCGCTGACCTTGGCTCGGCACATCGGACAGGTTTGCTCTCGCTTGAACCAGGTCTGCACGCACTCATCACAGAAGATGTGGCCGCACTCCAGCACAATGGGCGTGTTGAAGGCGTCATGGCAGATAGGGCAGAGGGCTCCCGCGGCATCCAATTCGTCTTTGGTCGGCGGTCGCTCAGAGTCCTGCATGGAATTCAATTGGTCAATGGATGCACACAACCCTTTATTTTTATATCCCATCATTCTTACAATATTCTTCCTGAATGTCACAATAGCCTTGTGCAGGGACTTGCCACGCTCCACCAGCTCGAAGATCTTGGCGCCCAGATAGAGGGCGGAAAACAGGCCACCGGACACCACCTCTAGGCCCGAATAGGACTCATAGAGGAACAGGAACCATTGGGTAATGGGCGCTGTAGCCCGGTAGAACTGTGAAATGTACTCCACCAGCACATAAAGTCGGGCCTGTGAATGGGTATATGTACATATGGACATACATATGTGTGAATATACATACATATATTATTAGGGAAATCCTAGAAATTTGAACCGTCACAATAATCACAATAGTCACAATAAGTATGTACGTATAAAGCTCAACTTTAAACAAAAAGCAATAGCGCAAAGAAACGGAACGGGGAAAAATAAATCATAAATAAACAAATAATTCTGATTAGTCACATTACTAGAAATGCAACTGCTAAAAGTATGAGTTGAAAAGTTGGCCACAAGGAAAAGCTGAACATAATCATTGCAGTTAATCAGAACTCTATAATAATGCGTCATTAAGGCTAATCAAAATGGTGAATACTATTACAAACGAAGAATATATGTTTGCTGTGCGATAAAAGGGATTGCAGCAACATTAAACTAAAGATTAAGTAACGATCCCATGACTCACCCGAACTTTAAGGCGCATTAACGGATGGGGCAGCATCGTTATTCCCAGTTTTATCAGCATGGTGAGCAGCTTCAGAATGAGATCACTTACAGCAATGTAGTAGAGCATCATGCCCAGGGGAATCACCATATTTTTATTGTTACTTTCCGCCAAAGAAGCCGACGACGTCGACGACAATGTGGGATCGTCCGGCAGCTTGTCCCCCACATCCGTGATTCCCGTGTGAAAAGTTATTGTGGTGGTAAAGTAATCCCTGGGTGGCGGCACAATCAGACCGAATGGATTTGGCGGCGTATTAGCCAGGAATAGGCGCACCGTTACCACCACGGCAATTAGGCAGGCGTCTCTCACCAGCACGGCATAGTTCTTTTGGGCCAGTCTAGCAACCTGGTTTCGCACCGATCGGTTCACATTGTACATCACCGTTTGTAGCACCAGCAAATCCAAAATTCCCAGCAGATGGTCGTGTATAAACTTGATGAGCAGTATGAAGATTAGCGGCAGATAGCGTACAAAGTGGCTGAGGATCTGCACAACCATGTCGTCGGATATGAGGTGCTCGTCCTCAGCCTGATGCTCATGGGGCTCAGCCGGGCCATTAGCTCCGACTCCGATGCCGCCGCCACCGCCGCCTCCTCCATTCTCAGTCCCATTGCCATCGCCGTCTCCCAGATCCCGACTGTTATTCGGCTCATTTTCCTCAAAAGCCACCGGATTGCTGTGTAGTCCAATGACGCTGGCATTGTGCCGACTGCCATTAAGGCCATGATGGTTGTGCCGCATTTCTCCCTCGCGCAGAGAGATGCTCCTGCCCATAGCTCCACTTGGTCCAGCTGCGGCTCCCGATCCCACACGGCCGAAGCGAAGCGGTGAACTGACAGGTTCTGACACAGGTTGTTGTTGCTGACCGAGCAGTATGTGTGCGTTGTCCTCGGGAACAGCGGCTTGAAAGGGAACGGCTGCAGCAGGTGCAGCGGCCGGATACCTGAAGTTGGAATGTGTGATAAAGGAGCGCAGTGCCTCCGTGGACGGTGCCGTGGAAAGCGAGAAGACGTCGTTAAGGTTGACACGCCAAAAGCCCAGTTGTCTCACACTGGCTGCTGTTCCGGGCGAAGGGGCAGTGGCAGCTCCAGTCCCTGCTCCTCCTGCGATGGGCGGCTCTTCCAAACTGCCAGCATTGGCGCCCATGCTGCGGGACTGTTGCAGCCGGCGGTTCATTTGTGTGGTCACTCGCACCGGCGAGCTGCTGTTGCTGGCCGGCGTGTACGATCGCTGGCGGGCCAGGAAGGAGGACAGGATGTTTCCGTGGCGGGCTGTAGCACCGCTCAGACTGCTACTGCGCGCAGTGGGCACCTGCCCGTGATCCAGGCTAATGCTGGTGTTGGCCGCTCCTCCACCAACTCCTCCAGCGCCGACACCGCCCCCTGCAGAGGTCATCGAAGAGGAGGAGACGGGTAGCAAGTAGTCGTGTTCCGCAGTGGTTGACTCATTGTCGTCGCTCTCAATGCTGATGGACACACCTGCCGCTCCGCTGCCATCCTGCTGGCCACCAACTCCGCCTCCTCCTACTCCGCCTCCGCCTCGGTAGGGATCTTTGTTCATAGCCGAAAGTATCCGTGTTATTTTCCAGAATTTACACTTTTGAGAACAAGTAGTGTGACCGCAGTTCTGTTGCCAGGTTTCTATTTATAATGCCAGACGTCGACAGAAAAATAGAGGATTTCCCCCTCCACGGCAACTGGTCTTGAAGAGCTCATAACATGGGCGTTGCCAGACTATGCATGAAAGTTCGCGTAGTTATAATCAGCTGGCTGGGAATAAAAGAATACAAGAAGGTTGTTGAAGTTGAGCGATATGGCAGCGCCAGTGTTTGTTTAAGATATGGCGCTCCTTTTGAATATTTTTTATATTGGTTCATATTTTTTTATTTTCAGCCCAAATTTGCTATATGGCTGCTTAGAAACGGGTTCCTGTTTAAAAAATAGCAAAAATGTAATAGATAAGCAGATAAGGTTTATAAAAACGTACAAAAAAATAGTATAATTAATTTAAAATAGTTCATATTTTTGTATTATATTATTTATACAGTATACTCCCAAAATGTGAACCTTGCGTTAATTATAAGCTGTAGATGCAAGTTCGATCTTATTTACCTATGGGATCTTATTAGGAAGTTAACTTATATTAATGGGTTACTTTAATGATATTGAACTTAATTTTTAAAAATATTTAAGGTAAAGATAAAAAATACGAAATTAAATATCTACAATGCAAAATAAACATGAGATTGACATCTTTTTCGCCCTATTTACATAGCCAGGTTGGCCGAGCGGTCTAAGGCGCCAGATTTAAGCTCTGGTTCTCGTGAGAGAGCGTGGGTTCGAACCCCACACCTGGCAGTTCCTGGAAATCGAGTTTCCTTTTTTCTCTTTTTTTTTTTAATTCTTCAACAATTTAAAAAAGATTTGTTTAGTTACGATTAAAGTTGAAAGCCTTTCTAATAGTTATTATTCCAAATTTATGACGATTTAAAAGAAACAATTTTGTTATATGCCTTACCAATTTAATTATATAATGGTATGCCTTAAAACTAAAACAGCTCTAAAAATATGCAAAAAATAAATTAGTAATTAAATTTATATTTATTTTGTGTGACTCACAGACCAATTCTAATTAGTTTATTTAAAGCAGTTAAGGCTCTATTTGCCACGCTTGAAAACCCATTTCTACCCCATAAATTATGCAAATAATTTCAAATTTTTTCCTAGGCTGGATCTTGTGGGCCACCCTTATGTGCACCTACATACATATGTGCTGGTCCTTTGATAAGGATAAGGTGGAAATGGCTTAGTTAACCACCCAGCCAACCGCAATTAAGCTGACCCAAAGCCGTTGCTTGGCAACATTTGCATCGTCCGTCCACAACAACATCGAGCCTGGTTCAGAAGGAGAAAAACGTGGTCAAAACCACCACCGCGCCAACGGGTGCAAGCACCACCAAAACACACCAAGGACAAACCCTTGACGCTGAGCGGGTCAGTTTAGTTCGTGGCCATAAACAAAGAACACCCGAGAAAAGTGAAAATTTTAAGTATTACTAATCAAATGTTGATGCAAAATATAATACAAGCTCTAATGGGTAATATTAATATAAATAAATTTAAGTTCATCAAATTCCAAGTGTTTAATATCAAAAAAATCAATCAAAAATTGTAAATGTATTTTGTGCCAAGTTCAAGAAAGTAAATAAGAAAAAAAGTTAAAATTGTTTTTAGTGTTCTCTTTTGTTTCTTGTGGTAAATTATAATTTGTATTACTTATTTGAGAAAGCCATGAGAAGGAAACAATATGTTTACGAACTTTAAAAGGGAACAATCTGGGTGACCTTAATTTAAATTGTTCAAAAACACAGGAATACCATAAAATGTTCAAAATGTATAAAATTGATGAAATCTTGTTGTATAAAATTTTTTTGTAAAGTATATAAATTTTTAAATCAAAAACTGAGAATTTGAATATGTTTATAAATAAGCAACAATGTACTTTATCTAGTTGCTTAAATGAAAGTTCAAAACCGAAAAGGTTTCTGTGGGAATAAATACGTGGAAATATCAAACATTTAATATCAAAGAAGGTGTGATATATTTACAGGATATATCCTTAAAAATACACCAACCTATAGAAAAAGTCATGAAAGTTACCAAACCCAAGGACAAATCATTGCCAACGAATTAGACTTTGCCTAAATTCCCATAAAACGCAAACAAATAACAAAAACCCAAGTCAAATGGGCAATTAAAATATAAATATAATTTATTATATATTATAAGTAAAGACGAATATAGTGTGTGTTGGTGTGGTTGTGTGAGTTCGTGTGGTATATGTTTTTTTTTAAAGAGCCTAATCTTCTTAGATGGATGTTGAACCCCATTGGCGTAAACAAAAAAAAGAAATAGTATAAAATGCAAAAATATATACTATGTACTATATATATTGTTTCCATTATTGATCAGTCTGTGTAATCTCTCTCGCTGGCCCCACCCTGTTCCCTGCTCCCTGCTCCGTGCTCCCGTGCCTGTTGCTCCCCATCCTCGGATGCAGTGGCTCCCCTCTCTCCCTCCTCGTCCGTTCAATGAACCGGCACCGTGATGCGGGGCGATAAACTTTTGGCTGTGGCGCGATTCCGGCGCTGCAAAAATAGCTTCACGTTCTCGAGCGGCAGCTGGAAGTGATAGTAGGCGCAGTACGGCAACGGGTCCCAGTAGGCGAACAGCGCCTCCCGCTTGTCCAGGGCCGTCGTCGAGGTGCTCCGCTCCAGCGCCGACCAGCTCCAGTTGGGCAGCTCGTCCTCGGGCAGTCCTCGCCGGTGGATGCACTTCATGGCGCGGCACAGGAGCTGGGCATGCGATCGATTGTGGCATATGTAGGGCAGGGCCACGCCCAGTCGCGTGCCCAGTGGCACGAACTGTCCACCATGGGCGGGACTCTTGACCAGGCGGAAACTAATGTGTCCATTGATGGGCCTCTGGAAGCGTACCTTGGCGAAGAAGGAGCGCAGCCAGAGCTCGATTTGGGCCTCGTCGTCGCTGGGCACGGGTATGAGGTTCTTGGTGTGATGCTCCACACGGCAGCTGACATTGGCCACCACCCGCGAGTCCTTGACGGTGGTGCAGGTCACGTAGTGATGGTAGCCCGGCTGATCCCTGACCACCAGCCATGGCTGTCGCTCGCTAATCTCGTGCTGGTTCAGCTTAAGCTCCGCCCTCCGGTTGGGCAATATATACTTGTGCCGCTCGAGCACTCCCTGCATTCCAGCGGCCATCAGGATGTTCCTGTAGCTGCCCACAAATCCGCTCTCGTAGATCTGCTGCAGCTGTCTAGGTGCCGTGAGGACGACATGAGCTGGCAGGGCCATCTGTTGTTGCTCGCATCTCTGGAAGAGCTGCATGCAGTCGTCCAGCTGCTGGGTCTCCTGTACTCCCGGAATAAAGCTTGAGCAGCCGAGCACCTCCAGGTGTGGTCTGGCAAGGGCATCGTAATAGGCCGGACTGGTGGCACAAACGGGTATGTAGACCGCTGGCCGCTCCTTCTTAACAATGTGGCACAAGGCAGCTATGTACTGGTCAGGATTGCTGGCTGTGGGTCGGGGCACCACGTAGAACTTATCCACCGCCGTGGAGAAGCGGGCCAGGCCGAATAGTCCTTCGAATTCAAACACAACCACACGAGCTCCAGAACTGTAGAAGTTCCTTGCCAAATGAAGAGTCTGAATGGTGCTTCCGCAGCTCAGGAGAATGGTCTTCTGGCGCTGCACTGAGCCCAGTTCCTCCTCACCGCTTAACAGCCACTTGACCAGGGCAATGGGCACCCTTAATAGTTTCCAGAAGATCCAGAGGAGGGCAGACAGCCAGAAGCTGGGAGCCGCTATGGAGAGCGGTATGTACAGGACGTATCTCAGGATGGTCAACACCAGACGCATTAGCAGCTGGGGACCGAAGAGGAGCACCCGAGTCCCAAAGCTGGGCTGCGGCGGTGCCTGCGTCTGGAACTGGCTTCGCAGGAGACTGCCATCCGCCGTTCGCTGACGTCGCAGGGTCACAAAGTGTCGATGCGGCGTCTGCGCGTCCTTGTCCTCCTCCTCCTCCGATTGACTGGGATGCTCTGGTATTAGGTCCAGGGAATTGATGCGCCGGAACTTGGAGCGCGAGGCCTGGCGGAGTTGCCGGGCATGCTCCTGGCGCAGTAGCAGATCGTCCAAAGTCTGCGACATCTTCTTTTCACACTCTCTCTCTCACACACAACACACTCTCTCGTGGAGTCGCGTATTCCTCCGTGTAATCTTTGCCGTATAATCTCCGCCGTATAATCACCGATTATCGTCGCCGTGCTGTTGCTGGCAAAATCCGAACTGTGACTAAAGCGCGTTTTAAATAGGAGCTATACTTTAAACCTACGGGATGCAGCCGGGCCGTGCCATATTGATAACCCGCCCCAGGCACATGCCCATCGGCTGGGATCGGCCAATACATGCCCATACCTATGCCACTGCATGTGTACACAGGGAGAAATAGCGGTATGGGAAAGTTAAGAAAATTAAAAGATTCCTGAACTATTAATCAAGCTTGATATGATCAGATAAGGCTAAGCTTTTAAGTGTATTTGTTTTTCTGATAATATAATGAATATAATCAATTCAATGATCAATTCTATTTCTTTCTGTGTTGATATTTTGTCATCTAATGTTAGCTAATTGCGTTCTTACATTTCTCGGTCCGAAGTCTAAGCCGTTTCACAAATATTTTGTAATACTAAACTTTAGTCATTAATAAACTGATGATAAACATAAAGTTCATGCTATGTACAATCAAGAATATGTTATATTGAAACTATTTTCTTGACAACATTGTTGCCAGTGTAGAAAACCCCATACGTTTAGTCTCAAATCTATTGAGTTTCTATAAACGATTACCTTTAGTGTTTCTTTATCGCTCTGATTAGTTTATTGAACTGTTATTAATTCGGCTGGAAATAGATTTCAGACATAGTGACCATGATTAAATTGTAAGAACCTAACACTATCGTGGCGAGACAATCAGCACAACAAACTATTTATTCAAAAGTGACCTTAACAATGGTGATTTGCGATAATTTCTGGTAGGTCAGTATCAGAGTTTTTTCGGCAGAGCGAAAATTATAGTTGCTAAGCTAGAAATCTCCTAGGAAATACCTTTTCAATAGTGAGATTTTATTATATAAACAATTCAGAAATATTGCAAGTTTTACATGATATATGTCTTGGAAATCTGAATCGATAAAGAAGTATTTTCCTATTAATTATAGTACCTATTTGTATAGTTAGGCAGATTTTCTCCCAGTGTAGTGGCAGTAATTAGCTACCGCACTTATAAACACTATATATGCCTGATCAGTGTCCGAGTATTAGTGATATTGTCGCCAACTCTCCTCCGACTGATCCCCTCTTCTCCGCCTTAGTCTCCTCTTTGCCGGGTCCGCTGTCTGTGATCTTTGGCGATCGTTGTATAAATCATCACAGCTCGGAGCCCAGAGATTGCGGATTGAAGGTTTCATTAGCTTGCTGGATGGGCAACCGTTGTCAAGGGAAGACGGCAACAGAATCGGGGAAATCTACCGCTCCCTCGGTTATCCCTTGCTGGGATCTGCGGAGGAGCTTTGCGCCATCGATTCCGAGTGCGAATGCAGTGCAGGTCCCAGAGCCCGATTAGAGGAAGAGTGAGACTTTGATCCCAAGGTATACTCAATCCCATTTCTGCCCCCAACTGATAAGAGGGTCTGACTATGAACCCACCGCTCGCCGGAGTGCGACAGGCAGGCAAACTTATGCTGGAAATATAATCTCACACCTACACATAGTATAGACCTTATGGCATCGGGCCGAGATTAAAAACTGAAAGTGAAGCAAACAAACACCTTAATGGCATAACCAATCTTCGGACTTTGAGAGTCTGAGTCTGGGGACACATAGTTGTCGCAGCGGAGCTCGGAGCCTGGAGCTTCACATACCTATGAATATAATGTGATTTGTTTGCGCGAGTTTTATAGAAATCACCCTGTGTACCTGCCACTCTGATATTACCGCCTCAAGGTCGCTGTCCAGGTTAAAGCGAGGACTGATAAGGGCGTTGTTATATATTTAAATATCATCGTTTCAGGCGGTGGCTCAGGCTTTTTTCGTGGCCATTTTTGTTCGTTGTTGAGCCATAGAAATAGCTGCTGCCTCACCTATATGTGCCTGCCCGACCCGGGTCTATATTATTATTATTGCACACACATGCAGTTCTCTGATATGGACGACGGCGGCGATAACCCCGAGAGTTCGGGCTCTCCATCGCAATAGAATTCGCAGAGCAACCTGTGCCAGGAAACATCTTGACATTTGCCTTCGGCGAAGGCTAACGAAATGCTCGGATTTGCTCCGATCTCTGGGCATTACGTGGCTGCCGATAATCCCGCAGTTGATCTGCATTTTTCAGGATTTTGAAATCGGGGAATTTGGGGTATTTGTTGGATTATATTTGAACATAGCCTTCAAGGTCCAACTAAATTAACTTGGCGAGTAATATTTAGATACTGCTTCTTTAGTTAGTATCGTCTTCTGTGGCTTGTTTTTCGAAGGGTTGATCTATTTACTCATAGAACCTCATTTATATGCACCGCAAATAAATCAAGAAAAGGGTTAATCGCATCGACAGAGTCGCCTCCTGTACCTTCTCGATTTATGACCCGGCTCGTTGACTTATTAAAAGCAGTTAAGCATGAACCATGTGACCAGCAGTGGGACTTGCACCGCCTTCAGTGCCACCAAGTTATCAACCACCAACGCCCAACGACAGCTGCACTTAAAGAAATTACTTTACCATTTGGATTTTCAGTTCAAAAATGACTACAAATTTAAATGAGTTGTGAGGTGAGGATTCAAAGAACCTATAAAAGACCAGAAACTCTGTCACTTCAACAATAGACCCTGAAACCGACTAGAAAAGGATAATGGGGAACAGATTCTAATTAAGACATTTTTAAGATTAAATGATGATTAAATTAGAACTTAAAATACTGAAGATCTCAATTGCGTTCATATAGTTATGCATATACATTTTCCCAATGAATAACTATCTTAGTAAACAGAAGATTTCGAAACCTATCTTTACGGTTTTCCGGAAGGGTCGTGACTTTGCTTAAGATCGTATCGGTATAACCGACTCTCGATTTTTCTTGGTGTACCCCATCGATATCGCCCCGATTTGACCGACCGCATTCGGAATATGCTTCGAGACACGATTTGCATTTGTTGCTCGCTCGCACGCCAAACATAATTGTGAGCTCCTCTTTCCGTAATCAATTGCGGTTGCCTCTGGTAACCAGGAATTTGTTAATTCAATGTTTATTCCGTCCCAGTCCCCCTCTGCCATCCGCTATTTCTGCAGCGCGGAAAGTTGCAGTCCCCAGACGGCGAAGCAGGCCCCTAATGGCGGTTAGTTCGAAAGGGGAATCCTTGTGACTTTGCCCAGCGCTCCTTACGCTTCCTTTCCTTGCTTGAAAAGTTTGGCTTTGGCGCTCAGTTGGCTCAGTTCCGCGGGCCCAAGCAGTTGTTCCGGTTCGATCCCATCCAGTTAAAGGCACTGATTAACTTTCCCTCCCGGAGGAGCGTTAGTTGCGTTTAGTGCTTCCGCATTCCGCAAATTTGTGTCAATTGCCACCAGGCAGGCAGGACACGTTAGTGGAGTCGCAGGCCTCGAGGCCCAGGATTCCGTGATAACTTGATGAGTATTCAATTGGAGCTCAATCAGTTAACAACAGTGTCTAGTGCGCGGTCTTAATTCAAGTTAAAAGTAAAACAATAAGTACATACATAAAGTTGTTTACAGAACTTAAAGTGGGATAAGGATATATCATATATACATATATCACCTACAGTGAGAAGTAAGTTGAACAGTTTTTAAATAGGTGCGAAATCTTAAACCATGGAATTGGTTTTTAATAAATTTATAATACAAATGGATGTAATACTAATCCATAATTTTAAAAAGGTTCATATCTTGTAAAAAAGCTGCAGATCAAACCTTAAGAACGGTATTGTGATTTCCTGGAATAAAGCTGCCTGTCTATTTTAATTACCTTTAAAAATTCTCAAATATTCCCTTATTTATCAATTCTTAGAACTTGCTTATAAAACCCTTACTAGAACACTTGAAATTAAACAATTTAAATAATAAGAGCCTTTTTTAAACCAAAATATTCAAGAAGAATTACAGATGGTATATGCAAATGTATGTATACAATGTTATTAAGAACATCATCAGAAAGAAGTGATGCTTATGGGAAAGTTAAATTGATTATTAGGAAAAATTTAAAACTTCTATTCATCAAAATTGACAGTTTATCCTTTAATAACCAATAATTAATTTCCCTTTGTCCCGGCTATATCTTTTATAAGCATAAACTTCGACGACCTCCATTTGACTGAAGCCACGATGATAAGTAGTAAATCTGAGACTAAAATAGAAAGTACAAGCTCCTTGTCGCTCGGATTGCATGCCAATTCCTAGTCGGTCGCACTATCAAGGATATTATTATTATATTTTTTATGGTTTGCATAAACACAAATGGCAAAATGGGGGCGGCATTGGGTGGTATGGGAAGAGCAGCATAAGGAGCTCAAAATTAGAAGACGCATTCGTGTCAAAGGAAGTTTCAACAACGGCAGAACGGCGGAAATGTTGTTTATTAAAATAAATACGAGGACAAGGATATTATTATGAGTTTTCGGAAGGGGCGGACATTGGGGGTGCACGGCTGCAGGACTGCAGGATGATGGAGTGGGGGTAAATGGGGGAATCGGGGGTGGTAAACACAAACACTTGCTGTCCTGGTGACAGACTGTGCAATGCGTGTTCTCCGGAGCAGGGGCTGGGGCCCGGAAAAACTATTTCCTCAAGTGGGCCCCAAAAAAAAATAATAATATCATTCGAAAGTATGGACGGAAGGCAAAGAAGTCCTGCCACTGGGCGGGATCCTTCGAAGAGGGCGCGCTAAGCTTGTTTATTTGCGAGGAACATCACCAGCTGTCATGACGACTGGCTCCCAGGGCCCGGAACAAGTTAATAAATCAATTTGGACTAACTTATCGAGTCGCTCTGGAGCGTAGGCGAGGCGCCAAACTTTTATCCATAAAGTTTTCGCCTCCTAATACCCTAAGTTTTCTTGGCCTAAAGGGTTGAATGGCTTAGAGGGGATTTAATTTTATATTTTTCTGGTGAAACTTATAATCTTTCTGGTACTAACTGAGAACTTAAGTTTTCTATATATAATATAAGCCTTGGGACACTCTTGACTACTTTATTGTTAATGGGTAAAAGCAAGTCTTAACCCTAAGCCACAGCAATTTAACTTTTTGACGCTGCACGCAATGCAAAGCCACAAAACACAGCAATTTCATCGAAGGAAACAAATCAAATTCACTCTCTGCCTCCCCACAACTCCTCCCACAGATGCAGGCGTATCGCGATAACTTCAAGCAAACGCCCTGCCCATCGGCCGTCGACCTTCAGACGGCGGCATCGGTACCACCATCCGCACCCACCGCTTCGCGCCTGCCCTTCTCGCGTGGCCAACGTGGGCGTGACCCATCGGCCAGTGCCGCCTCTGTTGCCGGTTCCGGCGTCCTCACGCCCAGGATGATGAGTCCGGGTCCACCGGGTGGCGGTGGGGGAGGAGCAGGAGTAGGTAGTGGCGATCCCTCGGCCCTGCTGCGTCAGAACCAGGAGCTGCGCCAACGGCTTGCGGATGAGTCGCATAGCTACCGTCGACGCCTGGACACCTACAAGCAGGCACAGCATAATCAGGCGAATCTGGTCAGCCGGCTGCAGTCGAAGATCCAGCAGTATCGCCAGCGATGCAGCGACCTGGAGGAGCGCATGCACGAGACCATCAAACCAACAGCCGGAACGGGACCTAAGCTGACCACGGGTCCCACCACCAGTCAGGTTCTAGTGAGTACCGGAAACCCTTCAACTCTAATGAACCCATTGTGACATGGCTCTTTTGACAACGTTTCAGTGCTCCACATCCCTGACTCTAGGTCAGAGCAGTTTGCCCTGTAGCTCATCGCTCGACTCACCGCCGCCCAGCTGCAGCCGAGACTATGTCCACGATGATGTCCTTGCCACCGGTGGGGGTGGCGGTACTGCTGACCTGTGCCGCAAGCTGGAGGAGGAGCATCAGCGCTGCGAGCAGATCATGGCCCAGAACAGTGCACTGCGTCAGCAGTTGGAGGAGTCCAATCGCACCAACGAGGCTCTGACCAACGACCTGCAGAAGCTGACCAACGACTGGGCGGGTTTGCGCGATGAGCTGCTAATCAAGGAGGACGAATTCAAGGAAGAGGAACAGGCCTTCAAGGACTACTATAACAGCGAGCACAACCGCCTGCTTAAAATGTGGCGGGAAGTGGTGGCGGTGAAGAGGTCCTTCAAGGAGATGCAGACGGCCATGAAGGCGGAGGTGGCCAAGATGGGCCAGGAGATCAACTGTGTGGGCAAGGACATTAGCGGCTCCAATGCGGCAGTTGCCTTTGCCCATCAGCAGGCCAAGCGGGCGGCGGATGAGGAGCTCAAGCAATCCCAGCGCAGCAACGACGAGCTGCAGAACCAGCTGGCCACGTTGAAGGTGCAGTACGAGAGCGCCCGCCACGAGATCATGGAGCGCGATCAGCGGCTGCTGGAGCTGATGAATCAGCTCAAGAAGCTGGAAGACCGCTGCGCGCAGGCGGAGTCTCAGGCCGCGCTGGCCAGCCGCTACAGCGACGAGATCGAACGTCTTAACAATTCCATGCGCGAGATTGCGCAGGCTGTTGTCCAAGACGCTGAGATCGCAGATCGCGAGGCAGACGCCGAGGTCACCGGCGGGGCCATGCAGCACATGCATCTGTCGCGTGACGCCGCCGCTGGAGCAGGCTCGGCCAGCACAGCCGGTGGTGGTGGTGGTAAATCCCCGCGTCGCAATTCGACTCGCGCCTCACAGGCTTTCGCCGAGGGCACCATCTCAGCCGTGCAGGCGGCACTCCACAAGTACCAGCTGGCCCTCCACGACATGCAGGTGAAGTTCCAGCACTCCAGTGAGACGTTGCGCACCACCAAGGCGCAGCTGGACACCAGCGAGGGTACCAAACAGCTGCTGACCACCAAGATGCAGCAGCTCACCGAGAAGCTGGACGCCAGCAACTCGAAGCTGTCGGAGCTGCTGCAGGAGCGAGAGAGTCTGCAGAGGGGCCTGGACGATATCCGCACCCAGAAGCAGCAGTCTGAGATGGGACGTGCCGATATCAACAGTGCGGTGAGTAAAGTCTGGGGAAGATCTGGGTATTTTCCAGGGGTTTAGGGAGTGCGAATGAAGCTAAAGTGATATTGTTGCCGCTGACTTGAAGGTTTTATAGTTAATATTTATAATTCATTTCTCTGAATGACTTAACTAACTTCCTCTTATTTTGTTCAGTGTGGATGTCAAGGAGGATTGGGGGCGGATCAGTGATAGCTCGATTAGTGTCCGTCTGAGACTGATTACGCCGCAGATTGTATATTATTAATAATAATAACGCTTTCAACTTAAATCCGGGGTGATGCCATGTCTGCGTTGAATTACAAATTATGACCGCGGCGATTGCATTTGAAGCCGACGTGAACGGGGGATAAGTTCATAAGCACTCGGTAGATCGTATCGCTAAATGGGTTTATAGGGATTTGGGAAAGAACTGACGAAAGCTAAGAGAGTATATATTAAATCAGCTTCACAAGACGACACATCTAGACATGTCTTAGGCCCTACTATTCAGAGTAACTTTACTATATCATTTAGCTTTTACTTGTGAATGGTAGCCTAAGAATCATAAGGATATTTCCTTCCTGTTTAGATAATTATATTATACATCCCTACAGTTTGCAAGTAAATTATATTATAACTAAGCTTAAACTTATCGCATTCTTTGAATCAATATTTATCGTTATTTATATATGAACATTTTTTCGACAAACTTGGATTTTTAAAAGCTCATAACTAAGTCATAAACGCTTTATTTTCAATTCGGAAAGCACTTATATGTTAGTTTTTATTAGTTTTATAAATCTGCATACTGAATTTAACACTTTAAGAAATTAAAAATGTTATCAATTTTTGACAATTTTAATGATGTAACCCCTTACATAATTTTGAAATTTTCGAAAAATTTCAAAAAATGTTTTTTTTACCGGACATGGCTAGATCGACTCGGGTGTTAATGCTGATCAAGAATATATATGATTTATAGGGTGGGAAATGATTCTTTCACAGCGTTATAAGCTTCTGATTAAAATGAAAATACCCTTCAAAGGTATACATGGCGTATACTTAACGTGAAACCCCTTAAATTAAGTATACGCCATGGGAGTCTTAAGGGAGAAGAGTTTAAAAATGTATAAAAATAAGTAATGCTAATCAAAAAGCTAGTTTAGCAATTAAACTATAATATCGAATAGGAAATTGATTATAAATAAGCTTAAAACATTCACATCGACATATATTTTTTACGACAATTTTGTCCATCAATCAAAGTTTAAAAATCTAAAATCTAAGCCAAAAACGCATTAATTTCAATACGGAAAGCTTTCTTATGCTACTTTTTAAATGATTTTTAAATCTGCAAGCTGAATTTACCATTTTAAAAAATTCAAATTTTTGCAAATTTTTGACAATTTTAATAACCCCTTATAAAATTTTCAAATTTCGAAAAAAAATTCAAAAATGTATTTTTCGATCGGACATGGCTAGATCGACTCAGCTTTTGATGCTAATCAAGATCATATATGAATTATAGGGTCGGAAATTATTTCTTCACAATGTTAAAAGCTTTTGACTAAAATAATAATACCCTTGCAATAGTACATATAATAATAGGAAGTAATCTATTCAAATATAATATAATCTATTAATTATATAAACCATAGTCATAATTCCAAGACTCGACTATATGTCAAGATCACACTCTGATGATTATAGCAAAATTTGACCAGACGCGTTTCAAACAAATTGAGAAAGTGTGTATAGTTCTTGCTGACTTTGCAGAAAAGATTAAAAATTGCTGAGGTAGAGTAAATGCCAGACATTTTGTTTAAAACTAAGCTCTTATTGATTAAACTTGGGTTTCCAAGTCAGATTTTAACAGAAAAGTATTACAAATCTGATGTGTAAATAACCCCCGAATCCCTTTACTTCCTTCAGTTTGAGAATCTGAGCGGAGACTATGAGAAGCTTCAGCTGCAGAATGGAAAACTTCAGAAACGCATCGATTCCATGGAGGAGGATAAGAAGGCCGTGGAGCTGGAAATCCAACGCATTCTCAAGGACAAAAATATCACCGAACTTAACTTGAGGTAAGAGTCATAATTCGGAGATCCATGAAACCCACTTAACCTATCGCATACCAACAGATCCGAGGAGGATCGCAGCAGTCGCCTGAGGGAGGAGACCATCTCCCTTCGCGAGGAGCTCAACCGGGTGAGCCTTAACCGAGATCTGCTGGAACAGCAGCGCATCGAGTCGGATAACCTTATCAATCTGCTCGAGAAGCAAAAGTCCGATTTGGAGTACGACCTGGATAAGCTGCTCCTGGAGAAGTGCGATCTGCAGGAGAAGCACGAGAAGCTGTCCAGCAACAGTTGCTCCACCACCGACGAGCTGAAGAGCGTTCAAGGCTGCCTGCAGGAGGTGCAGGAGGAGCGCAAGAAGCTGCGACTCCAGTCCGCCGATCAGTGCAATGAGATCGGTGAGCTCAAGAAGGAGCTGGCGGTGCTGGACAAGGCAAGGCTTGAGCTGGAGACAGATAACCTGTCTGCCGGCGAGAAACTCAAGTGCTTGCAGTTGGAGAAGGAGAAGATACTGCAGGATCTGGCCTGCGTCACCCGGGATCGTGGCGACATCCACAACCAGCTTACGGCCATGTGTCGCAAGAAGGAAGCCTTGAACGAGGAGCTAATGCGAACTCGCCAGCGCCTGGAGCAGACCACCGAGACGAACAACCGCCTGAACAGGAACCTCGAGGAGATGGTCAAGGATGTGGAGGAGAAGCAGGTGGTCATAGATCTGCACGAGAAGGATACCCATCGCCTAAACGAGCTATTGGCTGCTCTGCGTTCGGAGAAGGAGTCCCTTGAGTCGGTGCTCTTCGACACTAACACCTCCCTGGAGGCCACCGAAGAGCGACGCAGCCAGTTGGAGCGCGACCTGCAAGAAGCCCTGGTGCGGGAGGAGTCCCTGAAGAACCACGTGGCCCGGCTGCAAAAGGATCTTGAGCAGTGCCAGCGGAAGGCACAGGAAACTAAGACGCATCTCATCAACGCAGCCCGAGCCGTCGAGAGTGACTTCAACCAGAAGATTGCCAATCTCCAGACTGCTGCTGAGGATGCGGCCAAGAGGCATGGCGAGGAGGTGCTTCAGCTGAGGACTGCCCTCGAGAAGCGAATGCAGCAAGCTCTGCAGGCCCTGCAAACGGCCAAGGACGATGAGATCGAGAAGTTGCAGGAGCGTCTGGCCACCTTACAGGCCCATCTCGAGAGCCTCGTCCAGCAACACGAGGAGGCCCTTATTCGAGCCGAGAGCGAGAAGCAGCAGGCCTTGCTAATTGCGCACCGGGACAAGCAGGCTGTGGCCGAGCGCCTGGAGGCCGTGTCCAGAGATCTAAAGACCGAGCAGGAGGCCCTCGACCGCAGCCGGCGAGAAGCCAATGCCAGGGATGAGAAACAGAGGGCGGGAATCGCACAGCTAAAGGATGAGATCGTTCAGATGCGAACCAAGGAGGAGGAGCACAGGTAAGTGATATTATTTCCTAGGATCTTTGGATATTATATTTAATCTTTCACAGGATTAAACTGGAGGAGTGCATCCGCAAACAAGAACTGCAGCTGAGCAGCATCCGGGAAGAGCGGGACACCCTCTGTCGGGTCAGCGAGGAGCTGAAGATGGAGATCCGGCTGAAGGAGGACAAGATGGAGGGCACCAACAACGAGCTGCAGGACGCCTTGCGCAAATCTAAGGAGGGTTAGTACTAACACATCTTCTCCTAACCCCAATCGTAATATGAGTCTTCTCCTCCACCAGCTGAGGGTTTCATCGACAGTCTACGTAAGGAGTTGACAGACAGCCGCCGGCAACTGGCGGACAGCAACATTGAGCGGGATAAGTACTCCGGCAGCAACAAGGAGTTGCGTGACCATGTTAAGCGAGTGGAGAGCGCCAAGCGGGAACAGGCTCGCGCCATCGAGGAGGCCCTGCAGAAGATCAGCAATCTGGAGGACTCGAAGAACTCGCTGGAGAACGAGCGCACTCGGCTGAGCACCATACTTAAGGAGACAGAGAATCACTTCACGAAGACCACCCAGGAGCTGAATGCCACAAAGGCGCAGCTGCAAAAAGCCCAGGTGGAATTCGCCCAGAAGGACGAGGGCGGCAAGGAGCTGCAGTGTAAGCTGGTCGCTGAAGTAGAGCTAAAGGAGAGGGCTCAGCAAGAGCTCTGCCAGATCAAGAAGCAGCTGTCCGACTTGGAGGCTAATCTCTGTGCCACGCGCCAAGAGTTGGGACGGGCTCGTTGCCAGAACAACCAGGAGGAGCACCGCTTCCATGCCCGCGAGCAGGAATTGGCCCAGCGCTTGGAAGAGGGTCGGGGCCGAGAAAAACGGCTGGAGGATCAGAAGCATAACCTGGAGGTCTGCCTGGCCGATGCCACCCAGCAGATACAGGAGTTGAAGGCCCGTCTGGGCGGAGCAGAAGGACGTATCCGTGCTCTGGATGAGCAGCTGTCCTGCGTGGAGCTCCACAAGCGGGACACGGAGCAGAAGCTCTCCTCGGTGGTGCACACTCTTCGAAGAATTGCCGGTATCCAGGTGGACGGTAGTGTGAATCTGTCCCACCGCTTGCTAAGTCCCTCACGGAGGTTCAGTCCATCCCGCAGCTGCGGAGACTACGATGCAAGGAGCACTTCGCAGTGCCCCGATGGACCCATTGATGTGGACCCAGACCTGGTGAGGAAAGGAGTCCGAAACCTCATGCACCAGGTGGCTCAGCTGGAGCGGGAGAAGGACGACTACAAGTCCCAGCTGGGAGCAGCAAAGAAGCAGCTGCAAGATGCCGCCGAGCAGCAAGTGAAGTGCGATGCCAAGCTGGGCAAGCTGCAGGCTATGTTGAGGAATCTCCAGGAGGAAAAGAGCAACCTGGAAACGGACCGTAAGATGAAGATCTCTGCAATACAAGCTCTGGAGGAAAAACTTAAGCACCGCAACGACGAGCTGATGATGCTACGGGAGCGCTTAGCACAAACGGAGATGCAGTTGGCGGCAACCTCAGAGGAGAATGCCCAGAATGAGGATCGTCTGGAGAAGAGCCGCCAGCAATGCGCTAAGTTGGAGAACGAGAAGCGTCAGCTACAGGAAGAACTGGCCAAGGTAGAGGGCAGGGCTAGTAAACTCGATCTCCAGCGAGTGGCCATGGAGGGTGACCTTACACGCCTTCAAATGGCGCTTCAGGAGAAAGACTGTAGCATCCGTCAGATGGCCGAGCGACTGGAGAACCAGAATAGAGCCATGACCCAACTGGAAGATCGCTGCACTGCCCTTAAGTCCACCGTGGATCAACTGAAGGAGCGGCTCCAAAAGGCCGCCGTGAGCGAGACCCAGCTGAGGGGCGAACTGAAGACACTGCAAAAGGAGCTCTCCGAGCAGGGTCACTGCGCTCAGGCCAACGAGGACAAGGTAAAACTCTTGCAGAAGTCCCTGCAGACCACCGAGAACGAGAAGCGTATCCTGACCGAGCGCCTGGACAGCGCCCAAACCAATCTCAACGAGCTGCGTCGCAGCCAGCAAGCCCAACTGGATGGCAACCAGAGGCTGCAGGAGCAGGTTACCGATTTGGAAGTGCAACGCTCTGCACTGGAGTCCCAGCTACGCATCGCCAAGTGGAACCAGGAGAGCGGCGGCGACAAGCCGCTGACCAACGGGAATGGAGGCGGGGGCGAAGAGGAGCTCAGCAGGCAGCTGAAGTCCACGCAAAGGGAGCGATCAGAGCTAAGGAGCAAGTTGCAGACATTGCAGGACAAGGTCAAGCAGCTGGAGTCCGAGCGAAAGAGTAAGTTTTCCGGCGGAAACGCGTACGATCGGGCTGAGAAGAACAACTCCTATTACGGAGGAGGGGCTGATTCCGGGGAATTCGATTCCAATCGATACGATGGAGGCAATGGGGGCACCGGTGGAGGAGGCTCCTTCAACTGTGGCCTGGATCACAGTGTGATCGAGCAGGAGACACGGGATCTTCGGCTAAAAGTGCGACGCCTGGAGACGCTACTAGCGGAGAAGGAGTCGGAGTTGGCACGTTGCAAGGCGCGCATGAATGACAGCAGCAAATGTGTGGATGGCATGGACTCGGATCGCTACCGCAGTGCCCAAATGCACGCAGAGAAACTGCTCGACGCCAGGGAGCAGTCGCACCGACAACAGGTTCTCCGGCTGGAAAATCAGGTGAGTGCTTGAAACAACATATTGATAAGAATGGACTCTACCAAAGATCAACACTTCTGTGACAGATTTCCATGCTGCGCGAGCAGTTGGCGCAGGAGGCTAAGAGGCGACAGCAGTATATACTGCGTAGCTCGAAGGCCAATCGAGAGATGCAGCACCTGAGGAGTACTCTGGGTGATTCCCTGAGGAACGTGTCCCAGCATCCGGTGGATGCCCATCTCCTGGAGAGTGAGAGCCGGCGGTGAGTAATAGAAGTCAAAGCATATGGTCCTCCACAAATTAATTTAATGACCTTTTTCAGCCTTGACTCGGCTGTCTCGATGAGTTTGCCGCCATCAAGCTGCAGGGACTACGATCGCGACTAGAGAGAGCTATGTGAAATTTGAGATTTTGTTTAAACTTGATCCCGCCAAGAAGAAGACGTAACGCTCACTGCCACATGCATTTATTTAGAGAGGCTTCTTGGACCTTCAACTCATTCGTTCTTGTTTGCCTTAGTACAATTCCAGCTGTTCATTGTCTGCCTCGATAGACAATCGAATATAGTGCGTTCCATTTAGTCGCATTCGATGTTGGCGATGAAGATGCCATCTATATCTACCTATACGCATTAAAGGGTCACAAGTTCCGATTCTCCCTGCTGCGAGGGAGAACACCGAACTATATATCTCATCACGATCAGTTGCATTTACATACATTTGGCCGGAAACACCGAAACTAGTCAGCACGAAACAAAGCCACAAATCTCTATACCTTAGCCATATCTTATCCTATATACGGTGCAAGTTTTATAAAATATATATAAAAGAGAATAACACACCTCTAATGAACACAGTAACTTCCGAGCTGAGTTCCTATTTCTTGGCGGGCTTCAGCTGCTTCTCCAAATACTCTACGACCATCTTCATGTTAGCTTTTTGATTCGATAGCTTGCCCACTTCGCCCACGATGGCGAACAGAGCCTTGGCTTTGCCCTTTTGGTATTGCTGAACAGCCTTGGTCTGGTTAGCAATGGCTTGCTGGCAAAGCTTACTGATTGCCTCGGGGCAACAGATCTGCTGCAGGTTGTGGAGTTTAATGAGCTGGAAGGAATCAGTGGGGAACCATTAGGAAATCATAAGTGTTAAGTGGAACCATTGGACCCACCTCAATGATTTTAACTCCGGGATTCTGCTGCTGTAATTCTATTAACTGGCGAGCAGCTTGAATATTTATCTGCTCCGAGTGCAGGTAACTTAATATATCCCTTAAATCATCCGCCTTAATGGAGCTGAATAGAATGGAAATATTAATTTGAGTTACGGTACATTGCTATTCTGTTTATGTACTTACCAATCCTCCACATCCAGGTTCAGCTTATTGCAGTATGTAAGCAGATCGTTTATAAGAAAATTGTAAATGACTTTATTGGGCAGTTGGGTCAAGCTGCGGCTGATGCTCAGGAAATGTTCGAGGAGAACAGGTTCGTTCTGGAAAAAATCACACCAAAGAGAGCTTCAAATAAAAGTCTCTTAATAGACACAATTACTTTATACGCACCACCAAAATAATAGAAGTATCTGCATTCAAATTGTACTGTTCTATCAGGCGCTGTCGCGTGTCTTCTGGCAGTTCTGGAATCTCCTCGCTGAGCGCTGCCACCGATAGCAGATCCTCAGTGGACTTTGATCCAGGCTTGAGGTTCACATGAAGCGGTGGAAGATTAGGCTCCGGCATGAAACGGTAATCTTGTAACACCTCCTTGTCACGCATGGCCACTGTGCGCCGGTTCTCCGCATCCCAGGACCGAGTCTCATTGGTGATTACTCCGCCATCGGCAACCGTTTCCAGCTGTCGGTTTATTTCGTACGTAATGGCCTGCGAGATGCTGCGAACCGAGCCAATGTTCTTGACTTCAGTGCGAACGCCCAACGGTTCGCCTTCCTGGTGAATTGATATATTGGCGTCCACACGAAGGGCACCCTCTATATAAATGAATGAATTAGTAGAAGGGACCATTAACTTGACGATTGGTTACCTTCCATCTTACAGCTGCAGGTTTGCAGACGTCGTAGTATCAGCATCAGTTCCTTGACCAATGAGGCAGCCTCCTCCCCCGTCTCCAGATCTGGGGCAAAAACGAGCTCCATCAGCGGCAGACCAGCTCGATTAAGATCAACCAGACTTCGCTTCAGCTGTTCGTCATGGAGGGATTTCCCGCTGTCCTGTTCCAGTTGAAGCTGTAGAAGTTTTACGCTTTTGTAATACACTTTTTTCCCTGGCGTTATTACTGGGAAGGTCATAATGCCATTGTTAGCCAGAGCAGCTCTTTGCTGGGTGATTTGGTAGCCATTCTAGGGAGCAAGATCAAAATTTAGATATGGTTTTAATATAAACTCCGGTCACTAACCGGCAAATCCGCATAGAAGTAATGCTTGCGATCAAACATGGACACTTCATTCACCCGGCAGCCTAGTGCCAGAGCAGTTTTAATGCCGGATTCCACACACTTTCGGTTAAGAACCTGAAAACACACAAATTATAAAGTAACAAGGAAAGCTTTTCTTGAGAGTGAGTTCTTTACCGGCAGGGTGCCCGGTATGGAGGCATCGAAGTAGGCCACAGACGAGTTCAACGGTGCTCCGAATGAGGTTCCACTGCCGGAGAAAAGCTTCGATGCACTGGCAATCTGAGCGTGCACCTCCAAACCCACAACGCTCCTCCATTTCCTGAAATATTAGGGTTGACTAGTTAAGCTTATAACTCTCTAATTAATTTATTACCGCTTGGGAATGGTGGCCAACTTAGGCTGCGTTCCAAACCGCCGGATTATTGAATAATACATTATTAAATAGCCGCGCGAGGTAATATGCTAAAACATAATACAATCAGCTGTTTTGCCTTTATTAATGGTCTTTCTGTAGAGACCAGTGCTGCCAGAGTTCGCACTTATCGGTTTGCTATTTCCTTTTGAAAGTTTTCGCAAACAGCTGATTTCGTTTCGCGAATTATCGATTTCGATTTACGCTGAAACTGCTGGCGATAACAGCAATATCACAAAAAAGTAACCTTTTTCATTTTCAAGACAAAACATGTAAAAAAGATGAGACTAGCAGAGGTAAGTGCAGCAAAAGCTCCACCACAACGTCCAGACACGCTCCACGCTTTGGAAACTTCAATACCAGCGCTCTCGTCTTCCAGTTGACAGCGACCAAGACGAGAAAAAGCACACGCAGCTCTGCAGAAGACAACCACGACGACGACGACGACGACGAGTGAGTGGAGCGGCAGGACAAGGAGTAGAGGTGGAGTAGAAAATAACAGATTAAAGTAAAACCACCATGGACATTGAGAAGATAATCGGTGACCTGGAGTCGAACATAACGCTGGAGAACGAGGAGGCCAAGCGGAAGCTAGTGGAGCTGTTTACGCAGAGTGAGTGCTTGTGAACTCAGCCTCTGGGTCACTCTTCTAGCATTTCACCTTCGAATTCCTCTCTCCACAGACAAAGACCAGTGGGTGGTGCAGTTCATGCTGGACTACTTCTATAAAACCGGATCTCAGCGCATTCTGGAAGTGCTTGTCAAGGCTCAGGCACCGCACGATGGCTACATCTTCGATCGGTTGGACGACTGCCTCAAACAGTCGCAGCATCGGGTGCAGAGCCTCCATATCTTCTGTTTTGTTGTGCGCCACCATCCCACCTGGCTGTACAAGATCGAGAAGCACCGGCTCATCAAGAGTGTTTTCAAGCTGCTCACGGTGAGTTCTGCTGGCGGAGGGAACCTAGATCTCGGCTAGCTATTTATATTCACAACCCTCCCTTACAGCACGAGAAGGAGATAGTACCACTGATGAGCGCTCTGCTGTGCATTATCACCCTCCTACCGATCATCCCGAATTCGGTTCCCAACTTTCTTAACGACTTGTTTGAGGTATTCGGTCATCTGGCTTCGTGGAAGCTACAGAACACCAATCGGTTGCCAGACGAAAAGCTGGTCCATTTGCAGTTAGGCCTGCAGATGCTGTTCCACCGCTTGTACGGCATGTATCCATGCAGCTTCATGGCCTACTTGGTGGAGTTTATCAAACGGGGCAGCGGAGGCAGCATCTTCCAGCACACGATCAAGCCGCTGTTGGACACGGTTCGCGTACATCCTATGTTACTGACAGCCACACCGGAAACTGAGGTAAACAATACGCGCTGGAAGGAGATGGAGCCGCATGATGTGGTCATGGAGTGCGCCAATCTGTCCTTGCCCGTCCTGCTACCGGAGGCAAGCAACGGCGATGACGGCGGCAGCTATACGTATCCGCTGACTCCCGGCTACAGTCGCATGACCTCGACCACCTCGGCCAGCAATACGGACTACAGCTATCAGCTGAGAGACTTCCAGCACTCGAAGAACGACCGCTTCAATTCGTCGGGTGGAGAACTGGGTCCGATTTGGAGTCCGCACAACGAGATCACCACTTCTAGCAGTGCCATCCCTCTGACGCCCACCACATCGTTTATTTTACCCCTCCAGCCGTCGATGAGCTCGCAGCTGATGGTGGGCATGACGGGCTCCTCGCCGCCCGAGGCAGCTGTGGAGGCCACGCCGGAGACAACGCCGCTGAAGGATATGAGGGAGCTGAAGCATCCGCATGGCCTGGTCAACTCTCATGCGGTTAGGGCCATCTTTACCACGAGTCAGCCGTCGTCACCCATGCGCAAGGATCAGCAGAATCAGTTTAGTTTCCCCGACGTCAGCCGAGAGGCAGAGGAGGGCACCAGCAGCACGTTCCTGGAGGTCACCAGGGTAACAACGTACGAGCGGCGCCTCCAGCAGGTCATCCAGGACAGGCACAACGTGGAGCGAGCGGCCAACGCTAACGCACCCTTTCCCAGTAGCCTGCCGGAAATTAACTCTGAGCTCGGCGGAGGGTCGCCGGTGGTCGCTGCCGTGTGTGGCGAGTGCAACGAGACGGATCGCAGCCTGTGCAGCGTGGGCGGACTCCACATGCCTACCAGCCGATCCATGCACCAACTGGCCAAGGGACTGAAGCGCCGAAGCCGCATGGCTAGCTACAGTGGAAATGAGACTTGTGTCGACATCGGCAGCAGCAGCACGGCAGCCAAGAAAGCTACCTGGAGTGTGGAAGCAGAGAACCCTATCCGACGGGTCAAGTCCTGCTCAGCACTGGCAGGATTGCAGCAGCATATGGAGGAAACCGACGATGATGAGGCAGATTGCCTGGGTCAGAGGCAGAGGACTGAAAATGGGAAGACGCAAAAGACTGGCAGCCGCCTACAGAGAAGCGGCCGAATCCTGGCAATAGCAGCACCCAAGGAGCCGCCCAGGATCTTCACGCACGCCTCTACCCAGACGGTAGATGCTGTGGCAAGCGCTCCGGCGCAGTACGAGAATTGGCTGATTGAGCTTCTGCTGGAGTGCAAGGAACAGCGGAACAGTTACGAGCGCAGCCTTCTGTACCCGCAGGACATTCTGGACGAGTACATCAAGCATGCGGTCAAAGCAAAGGAGAGTTTTGACGCCGAGCAAGGACAACTGATGTGCTTGCAGCTTGCATACGAGAGCTACCGACGCTCAATTCACGCCGAGCGCAATCGCCGCCTCATGGGTCGGAGCAGGGACAAGCGCAGCCTAGAGATGGAAGCCGATCGACTGAGGGAGCAGCTCAAAAACTTTGATGCGAAGAACAAGGATCTGGCCGGCAAGATGGACCAGGCCATGCGGCTGGCCAACGAGCGACAGAATAGCCACCAGGAGGAAATGGCCGAAATGAGGGCCAAGTACCAGCACGAGCTGGATGAGAAAAAGTGCCTGCGGCAGGCAAACGACGACCTGCAGACGCGCCTTACCACCGAGGTGGCTCGTCACAAGGAAATGAACTACGAGCTGGAGTCGCTTCGCGGCCAAGTCTTCAGCCTGGGCACCGAATTACAGCACGCCCAGCAGCAGGCTGACGTGGGACTGCAGTGCAAGCAAGAGCTGGCTCGCCTGGAGGCCGAGTTCATTATCATGGGCGAGGTGCAGGTGCGTTGTCGCGACCGATTGGCCGAGATTGACAACTTCAGAGCCCGCGACGAGGAACTACAGATGCTCCAAGAGAGCAGCCATCTGGAACTAAAGGGTCTGTCCATTGTCTGTGTTTATACTTCTCGAATGTTTATCCAAAATAATTTATTTATTTAGATCTGAGGCACAGCCTGGACGAGAAGACATCACAGCTGGAGAGCATGAAGCACAAGATCAGCGACCTGCAGATCCAGCTGGCCAACAGCGAGAAGGCCATGACGGAGCAGAAGCGACTGCTTAGCACTGTCAAGGATGAGTACGAGGAAAAGTTCAAGGTAGGTCGAATTTCCGAGTTTGTTTTTCTTCCTTTTAGTCTCTTAAAAATTTTAACTTTTTGATTCTTTAATAGTTAGTTTATATAACATTACTGTAATAGTTTTTAAGTAATGTATTTATTTGTTTCTTGCAGTCTGTTAACAAGAAATATGACGTGCAGAAGAAGATCATCATGCAGATGGAGGAGAAGCTAATGATGATGCTTCAGCAGCCACATGGCGGAGTTGGCCACAACACCTGTTCCCCGGACACAGACAGAACTGGTAAGTGCTGTGGGGCTTCTTCCTAAATGACAGAAAGTATGTACTCCTATCTTCCCTTAGACATTGCCTCATCCATGGAGCGCAACTCCCCGTTATCAACCTCGCTGGCCTCTAGCGAAAGTTTGTCGGCAAGTCTGCGTTCCACAGAGCTGAAGAACCTGCACCAGCTGGTGGACACGCCCTCGATGCCGGAGGTGCTGAGCAGCATGGCCGCCGGCACCCCCTTCGAGGACAGCGCGCGTTTGCCGGCCGTGGATTTGGCCACCTCGGCCAGCACCGCCAGTGCCATCAACATTGTTCCGCACGCCCTGGAGCTGCCATCCACTTCCCACACGCTCACCCACCCACATCCGCATCCTCATCTCCACCTCCAGCAGCAGCAACAGGAGCAGCAGCAGCTGCAACAGTCATCGCTGAACCAGGAGCAGCAGATGCAGACGCAGGCGCAGTTTGTAAGAAAAAACTAGCTTTCCTTCGCTAAGCAAATGTCTAAATGGAAAAATCCACGCAAAAATCTGCAAAAAAAAACAAAAACAAAAAAAAGTAAGAGTAAATTTAAAAGTTCTTGGTTTTTCACATATTTTCATATTCAGTTCCAAACTGTAACTAAGGTTTAATAAATCGCTGACTCCACGCAATAATTATAAAGGTTATACAAAAAATATTAATGTTTGAAATTTTAACTTGTTTAGCACATTGCAATTTGTTGTAAAAAAAATGGTTTTGATACGAGGCAATAAGTAAGGCGCGCATTCATATTATAATAAACATTTAATTAAGATCAGCAAGCATAAACAATTGTTTCAATTCTGGTAATTAAAGCAATTTGGCGATTATATAACAAGCGCCAAACATTTAAATTTATTTTGCGAAAGAGAGCAAACAAAAACATAAACAAAACCAAAGGGTATTGCCAGCAGCGAATAACAAGACAAGGTGGCAACGCCAATACAAACAGCTGACCGCAATCAAAGCACCAATAAGAAGAAGAAGCAGGAAACTCCCACAAATCGAATCATCAAAAGTAGGAGAAAATCATAATAATGCTGTCCCAATACATGGAAGAGTTTGAACAGGTGGGTCTCAGAGCCTCTAAGATGTTCCATAACTTAATCTTACAACCCATCATAAATAGGAGCCCTTTGAGGTGGGTGAATTCATCGAACGCCTCACCTGGCGTACCAATAATGAACTGCAAAACAGCGAAGACTTCAGTCCTGTAGCCCTCCACGACACCTTTATCCAGACGATCAAAGACCTAAAGATTCTGCAGGAAAAGCAGCAGAGCAAGTGCGAGCGGCTGGAGGAATCGTTGCGTCAGGAGAAGGAGTCGCACGCCAAGAAGATAGCCAAGCTACAAGAACGCCACCAGACAGCCATCGATTGGTTTGGGCAGCTGGACGAAAAGATAAATTCGGTGGCTGGAAAGATTATGCATCTGGGCGAGCAGTTGGAGAACGTAAATACACCTCGCAGTCGGTCGGTGGAGGCTCAAAAGTTGCTCAACTTTATGGCCGAGTTTCTGGCCGCCGGACCTGTAATTGTCAACGACATATTTACAGATGCCGCCCGCCTGAGCGAGGCAGCCGATGTAATCCAGAAGCTATATGCAATCTCGCAGGACCTGCCGCCCGGGAATTTTGCCGAGTCCAAACGGAAAATCGAAAAGAAGTACGATGAAGTGGAGCGAAGGCTGATCGAAGAGTTTGCCGCTGCCCAGAAGAGCGAAGACATTGAGCGTATGAAAACCCTCGCCCAGATCCTGTCTCAGTTTAAGGGCTACACCCAGTGCGTGGACGCGTATATTGAACAGAGTCAGATGCAGCCGTACAGTGGAAAGGACATCTTTATCGGCATCGTTCCATTGTGCAAGCATCACTACGAGATCATCCAGAAGGTGTTCGCCAATCCGCAGCAGGTGATGTCCAAGTTCATACTGAACATCTACCAGCTGAAGCTGCACCAGTACGCGATGACCAAGCTGGAGGACAAAAAGGACGAGGAGAAGTACCTGCGCACTCTCTACGAACTGTACTCACGGTAAGCTTGCAATGGTTTAGATCCTCCAAAAAGTCTCTTATAAATTTAAAGTGACTTCTTAGCACACTGAAGCTCTCTACGGATCTGCAAGTTTACATGTCCACCATCGACGATGATTTGCTGCAGAAGCTGACGCAGCAGATCTTCATGAAGCATTTGGCCGGGTATGCCGAAATGGAGACAAAATGCCTCACTGCCAAGTGCTCTACAGAGCTGGAGAAGTTTTACACCAGCAAGAAGCATCAGAAGACGCAGACGACCAAGGGCTTTCGACGCAACATGGAGGTGTTGATTGCGACGCGAGCCAACATCAACATTGCTGCAATCGAGGATTATGGCGGGGAAACGTTCCTCTCCGAGGAACTAGCCATCAACATGCTACAGGAGGCGAAGGCCTCCCTCAAACGTTGCCGCCTTCTGTCCACCGAGACTGACCTGCCAGGCAATGCCATCAAGCTAAACGACATCCTGCTGCGTTTTCTGATGCATGAGCACGTGGATTATGCTCTTGAGTTGGGCCTGCAGGCAGTGCCGTTAGCCGAGGGCAGGGTCTTTCCCCAGCTTTACTTCTTCGACGTAGTCCAGAAGACAAACATCATCGTCCACCTTTTGGACAAGCTGTGTCACACTTCGGTTATACCATGTGTGAGGTTAGTGTGCTGCTTATTCTATAACTAGATAATGTATTTTTTAAATATGGCTTTATATTATATAGTAATACTTCCAAGTACTCGGACTATGTGTTCAAGAAGCGTATTTTGATGGAGCAAATAGAAACGAAGCTGGACCAGGGTCTAGACCGTTCCATTAGCGCTGTCATTGGCTGGGTCAAGGTCTATCTGCAGTATGAACAAAAGAAGACCGACTACAAGCCGGAGACCGATGTAGACACCATTTCCTCGGCGGTAAGTTGAAATGTTGATATTCATTTTAAACCCTTGCCCTTCGTATTCTTAACTGATTATTTAATATGTAAATTCATTCATTCCATAGGCCTGCCTTCAAGTCGTGCAGAATCTACAGCCGGTGATCACGCAGATCAAAAAATGTGTGGATGGCGAGAATCTGCAGAATGTCCTGACCGAATTTGGAACTCGCCTGCATCGTATCATCTATGATCACCTGCAGACCATGCAGTTCAACACCGCCGGCGCCATGTGCGCAATATGTGATGTGAACGAGTATCGCAAATGCATCCGCGAGCTTGAGAGTCCGTTGGTGACGCAGCTCTTCGACATTCTTCATGCACTGTGCAATCTTCTGTTGGTGAAACCGCAAAATCTTCAAGAGGTTTGCACTGGCGACACATTGGTAAGTGTCTTGGGACATTGGTCGCCCAATTTTTTTGCTCTATCCAAATCCAATGTAATTCTAGAACTATCTGGACAAGTCGGTAGTGCGGCAGTTCATTCAGCTGCGCACTGATTTTCGGATCATTAAGAACACCAACTATCTGAAGGGTATTATTGAGTGAGGAGAAAAAGGAGCACCGAATGACTCACATTCCGAAATTTTCCACCTCGTGCCCTGTCTGCGGATTGGATTGATATATTGGCGAGAACATTATCTAATAATATTTAATTACGCGACACCCTCTGTTTTCTAACTTTCAATTAAAGTCGAGTGGCTGGTTACTTTTATCTACACATCGACAATATAGTACTTGATTTTGTTTGCGACTCACGCGTGTCCGCCACCACCCCAACCACCCATTTCCTGACCCACACAAGCCCCCGAAGACGACGTCATGGACATTCCCGCCTATCCAAATCTCCGGAATCAAATCCTTATCAGTCGGAGTGAGAGTCAGCGTTAGTTGCTCCAATCGGCTTCCCAATCAATAAATCAGGGTTTATTGCTTAAGCGCCCGCAAAGTATTTATTTATTTACGTTTGCCAGGAGAGCTCGGGCTCCTAGTGCTCTCCGACCAGCTACTTCGGTGGGTGCCACTAGTCTTGGAGTCAGTCACCTGTTAACCGCCAAGCAAAACGTATCGCGAAAAAAACGTAGCCAGCCTGTGGTCCTCATTATCGTCCGGTCCTCTTTGTTATTGTTATTGATATTGCTATTTTGGAAGCTATTTGCACACCTACGCGAAACGAGTTTGTCCGATATTCTAATCGATTTGGGAATCAAGATCTCCAAGACTTGATAAAGCCATGCGCGGCGCCCTCATGAGTTACTACCTAAAAATACTCTTGGCCATTTGTGCCGTCCAAGAACTGGCCGGCGGCGTGATCAGATCCACCACAGATGCCGCCTATAAGAAGTACCTATCCATAAAATCACTGCCTTTTGAAGACTGCGGTGAGTAGATCACAGAAGTTCATGTAGATCAATTTTTACGGCACGAGGGGAAGTAACCTTTGGTGTTTGAGCCAACTTACAGAATATATTGATCTCAGAATTAATCATTACTTTCCGTCTATGTAAGAAAATAACTCCCCAATTCTGTGAAGTGATCTTTATTAGTTTTTATACTTTCATGATCTCGCCTTCACCGACCACCATCTTCTCTCCACTAACGAAGAATAACCCACTTTCTATGAGTGCTTCCTAAAAAGTTTTTCATAATTTGTAGCGTCATCGAGTAAGTATTAGCGATCAGATCATAATCGAACCCATTGTAAATACCATAATCAAGTGGATTTGACTGCTGCTTCCGTGAGCACAATTACAGATTTAAAATAATAAATTATTGCGATCGTAAAGTGTATTTCCCCGATTGTGTTGCATAAATTGATCAAGAATATGGACGCTGACAAGTCTTTAATTTAGCGTTAAATGATAAATAAGATTTATGATATGTTGCCGCAATTCATCAATGGAAAAATACAATCAGGATCTAATTTTAAAAATTGGTCAGATAACTGGAAACACTAGAAAATGATCTGTATGCATTATAAATTATATGAGCGATAGGAAAAAGAGTAAGACGATTGACTCAAACTGTTATCAATAATATTAAGAGAACTGATTTACGGGCAACAATTAATAAGCTCAACAACTGGTTAGCGTAACGCGCTTTGCTTAGCTAAATTTTACAAATCTATTTTTAATTTCATTTATATAGTTTTTTTAGGGCATTTAAGCTTCACCATTTGAAAGTTTATACAAACTTTTAATTGAATTCTCGTTTTATTTTTATTGCATTTGATTAAAAGAAGTATTTATGGACTGAACCGAGTAAATCAATGATTTATGTTCTAGACTTAACAAAGAGTAAACACAAATTATTACGCTCGAACGGCCACCCCTTGAGGGATAGTAATCAAATAAAGAACTTAATTAGCAGAATAGTGTTATTATACCAAAGAACATGGTTCAATTTAAAGATAGAAACTGTTTAAAGGCCTTGAAAAGTGCACTTGGTCATAGATTATAGATTATTCCGAATACGAATAGGTTGGTGTGAGTGCGCGTCTGTGTGGATCGCAGATAACTCGGCTTAGTTGCTGGGAAAGTTTGTTTTAAAGATAGGCTCTTAGTTTGTTGCCATGTTGTAGGTGGTGAAAGGAAGACATGAACAATGTCACGTACCGACTGGGACTATAGTTAATCAAGTCAGGATAAGTATTAGGGATTTTTTGTGTAAGTACAATCTTGTAAAGTTTATTATCAGGAGATCATTTAAGCTTAAACATATGTGCTGTATCTTCCTCGATTGCTGAACAATTTCGTTGACGTTGTTCGAAGTTATCTATGATTGATTTCCCCGCCGTGCTTTGGATTCTTTTAGGTTCTTTGTATCAGGTCAGCTACCTGGAGATCGAGAGTTGTACGACGCTGCCTTGCTCCATGGCCCGGAATGCGATCATTAAGGTTACCGTGCGCTTCGATGATAACGGTAAGAGCCTGCGAATTAACGCACTGATAACGCCACAGATCCGTGCATTGTATCATTTCCGCGGAGAAAGTGCCAAGAGGGAGAGAGCAAAAGTCAGTGGGAACGGGAACCGAAAATAGATCTACTTGCGATCAGGTGTACGATGGATGTTTGAGGGGACCGGTAGAACCCCCCAGAGGCACTCACTCACACGAATTCGGTTGTAGGCAGCCATAATGATTAGCACCTGCCGTAAATATAATTGATTGAGGATTGTAAATCAACGAAATTTCGCCAATTTTCCTGTTTGTTTTGTTCGTCTCGATGTGTGGCGGTGGCTACTATGTACTACTGTTTATTCCGATGCAGTCGTTGCGATTGCAGCCCGGGGGCTGTTCAACCCAATGCCGTTCCATAAATCCAATAATTAATGGCTAATGATATTTTGATGAGTCAGCAGAAATGGAGACGAAATCGAAACGATTGATCGATCTCAGCTGGAATCGAAAATCTTGAGTACGTTGCCGCCGTACCAAACAAAGATTGGCCATTTATTGGTTATTAAATGGAGCATGCAAAATAGATTCAATATAATTTGGAGTTTGATAACCGAACTTGGCCCCACCTGAGGTGAAAATAATATTCTTAAAGAGTTTCTATCTTTGATGGTATCTCCCCCTCTGGAATTTCTCAAATGATCTTAAGAATAATATTCTTAATCACCACAATAGGCAATGGCGTTTCCTTTCTGAAGCACGAGGTCCGCTGGGTGTTTAATTATATCAAGACACAGGCTGCCATAAGCCCCGATCCCTGCGATGGGGATCATGGATGTATAGAGAGCGCCAGTAACGGCAAAGCCTATTGGGCCAACATCTTTGTGAATGAGACTTTGCCGGTGGTAAGTGCAAGCATTTAATATATTTAACATAATTTTATATTTATAAGCTTACGAACTTAAAGTATAATGTATTAGTTGTTTAAACCAGGTTCAAATAAATAAGAATCTTTAAGCGGGTTTGCTTTCCAAACAATCTGTGCAGTACTCGTTTTAAAATAACATACATTTAATAAATCCTGAAAATCTTAATGAATCTTATTTTAAATATACTTAAAGTTAAAGACTTAAAATATAGATTGATTCATAATTCAATCCTTTCTCTCTGTTGCAGATGAGGGGCAGCATGCTGTGGGAATCCAAGGATGCCAACGATCAGAACCTAATCTGTTTTCAGGTTCCCGTTGTAATCACAGTGTAAATTCATATGTAATCATGAAAATAAAGTAATTGGTGCATGCAAAACAGCAGACCGGTGAGTGTGTGTGTGTGTGTGTGAGTGTGCGTGTGGTGGGGGAGTGGGAGTATGCGTGTGAGTATATGCATCCTTTAATGAAATTTTGAATGAAAACAAGGGAGGCGCGGCATCGTAGTAGAAACAGAGAGGAAGCGGATCTCTGTTTTGGCACACACACGGACCGCGAGAGCAAAAGAGAGGGCCAGAGAGCAAGTGGAGCACTGCACAGTGGTTAAAATAAGCCATTAATCTTATTGTTATTCATAGTTAAGATTATATTTTAAATGCCAAAATATGTATAGCCGAAGCATTATGGCTTCGAACATGCAATCGATCATAACTAAGCCAAAAATTTATTTATCTCGATTCGGAAAGCGTTTTTATGCTAGTTTTTAAAAGGTTAACAAACCTGCATATTTAGTTTTTGAATTTCAAGGAATTTATTTTTCGTCAAATTTTGACAATTTTAACCCCTTATAAAATTTGGAAATTTTGAAAATTTTTCAAAAATTTATTTTTGCACCGCACATGGCTAGATCGATTCAGCTTTTAATGCTGATCAATAATATATATGATTTATAGGGTCGGAAACGCCTCCTTCACTGCGTTTCAAGCTTTTGACTAAAATTGTAATACCCTGCAAACTAACCCCTTATTACAACCTCCTCTTAAATAAAGTAAAAATTAATGGATATTTATTTACCACCATATCCGCCACATTAACCAGTGTGCACTGCCTGAGTCAGCGGCGAACGGAGCGGGAGACTGGGAATGGAATGGGAGCCCTGCAGGCCGTTCAGTGTGTCACTCTCTCTTGGCGGCTGCAGGTCGCACGAAAAGAGCTCCCACTTCGGTTTCAGTTTCGGTACGGTTCGGTTTCGGTTTGGGTTCCAAGTTCGCAGCTCCAAGCTTCTAGCTCCAAGTTCCCAGGAGCGGAAATCGGATCAGGCAGCGAATTAAGAACTAAAGTGGCAGCAGGCAATCATCAAAGAAGGCGCTCTAGCTGCGTAGGTGTCCGAGATCGCGGACCGCGCAGATCGCGGAGTGGAGCCAGTGCATCCGAAAGTGTTTCCCCGAAAGTGTTTCCATTATTGTGAGTACCTATAAATGCTTCGCACTACTCGCCATTTGTGCGATTCCGTCGGCGTAAAATGAGATTGCCTTCGTGCTAATTGCGGATGCGTAAGGATGATGCGGGCGGGGTGCCATCGGCGGAGTGGAATGGCGATGGGTAATGGGTGACATGCCGCACCATTGCAGTGGTCACACGGGAAAGCTCTCTACGCCGGACACTTGAGGCACCGGCATTTTTTTGCAATTAAAATCAGAAAAAAGCGTATAAAACACTGAGAAAACAAATTGTCTTAAGATTGGGAAACCAAATAAATATTTCATAGCTTGAAATATTTTTTTAAATGTTAAACTTGGAGAATAGAATCTTAGAATAGAAATAAAAATTGGGTTATTGGTTTGCCCTTTCAGTGTATTCTAGTTTAAATTATAAGTTTACAACTCAGTGACGGAGTAATTTCTGACCCTATTTTGATCAGCATCAACAGCAATATTGATGTTATTTAAGGATTATTTATTATTAATTTCCTGTTCGATCTTATAATTTAATTGATAAACTTCCTTTTTAACTGGAAATAGTTATTTTTCTAAATTTTTCAACTATTCTCCCTTAAGACACCCATGGCGTATACTTAATATACATAGGTGGTTTCACGTTAAGTATACGCCATGTAAATAGATGTCTCTTAAATCTAAGACTATTTTTACACCTTTAAATGATATTTTAATTTTAATCAGAAGCTTATAACGATGTGAAGGAATCATTTCCGACCCATATATCATATATATTCTTGATCAGAATGAACAGCTGAATCGATCTAGACATGTCTGATCAAATAGTACATTTTCAAAAAATGATCAAAATTTAAAAATTTTATAAGGGGTTACATCGTTAAAATGGTCAAAAATTGATCAAATTTTAGATTTTTTTAAATGTTAAATTAAGTTTGCAATTTTATTAACCTGATAAAAACTAACATAGAAATGTTTTCCGAATTGAAATTAATACGTTTTTGGCTTAGTTTTGAGCTTAAATATTAAAATTTTATATAAAGATAACGATAAATATTGATTCAAATAATGCGAATATTTTAAGCTTAATTATGATCGATTTCCAATTCGATCCTAAAATTCAGTTACAAAGTGCAGGGGTATGTAAGCTTCGGCTGCCCGAAATAAATAACCTTTTTTGTTTACAATAATATACTTTTTCAGTATTTATTAAATTAAGAATCATATTCTTTTGCTATGCTTGAAACTACGCATCGGAAGTAAAACTTTAAATGTGCACACTGGAAATGTAATCGGTGGACCTTGAGAAAGGCTTCAGGTTCAGCTTTAGAACCTGACATAGAACCTGACACCGCCATGGGCAGCGCTTCCACATCCTACTCGGATGCGCTCCGGTTGAGCTCAAGCTTGAGCTCACGCTCAGCTGGGTGCTTGAACCCCATAAATGGGCTTCCATTTGGACTTAAATGGCATAATTTGATCCCGGCACAAGGCCCTTTGATAACATGGGGAATATCTCCATCTCATTTGAATAAAGCGAAAATAAGCTTTTTGGAAATAGCCTCGAAATTATATTCTCAGATTTCTGAATATCTTTTAAGAGAGGGATTCTGTTAGATGTTCTTGTATTAAATATTAATTTGCAGAAGAAAATGCCTTTATAAAAATGGCAAAGAAATATTAAGGTGTCCAACTTTATTGGTAATTTAGTTTTATAGCTAATTACTCTTTTAGACAAATTGATTTATTTTAAAAATTTCACTAGTTTCAAGCTTAATCTCAATAAGAAAATAATCGTCGCATTTCTTTGCCCAATTATTGATGAGAAGTAATTTTTCAAAACGCTGACTTCTCTCTGACTCACATTTTATTTTCATGCTTTCCCGCTGCCATTTGAGAAGGGAACTGCACGATTTCTTTTATTTCGCCACAGTAAACAATCAGTGGATATTTACATTACGGATAACTGTGATTCAGCAATGATCGTGGCCGATAATGGAACCCTTCTCCCCAGCACAGATCGTCGAACTTCTCAATTTGATCTCTCTGCACCCGAAATTGATGGTGGCTCGACCTTGCCTCGTCTCCTTCGGGGTGTTGTGTTACACACACTTCCCAAACTTCTCCTCCAGAAGTTTGCCCCCTCTGAACGTTAACTTTTATTTATTTTATTTTTATTTATTTATTTTTTGCACTACCAATGCACTTGGGCCGAAGCCGAGGCAACAATGCGATGACGTTGCTGCTGTTGGTCAAAGTGTTAAACGATTTGCATCATATTACACACAGTTGGTGCTGCTTCTGCTGCTGCTGCTGCTTTGAGGTCGCCTGGCTGTTGTTGGGTCTGCACTGCTGGTCCGCTGCTGGCCATTGTCGCCGGGCCTCGTGCTGTTGCTATTGTACTAAGTCCAGAGCGGAGCACGGGGGAACCAGGCAGCTGGAGTATGGAGATGGAAATAAAGGTGGAGGAGATGGAGGAGGAGCTGCAACGGGAGGGAAAACAAAAGCAACAGCAGCAACCACCAACGATTTATCACAGCAACGACGTCAACGACGAAATCGATCCGGATCTTAGTGCCCCTCATCGTCAACCCCATACCCAACTCCATCTGTGCTGCCCTCCTTAACAACTCCCCTGTGCATGCACTGCGACAAAATTAACGAACTATATGAACAGCATTTTTCATGGTCTCAAAACTTTCAACTTTTGAAGTAAAACTAAATGTATAAAACTCAGATTTAGTTGAAATATAAGTTCCACAAGAGTTTCACAATTGAGCCAGCTTTCGATTTTGTCAAGTTCCCTTTAGTATATTTTTTAAGGGAACTCAAAATATAAAACTTTTAAATATATCCTTATAGGATTTTTATAAAACGATACATTCATACACATTTAAATATATGTGATTTCAAGGCTAGATTTTAATATAGCACTCACTCTTGAAAATTTTACAGTCCCTAGTTGAATCATTTTGAAATATTAGAAGAAATATTTGCTCGGTGCATCGTTTTCTGTGTGCTATATGCGCTCGCCAAGTGCCTTCCCGCTTTTGTGTGCGTGGAAGCATAACAAGTAATTTTGAATTTTTGAATCGTTAAAAGCAATTAATCGCCTCTACGCAACGGCAGCCAGCTTGGCTGCGACGAACGGCCCGATCCTCGGCCGGACTGTCTCATCAGCGTCAGCCGCAGAACCCATTCATCTGAAAGAGTCGTGGTCGCGATCCGCATGCTGCTGCATCCCCATCCCCATCTATATCTCCATCCCATGCCCGATCCCCGATCCACGATCCACGGAACCCCAGCATTGCCGCCGCTTTACTGCCCAATTTTGTTGCAAATTTTTCGTTCCGCGGAACTTGGTGCATTTCATCTCGTCTGCTCTTAGTGATCGTCGCAGTCGCCGCTTCATCTTCTTGCGTCGATCGTCGCGCACATTCATTTGTCGCTTAATGTCCCTCAGTTAGGCCGCCCCGGGCCAGTCAGTCCCTGCTCCCTCTCCTTGAATCACAGGCTCCTCCTTCGCCCCCGAGTCGATCGGATCCCAGTCAAAGTCGCAGTCCATGACAGCGATGTTCAAGGCAATAGGACAAACTTTGGTTTAATTAAAATAATCAAACTCTTTCTTAACTATACCTTATTATCTCATATAGTGGATGTCTTTTCAATGATGTTTAACATCCTGCTCTAAAATTGCTGAAAAATTTTTAAGCTTTGTAACTTTCACTAAAGTTTTGTATATTATTAGAGTTACATTTAAAAAAGGACACTCCTAAAAATTCAGTCCTAATTTTCTGACCCAAATTGTGGGATATATGGGAGCTACGGCATGGCATCTGCCTCCTGGCTGCCACTGCATCACTTCTCCACTCGACTGCTCCCAGAGTGTCTGTATCGCCTTGGTATGTGCGGCATCTGCTGGCTAGGCTTCTGTGATGTGATCTGATGAAGCTGCTGCTGGTGGTGGTGGTGGTGGTGGTGATGCTGCTGCTGCTGCCCCTGTGGATGTGGATGTGGTGACATCCACTTGCAGCTCTCGCACATTCGTCGTAGTCGTATTTTTCTCGATTTTGTTTTCGCTGCCTGCACATTCACACGCAGTCGAACAGCAACAAAAACAGCATAAACCGACGACCATCGACCATACCATAAAACATTAGTTTCCCATTTGCGTGCTAAATACCCTACATGGAATCGCGTCGAGCACATTGCTCATAGGCTAAGGTAAACAGGTGAGAAGGGTTCCTGTGCAGTAGGGCTTCCGAGAAAAAGTCGATGCAAAATTATGCTGAAAGGTCAGTAGTATTTGGAAAGGTGCGAAATTAGTACACTTAAAAAAAAAAGACTTTAAATGTAGTTATTGGAATCGAGACGACTGGCTGTTAATTTTAAATTTAAGGAACTATTATTTATTACCTAACATTTCTTTAGTAGGTTAAGAATGGACTAAACATTAAAGAACAAAATAATGATGTTAAAGAGTAGGTCGAATGATTTCATAAATTATTAAAAAGAAGTAGTACTCATCTCAAGTATGGAAGTAGAACTCCCTAGAGAGCCAGACTCCTCGCTGCATAACTAATGCCTAATTAGGCCAAAGAAGTTATATAAAATGTAGGGCATCAGGGAGTCATCTTTGGAGCAAAGTGATCGTCCGTCTGTCCGTCCAATGCTCTTGTGGCACGCACTATGATGCGCGCTTTGAAGTCCTGTCAAGCACTTGAGATACATTTATGTATTTTTTTGCATTTTCATTGCCTCAACTTCGGGATCGGAACGGGGACTGGGGCAGGGCGGCACACAAATGCGAGGAATGATTAGTTAGTTGGTCATGCAAAATGGGTGAAACCGGTTCGGTTCTCACCGCGATCGAACATCAGAAGCATTGAGATCAGAACGGGGACAGAACAGAGCGGTCAGAGCGGGCGATCCTTCAGCATAATCAACGGGCGGCTGCTGCTGATGATCGGCACAAATTACGAACGCACGGAATGTCCAGAAACCGAGAGCAAAGCTGATCACCTGACGCATGATGATCATTTGCAGATTGCACACACCGAGGATCGGATCGGTTCGGATGGGCAGCATGCAAGCGGCGCTGCTAGCGTTGCTCCTACTAGGCCAGTGGTCCTTCGGCACCACTTCATTCTCTGCGTCCTCCTCCTCATCCACATTCAATCAGCTGCAACGGCAGAGGGTGGCGCACTGGTTCCGGGATAGCAACGATGTCAAGGATAAAATTCTGGAGCTGCAGTGCTTGGCGAGATGCGGCGGTGAGCCTTCAATCAGCGAACGCGACCAGTGCCTGGACCAGTGCATCCAGGACTTGTTGCTGGGCCCCAGGGCAGGCAGCTGTCCCAAGATCGGAAGGCAGACGCGCCTGAGACTCTCCTGCCTGGACAACTGCCAGTATGACCATGAATGCCCTGAGGTTCAAAAGTGCTGCTCCTCCAGCTGCGGACCCATGTGCGTGGAGCCCCTGGGCGTCAGGAACAACACCCAGTTGCCACCGATTCCCAAGATCCTGTACTTCAAGAGGTCCCGTGGCCATGGCGTAGAGCTGAAAATCGAGTCCTCGCTGCTGGTCTACTACTTTCACGTTGAGGTGCGCTCTCACATTGGTCGGCACTTTGCGCCCCGCAAACTCGGTCCTTGGCAGTGGCAGAAGGTGGAGAAGATCATGGAGGAGAACATTGGACACAGCAAACAGTAGGTTGACCTCGTATCCCATATTAGTATCCTACTATTCCTTATATTCTTTCCATAGCACATACATCTTCTTTCACATGCGGCCGGGCCGCTGGTACGAGGTCCGGGTGGCGGCCGTTAATGCTCTTGGGTTCCGCGGATACTCACAGCACAGCGATGCCTTCCCCTCGACGGGCAGTAAGTAACAAGATTAATACATTAATTAAATCAATTAGTAAGCGGGAGCTCGACCTAAATATTAGAAATGCCTTAAGGAACTTCAAAGAACGCTTAATTACAAAAAATTGTATGGCAATATTGAAAGACTTCTCCGAAGTTTAAAGTGTCATCCATTCTTCCATAAGAACCCAATTATAATTAGAAAATCCTAAAGTTAAAACAATTAAATATAATATATAAATAAATATGCCCTCAGACCCCAAGCCACCCAAGGCTCCAAACGATTCGCAGATAGTCGCGAAACAGTTCGATGGTCGGTACATGAACGTGAAACTGGTGTGGTGCCCCTCCAAGTCGAATCTGCCCGTGGAGAAATACAAGATCAGTTGGTCATTGTATGTGAACAGTGCAGAGGCCTCAATGATCACCCTTGATACCTACGTTAAAGACGTGAGTAGCCAGTTTTATTCAAAAAAAAAAAAAGAAAAAGAAAAGAAGTCTCTATGAAATTTCGTTACTTGCAGACCCACCAATTCGAGATCAAGAAGCTCCTGCCAAACTCATCGTACTACATTCAGGTGCAGGCCATCTCCTACATAGGATCCCGCCGACTCAAGTCCGACAAGAGATCGCTGCTATTTAACACGACGCTCCACTCGCTAGAGCCGTTCGCCCCGCTCCAATGCTCTGGAAGCGGGTACAAGCGCAGGTACCATCACATTGGCACCATTAGCTCCGGCAGCAGCACGGAACGGCTGGCGACAACGGCAGCTGCAGCAGCATCTGGCCTCAATGAGGTTTCGCCCCCCATAGCGAACCGGACAACGGAGGCCGAGGCGGCCTATGAAGTGCGTTTCCGGCTGAACCGGAAGTACGGCATGATTGTGCAGATTCTGGGCTTCCAGCCACACAAGGAGAAGTAATTATTAAGTAAACAAATTGCCAAAATCCAGAAATTAAATGCCGCTATCCTCTAACCAATTGCAGGGTCTATGAACTGTGTCCACAGGAGACGAACTGCGAGCAGCGCGAGTTCCGGGCTATTCGAGCGAAAGTAAGTAATACCCGTCATGGCAGTGGTGATGGGAGCCACGAGCCACATGTCGAGCTGCCGGCTTTTGGTTCGTGCCGATCGGCTGGACCACCGGGCAAGGGCAAATCGATGGAACATCGTTGACCGTGGGGGATTTGTTAACAAGGCGAACTCATGTTTCCTTTGTTTGACACGGAAAACATGTCTGAACCACAGCCAGTACGTGGCGAAATGCCAATCAATTCGAGGGCCAGTGGACGAGGGAATGAATTAGGGCATAGGTACAGACTATATGTACACTCCACAGGAATGATTGATCAAGTAAATTCAAATGAATCATTAATAAGTTTCTTCTCTGCCCCTGTGCTTACAGAGGGATCCGCTGGAGTTTAGCAAACTCAAGTACAACACCACATATGTGCTGAGAGTGCCACGTTCCAGTCCCAATTCCGTCCTAGACGACTCCAGGAACGTATTTACCTTCACAACGCCCAAGTGCGAGAACTTCCGCAGGAGCTTTTCCAAGCAGCAGATCAAGTGCAACGACTAACGAATAGCTGCGGTCCCCGGCACACCATGAGATTACACTAGATTGTAAATAATTGTATGTAAAGCTTAACTTTTACTTATTGTTAGACTTAAGGAAACTCAACACAACACACAACCGAACAAAGATTGTTTTCTACGCGAAGAGGTCCTTAAATTGCTGCAGTCCCCGTTGGTGGTCTGTGTCTTGGCGGTTTGCAGTCCCCGGTAGCTGGCAGTTTGCCAGGTTCATGCCGTGCTCCAGGAGAGCTGCTATCAGTCGCGAGGTGTAGAGCACAGGTCCACCGACTAGGTGGAGAAAATCATAGTTCTTCCCACGTCGCGTGCTGAATAGGATTCGTTTGGATACAAAGTCTCCGTAGTTACTGATCCTTCCCACGCAAACGTAACGTTGGAGCGATGGAGCATACACTTCGATGACGGCTCTCAGGCTCTCCGCCGGAGTGAGCGTGGCTGCTGGTGCGTAAGCAATCCGAAAGGGAATATCCAGAGCTTTGTAAAAGTCTATGGTCAGACTCAAGATCTGCTCCATTTCAACGTCCGCTTCGTCAGATGTTTGTGTGGCTACAAAGCTCTGCACTGCATTCGTTTGCGTCGCCGTGTAGAGATTAGGATCGGGACCATAAAGCTTCGCTTCCGCTCGACTGTAGCTGCGACCACAGCACACATAGCGCAGCGGCAGGACCGATGGATATATGCACAGTTTGGTCATGGCGCCGAGATAGCTTTCGAATGCGGCTCCTCCCGTCAAGTAGGCTGTGTTGATCTTATTTTGCAGATGCTCCTCCTTCACCAAATAATAGTCGTCCATGGGCGTAGCATTCGCCTCCAAAAGAACGCAACGCACAAAATCCGGATTGGCGGTTTGAATAAAGTCACCGTGTTTCACGAAATAGCGGGCTAGGGACTGCATTGCGTTGACGTCAAAATGGGCAGCATGTTCCATCAAGTAGTACCGGTTGTTGTCCACAAAGTGTATGAGATCCTTGATTGCTAGATGAGAGGAAGTCTTGGGCTCCGTTCCACAGCTGGGCAGTCTGTGGCGATAAAGCAGCTTTTCCTCGTCACCAGTGGGACATTGGGCATGTAGGCGATTCGGCAGAATAAGGTAGTCATGAATGAAATCGTCTTCTATGGGATAGAGTGCCTGTTTCAGTGACTTCAAGTCGTTGCGCAATGACTTTCCACGCTCTTTGAGCTCTTCTAGCTGCTCAGCGTCGGCTCCAGCCTTGGTCAGTTCCTTAAGTCGTTTGGTTACCGTCTCCCGTTCCTCCGACACCTTCACTAGTTGGTTATGGTACGTCTGGTACCTCTGGTACTTGCCGAGCACACTTTCCAGTCGAATGTCCAAGCCTCGACTGGCGATGCTTCGCTCCAGAGATTCGCTGTCTGTAAAGGTCTCCTTAAAATCCAAGTACGGCTGCAGGGTAACGTAGTTTTCGTTGGCCTTGTCACCTGTTATGTACAGAGCAGAGATGCTTCTGCTGCGAGCCGAGAGGCATCTTTTTAATGATGTCCGCAGGCTTAACATAACTTCCTGTGTTTTTATTTTAAGCAACAACAAAGGCCACCGGTAGATAAGGCCAGTCAGCTGCTCACAGCGTTGCCAGATGAAGTGGCTTTGTTAAGGGTACTTCAAAAACTGTTATATTTCCATTGAAATTCTCGGGACTTCCCGCAAATGATAAATCTGCAAAAATATTTGTACTTCCCCTACGAACAGTTATACATACATGTTTCGATAATTTTCTGTTAAAAATGTATTACATTTTATTTTAAATTGATTTTTGTGACAATAATGTATATTTTACAAACTCTACCTGTACCATTCGTTCAAAGCTGAAGCATAAAATGCCGGCGGCCTGAAGTTTTTAATTTCATTGAGAATAAGTTCCTTCCAGCAATTTATGGGTAAGTTCATGTTCTCAAAGTTTTGATCGTACGCCGGAGCGATATCTTCAAGGTGGTGGTGCTCCTCAATCAAATCCCTAAGATAAGGATGGTTCATTGCCTCGTCTGCCGTAATTCGTCTATCGGGTATCATCTCCAGCATTTTCTCCAACAAGTCGACAGCCACCGGATCGATATGGGGAAACCTCTGCCGAAAACTTAATACTTCCCTATAGGGGTAACGTTCCACGTATTGTCGGGCACTATTATCTTCGATTCTGTTTATGAACTCCTTAGAGGGGGCGCCCATAAAGTTGAGCACGAGTTCTAGTTGATTCAAAAAATGTGTGCTAGGGAAGAGGGCACGACCCATAAGAAGTTCCGCCAGGATGCAGCCCACCGACCACATATCAATAGCCTTTGTGTATTGTTTCCAGCAGAATAGAAGCTCGGGCGCACGGTACCACACTGTTCCCACATAATCGGTCATATCTTGGGCCAACACCCTAGCCATACCGAAATCCAGAATGCGCACCTCCAGATTTTGATTTATGGCAATGTTCCCTGGCTTCAGATCGCGGTGCAAAACTCCGGCGCTATGTATGTACTTAATACCCCTTAATATCTTGTACAGGATCATCTTCACCTCGTAGTTGTTAAGCTCAGCTCTTCGCGTAAAGCTATGCAAGTCCTCACTCATCAGATGAGTCACCAGATACACCTGCTGAAGGTCATCCATTGTTGGGTTGGGATTCGGCGACGGCGGATGGAAGGTGTCCAGCAGGCCGATCACGTTGACATGGTCCATGTGCTTGAGGAGACGGATCTCGCGATATACCCGCTTGGCATGCTCCGATGTCTCGAACGGTTGCAGCAGCTTTTTCATGGCCACATGATAAGAGCTGCCGTGAACTCTCGCAATGGCCACCTGTCCATAGGCCTCCTAAGGGACCAACAATCTCATAAATGTCCGGAATCACCCACTCGGTTTCTTTCACTCGTACTCTAGTAAAACTAGCCATTTTTCTATATTTTTGTTCGGAGCAGATAATACTTTACGGTTCAACGATTCAAAGCTTAATGAAGTCGTTTTTAAAGTACCTCCTACAAAGAAAATTCTTATCTTTACTAAGTTCATATATGTAGTACACAAGTGTGATTCAACTCATTCTCTCTTTATGACCGGAATTGACCATGCTTTGATAAGGGATCTCTTGATAACAGATAAAAATAATCCATAGAAGAGGTTGATAGAAAGTACATAAAGAAAACGATTTCGGATATTAGTCTTCCAGCAATCGGACAAATTAGTCCATCAGTCATTAATGAAATTTCATGACTTCCGGAAACAATACGTTATAAAAACGAATTTATTGTACAATTTACAGTATTAGTGGCCATAACACAAACAGGGTAAAAACATTTAAAAAATAAGAAGATTAGTCATTATACATATCTCACTATAAAAACAAACATCCTGTTTAATACTTTAAGTCATTGTTGGGCGGATCGTATTTTACTTTATATCCTTTAGAACCTGGGCAAATGACGGCGGGGGCTTAAAGTTGGTCACCTCCTTAAAGATCAGCTCCTTCCACTTGTCCACCGGCAGATCCATGTCCTCAAAGCTGTGGTCGTACGGCGGCGAGGTCTGCTCGTCGCTGGGCTCAGCGTACTTCTCGAGGTACGGGTGGGCCAGTGCCTCCTCGGCGGTGATTCGCTTCTCGGCGTCCAACTCAAGCATCTTCTCCAGCAGGTCGATGGCAAGCGGATTCGCATTCTCAAATACCTTCTTGAAGCTACGCCTTTTCATTGGTGGCAGTGACTGGATGTATGAGCGGGCGCTCTCTGACGAGATCTTTTTCATGAAGTCGGCCGGCGGCGTGCCCAGCATTTCCATGATTAGATTAAGCTGGTGAATGTGGTCTGTGCCCGGGAAGAGAGTGCGCCTGGTGATCAGCTCGGCCATAATGCAGCCCACCGACCAGATGTCCACCGTCTGGTTGTAGTGCATCCAGTTAAGCATGATTTCGGGCGCCCGATACCATCGCGTAGCCACATAGCCGGTCATTTCGTTCTCCGTAGGACGCGCCAGTCCGAAGTCCAGTATGCGCAGCTCACAGTCTTCGTTCACGGCTATGTTTGAGGGCTTCAGGTCACGGTGAATCACTCCGGCGCTGTGGATGTACTTTAGACCGCGGAGAATCTGGTAGACGAGGAACTGGACATGGTCATCCGACAGGTGCTGCATCCGTATGATGTTGTTCAGGTCGGCATCCATCAAATGCGTGACCAGGTAAACTTGCTGAAAGTTTTCCAGCGACGCGTTCGCCGGATGCGGATGGAATATGTCCAGTAGTCCGATCACGTTCTCATGATCCATGTGCTTCAGCAATCGGAGTTCCCTGTACGTCCGCTTGGCGTGCACAGCGGACTGGAAGGGGCGGGCCAGCTTTTTGATGGCTACATACATGTTAGTGCCCCGCACCAATGCCTTTGACACCTGGCCGTAGGCGCCCGAGCCTACGGGCTGCAAGTTCTGATACATCTCCGGGATTTCCCATTCCGTCCGGTTGATATCCAGCTTGTAGAACTTCTGGGCCTTAGAAGCGGACATACTGTGGCTCTGGATGTTGCTGGTGGCGAAGTGTAGGAACTGTAGGGCGTGTCACCCTAAAATGTTGGCACCGCACCTATCAAAAGCGAGATATGTATTAGCCTCTAAACGGACGTGCGATCGAAAATACTACGCTGATTACGTTTATCTTGAGCAGTTCTACGACAACAACGGAATGGGGCTTCTGCTCCACGCCCAAGAATATCAACAACTAAGTATTGGTCGCTGGCATATTTCCTATATTTGCGCTATTACTCCACTCCGATGAGTGGTACGAAACGGCTCGATCGGCAGCGAATCGGGTGTGCCCTGCGATCGTGGACACCTTTGAACCTATTGTTTGATCAGGTGATTGGAAAAGTTCATTGAAAAGTATTTGCATTTGTTGATACAGTATAAAAATAATAAACAATGAAGGTGATATATATATACCATAATTTTGTTATTATTTCATTTAATAAGTATTTCATATAAATAAAAGCTTATTACATATATACCCTACAAACTAAAAAGTACCGCACATAAATAAAAATAAACAGTCGGCGTTGCCGGATCGACACTTGACATGATTATGTGTTGCCACATCGAGTTAAGCTTTCAAACAGAACAGCTATCTCCCTAATCTAATCTAAGCATAAACGCATCCCGATGTTTGATCTTCTGTCGAAGAAAGCTTTGTCAGTTTCGCCCCGAAGCTACTACCGCACGCATCGCCCAGGAGTTGTGACTAAAGTAGGTAGGTCTCAGAGAAAACATAAATATAGATAAGGTTTGACCTTGACATATGTACCATGTCTGCCAAAAAATCAACTAAATCTAGGGTGGAATTTTAATTATATCGCCTCGTCCCTTGAACACTAACTAACTAACAAAAAGAAGTTGAATTATCCATAAACTAAGATAGTGCTTAAAATGTTAACATCGATCGAACTTGGTTTCAGGCCAAGTCCGATTAGATAGACACTGGGTTTCAAAGAGTATCCCACAGGTTGTTTATTATTATGGTAGATAACAAGCTTTAATTGTCTGTTTTCTTTCCAGTTATAATATGACTTCGTTTCTCCTACCCGGTAACATAGTGTACGGCGGTCCTGTGACTGCTCAGGACGGCCAGGAGTCCAGATCCCTGGGCCAATATATCCTCGACAAGTATAAGAGCTTCGGCGACCGAACGATGCTTGTGGATGCCGTCAAAGGTGTGGAGTACTCGGCCAGCTTCATGCACGAGTCCATTGTCCGGCTGGCCTACATTCTCCAGAAATTGGGCGTAAAGCAGAACGATGTGATTGGTCTGTCCAGTGAGAATAGTATAAACTTCGCGCTGGCCATGTTCGCCGGATTTGCAGTGGGGGCAACGGTGGCTCCTCTTAACGTGACCTACTCGGACCGCGAAGTCGATCATGCCATCAACCTGTCCAAGCCTAAGATCATATTTGCCTCCAAGCTTACTTTAGATAGAGTGGCCAAGGTGGCTAGCAAGAACAACTTCGTCAAAGGCATTATCGCCTTCAGCGGCAGCTCCAAGAACTTTAAGAATATCTATGCCCTGAATGATTTGATGGACAACGATAAGTTCAAGACGCAGTCGGACTTCACGTCCCCACTTGCTAATAAGGACGAGGATGTGGCCTTGATAGTGTGTTCGTCGGGAACCACAGGATTACCTAAGGGAGTGCAGATCACCCAATTGAATGTGCTGACCACCCTCGACTCACAACTGTAAGTATATGGTCAAAATTATAAATACCAAGAATAGATTGACTTCATCCATGACCTTTTTTCAACAGAGAACCCACAAAAATACCTATGGAAGAGACAACGCTACTAACCGTAATCCCCTGGTTCCACGCCTTTGGTTGCCTGACACTCATTGTCTACACCTGCATGGGCTCCCGGCTGGTTTTCTTGCTGAAATTCGAGGAGAACCAGTTCTTGTCGGCAATCGAGAAGTATCGCGTGAGGATGGCCTTCATGGTACCCCCACTGATGGTCTTCCTGGCCAAGCACCCTATCGTGGACAAGTATGATCTGTCCTCACTCATGGTCCTGTTGTGTGGAGCTGCACCACTCAGTCGCGAGACCGAGGATCAAATCAAGAAGCGCATTGGAGTGCCTTTTATCCGCCAGGGCTACGGACTGAGTGAAGCCACGTTGGGCGTGCTGGTGCAGACCGATGACTTCTGCAAGCCTGGAAGTGTGGGCGTGCTCAAGGTGGGCATCTACGCCAAGGTGATTGATCCGGATACTGGCAAAATTCTAGGAGCCAACGAGCGGGGTGAGCTATGCTTCAAGGGCGACGCGATCATGAAGGGATATATTGGGGATACCAAATCTACACAGACGGCCATTAAGGACGGATGGCTACATACTGGTGACATTGGCTACTTCGACGTTGACTTCGAGTTCTTCATCGTGGACCGTATCAAGGAGCTGATTAAGTACAAGGGATTCCAGGTTCCGCCCGCTGAAATTGAGGCTTTGCTGCTTACCCACGACAAGATTAAGGATGCGGCGGTCATTGGCAAGCCGGACGAAGAGGCCGGAGAGCTGCCGCTAGCTTTCGTGGTGAAGCAAGCCAATGTCCAGCTGACCGAGAATGATGTTATCCACTTCGTAAACGAGCGCGCCTCGCCGGCCAAGCGGCTTAGGGGTGGCGTAATCTTCGTGGAAGATATTCCAAAGAACCCTAGTGGAAAGATCCTACGCCGTATTCTTCGCAACATGCTCAAGAAGCCAAAGTCCAAGCTTTAAGGAGAACTTATTTCTCTATTTTTCTTGTTAACTTGATTTATTGTTTGCTCAAGCTTTTGTAATTAACTACCAATTCGTTTGGAGTTGTCTTTAATCTTTCTGGGCGTATTTTCTTTTTATCTTTCCTTCTAAAAATTCACTTTAATAAAATATTATCCTTTGAAACAAAATTATTATAATCTAGAGCGCTATGTGTATGTGGAATAAATAATATTTATAATAATAATAAAATAATTTTTAAATTTGACCTAAATGACAGATTTAAAGCCAAATAGATAAGATAATCACAAATATGATACAGTATGATATATGTCAAATATTCTTAATTGTTCTAGCACCATGTTTATATGAATAAAATATAAATCATCAACAAATATGTATTAAAAAAATAAAATGAATAAACAAAAGGCGGTACCAGACTGCCCACTGATAGCATTGTTGATTATTATCTGTCACATCAAGTAAAGCTTTTAAACCGAGCAGCTGCGAATTCACTTCATACCGGTGTGGCTTATTACATTCGTTAATCTAATCTTATACGGATCCCAATGCTTTCATTCTTCGTCGAAAAAAACTCTATCAGTTTCTCACTGGAGCTGCTCCAGCACGAATTACCAGGAGTGAAAATTTAAAACAAGAAACTGTGAGTGGATCTCAGGAAAAATTAAACTGAAAAAAAAAACAGATAAGATTTGACCTAGATCTTTTAAAATTTCCATATTATTAAATTGATTATTGAGCATAAGATGCGACATAACAATAGAACTTTGCACTCTCTACCGCAAACATAAAGATTTTAAGGTCTCTCAAACTCTAAGCAGCAGTTAACATCGATCGAATGGATACTTAGGTTTCTCCAGGCCTAGCCCGATTAGATAACCGTCGGGTTCAAAATCCGCAAAAACATCTTATCTTACTCTGGTAGATATATACATTCTTTAATTTTATTTTTATCTGCAGTAGTAAAATGACCTCGGTAGAAGAACCGGGTAACATCGTATTCGGTGGTCCTATGACCGTTCAAGAGGCAACAGGTTCCAGATCCCTGGGTCAATATGTCCTAGACAAGTATAAGAGCTTCGGTGACCGAACAGTGCTGGTGGATGCCATCAAAGGTGTGGAGTACTCGGCCAGCTTCATGCACAAGTCCATTGTCCGGTTGGCCTACATTCTTCAGAAATTGGGCGTAAAGCAGAACGATGTGATTGGTCTGTCCAGTGAGAATAGTATCAACTTCGCGCTGACCATGTTCGCCGGATTTGCAGTGGGGGCAACGGTGGCTCCTCTTAACGTGACCTACTCGGACCGCGAAGTCGATCATGCCATCAACCTGTCCAAACCTAAGATCATATTTGCCTCCAAGCTTACTTTAGATAGAGTGGCCAAGGTGGCTAGCAAGAACAACTTCGTCAAAGGCATTATCGCCATCAGCGGCAGCTCCAAGAACTTTAAGAATATCTATGCCTTTAATAAGTTAATGGACAACTATAAGTTCAAGACGCAATCGGAGTTTACGTCCCCCCTGGCTAATAAGGACGAGGATATGGCCTTGATAGTGTGCTCGTCGGGAACCACGGGACTGCCCAAGGGCGTGCAGCTCACCCAGAGGAATATAATGGCCACTCTCGACTCACAAAGGTAATTTTATGTTTGCAGTAAGACTTCACACTAGATCCTCTTCTCATATATGCAGTCAGCCCGCCTCAATCGCTGTGCAGGATGTTACTGTGCTGACCGTTATTCCCTGGTTCCACGTCTTTGGCTGCCTTACGCTCATCGGCACCACATGTACGGGCGCCCGCCTGGTATACCTTCCCAAATTTGATGATAAACAGTTCTTGTCGGCGATCGAGACGTATCGAGTAATGACGGCCTTCATGGTTCCCCCACTGATGGTTTTTTTGGCTAAACACCCCATCGTGGACAATTACGATCTGTCGTCACTGATGGTCCTGCGGTGCGGAGCTGCACCGCTTAGTCGCGATACCGAGGATCAAATCAAGAAGCGTATTGGAGTGCCTTGTATCCGCCAGGGCTACGGACTGAGTGAGGCAACATTGAGCTTGCTAGGGCAGAACGATGACTTCTGCAAACCTGGAAGTGTGGGCGTGCTCAAGGTGGGCATCTACGCCAAGGTCGTTGATCCAGATACTGGCAAGATTCTAGGAGCCAACGAGCGGGGTGAGCTATGTTTCAAGGGAGACGTCATAATGAAGGGATATATTGGGGATACCGAGTCTACACAGACGGCCATTAAGGACGGATGGCTACATACTGGTGACATTGGCTACTTCGACGTTGACTTCGAGTTCTTCATCGTGGACCGTATCAAGGAGCTGATCAAGTACAAGGGATTCCAGGTGCCGCCCGCCGAGATTGAGGCTTTGCTGCTTACCCACGACAAGATCAAGGATGCGGCGGTCATTGGTAAGCCAGACGAAGAGGCGGGAGAGCTGCCGCTGGCTTTCGTGGTGAAGCAAGCCAATGTTCAGCTGACCGAGAATGATGTCATCCAGTTTGTGAACGAGCACGCCTCGCCGGCCAAGCGGCTTAGGGGTGGCGTGATCTTCGTGGACGAAATTCCAAAGAACCCCAGCGGCAAGATCCTGCGTCGCATCCTGCGCAATATGCTCAAGAAACCAAAGTCCAAGTTGTAGGACGATCGGATCGCTTTATTTCTTTTAGTTGTACGATTTATTAATTGTTAAACCTTGTGTTATCAACTATAATCAGCTTTGGGTTTGAATATGCTTTGGATACAATACACCCATTTATTAATTAACACACATAAAAAAGTGTAATTAACCGCTAATGAAAATTTAAATGTTCTCTTTGTTGTCAGAGGTATCTGGTGCTCTTTTTATAATTTTTTTTCTGCCAACAAAAGTTTTAAATCAACAATATAATTAGAACAAAATCTAGTTTACGAAGATCAGCCGCTTTTACCATTTTCCCAAGTAGATGCATTGTGGCGTCATTGATATGGCAGGTTCAGTGGGAGGTAGCAAGAGTTTTACAAGCTCTTATACAGCAATATTACAAAACTAATCAGCTAATTAACTTAAGTTACTCTCTGCACGTCTGGTTAATGAATTTGTACAGCCAAAAGTCAAGTTTGGAAACTTGTAGTTGCTATATGATATAATAATTAAACTTGAAGAAAATTTAAAACATTTCAAAATCGTTAAAAACATAAATATGTCAGAGTTTTTGTCAATATGTTAAAAAGTTACGAAGTTTGCGTAGAAACGGACAAACAGTCGAAACTAACAAGGCTAAATCAGCTTAGGAATTTATTATACTATTTAATACTGTTGCAAATAATTTTTTCACTGCTTTGAAGACGTCTAACTTAAATTATATTACAATACCATGGATATACAAATTATAAGATTGTGATAATTTTTTTTTATATTCCGAAATATTGCGATGCTTCTTTTAACATTTCAAACTTATACACCCTAAAAACGTGTAAATTAAAACTGGTAAGCGGTGTTGCCAGAGTGTCCACTGACATTTATAATGATTGTGTGATGCCACATCGGGTAAAGTGTTTAAACAGAACAGCTGCGAATTCTCTCCGTGCCGCCACCCCCTGAACGGTCGTAATTGCACTATTTAGTTTACTTTGAATAGAAAAAAGTGTCACTGCTCGCGCCTGCGCTCTCGACCCAGCGGACTTATCAAATTCGTTAATCTAATCTTGGCATAAACGCAGCCCGCCCCGATTTTCACCCTCTGTCGAACCGAACCCGGTTAGTTTCGCTCTGAAGCCGCTCCCGCTCGCATCGCCCAGGAGGTGTAACCTAGAAAAAGTGATTGTAAGTGGATCATGGGAAATATATAAATGACAGTCGACACATTGACCGCGGAAAATATAAACATTACAAGCTTTGACATAGTGTGTGCCTAAAAATCAAGTGCTAAGCGAGCAGGGGATGAGAGATGTGTCGCCTCATCCGCTGAGACCTACGACCTTTGGAACGTGGACTGGCTAACATGCAGATTTCCTATAATCCACGAACTGAGATAGCGCGAATATTGCTAACATTGAAAATTGGAAACTTGGGTGGCACCTGAAGATCTGCTGGCCGAATGCGATTAGATAGCCACCGGGTTCAAAGTGTGGTAATTGGAGTACAAGAAACACGTTCGACTGGAGTTCAAGAGTTGAGTTAGTCTAAACTAACGTTTTTCACCTAAAAACTATTAATTTTATATAAATAGTAGCACATCAATCTGGTAGATAAGGAGATTTATACGTCTGTTATCTTCTCTTATTCTTTCATTTGCTCTAATTTTTTCAGTCACAATATGACTTCGTCTCTCCTGCCCGGTAATATCGTGTACGGCGGTCCCGTCACCGCCCGAGAGGCCCAGGATTCCAGATCACTTGGCCAGTATGTACTAGACCAATACAAGAGTTTTGGCGACCAGACAGTCTTGGTGGATGCCGTCAACGGGGTGGAGTACTCGGCCAGCTTTATGCACAAGTCGATTATCCGGCTAGCCTACATTCTCCAGAAATTGGGCGTAAAACAAAACGACGTCATCGGTCTGTCCAGCGAGAATAGCGTCAACTTTGCCCTGGCTATGTTCGCCGGATTTGCAGTGGGGGCAACGGTGGCTCCTCTTAACGTGACCTATTCGGAGCGCGAGGTCGATCATGCCATCAACCTGTCCAAGCCTAAGATCATATTCGCCTCTAAGCTTACTGTGGACCGAGTGGCCAAGGTGGCTAGCAAGAACAAGTTCGTCAAAGGCATCATCGCCATCAACGGCACTTCCAAGAACTTCAAAAACATCTATGACTTCAAGGATTTGATGGACAACGATAAGTTCAAGACGCAGTCGGAGTTCACTTCCCCATTAGCCAACAAGGACGAGGATGTGGCATTGATTGTGTGCTCGTCAGGAACCACGGGACTGCCGAAGGGCGTGCAACTCACCCAGATGAATCTGACGGCCACCCTGGACTCACAAATGTAAGTTTCTATTCGCAGTAAAAAAACAGTCTCATTTCTTAATTTCCTGTTAACAGCCAGCCCACGATGATCCCCATGGAGGAGATTACTCTGCTGACCGTTATTCCGTGGTTCCATGCCTTCGGCTGTCTTACGCTCATCACCACCGCTTGCAGGGGGGCCCGCATGGTATACCTGCCCAAATTCGAGGAGAACTTGTTCTTGTCGGCAATCGAGAAGTATCGCGTGATGATGGCCTTCATGGTTCCCCCACTGATGGTCTTCCTGGCCAAGCACCCCATCGTGGACAAGTATGATCTGTCCTCACTCATGGTCCTGTTGTGTGGAGCTGCACCACTGAGTCGCGAGACCGAAGATCAGATTAAGGAACGCATTGGTGTGCCCTTCATCCGCCAGGGCTATGGACTAAGTGAGTCCACTTTGAGCGTGCTAACGCAGAACGACGACTTCTGCAAACCTGGCAGCGTGGGTGTTCTCAAGGTGGGCATCTATGCCAAAGTTATCGATCCGGATACCGGCAAGATTCTGGGTGCCAACGAGCGCGGAGAGCTGTGTTTCAAGGGTGACGGCATCATGAAGGGCTACATCGGGGACTCCAAGTCCACACAGACGGCCATCAAGGACGGCTGGCTGCATACCGGTGACATTGGGTATTACGATGACGACTTCGAATTCTTTATCGTGGACCGTATCAAGGAGCTGATCAAGTACAAGGGATTCCAGGTGCCGCCCGCCGAGATTGAGGCTTTGCTGCTTACCCACGACAAGATCAAGGATGCGGCGGTCATTGGTAAGCCAGATGAAGAGGCAGGAGAGCTGCCGCTGGCTTTCGTGGTGAAGCAAGCCAATGTCCAACTGACCGAGAATGATGTCATCCAGTTTGTGAACGAGCACGCCTCGCCGGCCAAGCGGCTTAGGGGTGGAGTGATCTTCGTGGACGAAATTCCAAAGAACCCCAGCGGCAAGATCCTGCGTCGCATCCTGCGCAACATGCTCAAGAAACCAAAGTCAAAGTTGTAAGGGGATCGGAGCAGTCCCTCCCCTTTTTTTCGAGTGCGTGTACAAAGAGTTTACTATGTGTATTTTTTATTATTGCTAAACTTTGTTTTATAAACTACCAACTGGTTGGGTTTTCGATTTACTCATATTTGGCTTTTCTTTCGAACTTTACTCGCCTAAAACTTAAATACAAATAAAAACTGTTGGGAGTCCCTAAAGCCGCAGCTGGGAACTCCGATGGAATTACATACGTTTGGATGCCCGGTCTTCAATAACAAGTTATATATAAACAACTACACACAATACATTCGCTCTCAACTCGTAACAAAACTTGTCGTATAATTTGCTTCTGTTTTCCCATATTTTTGTTGTCGCTTTTATATAGACTCATTATTAATTTCGCATATGGTGTATACATATATTTATATATATATAGATTTATTTGAAATATTTAACTACTCTTCTTTGCTTTGCTTTTGTAAATAGTCGTTTAACATTTATTGTTTTTGGGAAAAGTTCTCGCTAAGTCGCATCAAATTGCATATATACTTGTATGGGGTCATTTGTGTTTCCGGTATATAAAGAGAGGTTTATATGTCTGTCTGTCTGTTCTCTAGCATTAGTTCACTAATTATTGTGTATGAAACCTTAAATGTAAGAGAAATGCCTTGGTTTCTATATAACGGAAATATCATAGTTTGTGTAAAATCCATCTCAACCTACGCCTGCTTCTGATCCCGGTCGGGATCATACTTGTATTGTTGCAATGCTAATCGACTGATTTGGTGCACGACCTATTACTCTTAAACCTAGCACGAGAAATTAGAGGCTTAAATTCAGTTGTTCACTTCGTTAGTTGCATCTCTTTAAATAAAATAAAGTGCTTTTTTTAAAATTAGCTCGCTCATTGTTCTACTCCTCCGCTTGGCACACATCTAGTTTCCTCGCTTTTTGGCACAATTCTGACAACAAATGGGTTACTCTGATTGTCACTTGTGAACAAAACTATATTGTGTTTCAGTGTGTGTGTATGTCTTGAGTGTGGGAGTGTGAGAGTTAAGTATATTATTGCTAAAATTGTATTTTGATCCCTGGGACCACATATAAAAGTCGAGATACCTCAACACGGCAGCAAAGAGCAATACAAATATAGATTGCAATTGCATGATGACTGGTGAGAATCATGGAGTCGGATAACGCCAACCCGCGTTTCACCTAAGGCGAAGAGCTGTCCCTAATAGATTCCCCGTCTGATTCTCCTGCGGATCACACAATTATCTCCATGCGGTTCGCCTTTCGCGTGACCTTGGGTGGGCCTTGTGCTAAGTCGGACATGCCGCCGTATTTGAACGAGAAGATGACAGTCTGTTGGCCAAAGTTGGCTTCAAATCTGCGGAGTTGAATACGGTATATATAAAGAAATCCATATCGAGAGGAAAATGCATATGTCAGATATATATATAATATAGATATATATATATATTTTTCCCTAGGATCAAATTATCTGAATTCATGGCGTCAAGCCGTGGCCCTTATGGGATTAAGTACTCACTCTGTGCTTATGTGTATCTCGGGCGGTTTGCCTGTAGCATTTTGAATGACTAAAAACATTTTGGTAACAATTTCAATGACGTGCCCCGTTTGAAATACGAAATCTCCCTTCTTGCGGCCGAATTCCGACTGGAAGAGACGGAATAAATCAGAATTTGCAGCTTAATCACAGCGCTTAGGTATCGTTTACCGCCTTCACATGGAACACAGCAATGTCATCCAGATAGGGGCTTAGCGACATTCGGTAAATCTCCGACGCAGGCACTCTATACTTGATTTGCAACGTTCTTTGATCCAACAGCAGCAGCGAGGAGGTGGACAGGACCAACAAAATGGGGACGAACTGAAATCATCATGTAAGCATACAATTTTCCACTTAGGAACAATACTCTACAGATTACCTTGCCGCTGGAGCGCGCTATCTTGTTGATTATATCCGCAAAAACCACGTACTGATCATTTGTCTCGGAGCACATCTTCTTCCACTGCTGATTGTGGCGCAGTCTGACATAGTCGCCCACAAAAGGATGTCCCACACTGTGCAGAATCAAATGGAACCCAGATAAGCCAAATCAGATAAGTAAGACTGTATGAAATCCCATACCTTCGACCATAGGAGGCTTTCCGATCCTTAAAGATGATACTAGCTGTAACCTTCTCTCGCATCCGATTGCGCGCTGTCTGATCGAAGGAGTTGCGGTAAATATAGCACTTCCACCGATGGTAGATTGACCGCAACAGCCGCGAGGCGTCAGCGAGAAAGACTGGAGCTGCTGGCCACTCCGTGGAAAGCGGACTCAACGTGTTCGGAGGCAGTCGAAGGGGTATGGTCAACAGGAACTGCCGGATTTTCCACTGGCGATAGTAGCGACCTATCACGTCGATGGCCCACTTAACCTGGCGTTTGTACTTAAGAGACCGATACTCTTCGCGAGCCTGGTAGGGAAATGCATGAATGGTAAATATGTGGACTAAAAAGTGTCAAAAAAAATCGAATTATGTATAAAAACGAAGCGATCATGCTCATATGAATAAAATTATATTTAATAAAATATACATATTAGAGGTATAATAAACCCTTCTCATGCAGCATGTCTAACGTTTATATTATATTGCTGTCTATTTTTCCAAAATTATATTACTTTTCCTACATAATATAGTTTCAAATTATATTCATATATAACATCTAGTCAGGTACTAGACCTGTAGATTGATAAAGCCCTTTACTATTTACTAGTTAATTTACAAACACTGCATGGGTATAGGAACTTCGGCTTCCCGAAGATAGCTTTTATTATTGTTTTGGTTGAATTAAGATTAAGTAATAAAGAATATGGGCAATGCTTACGACACGATATAAACTCCATAAATGCCTACGACCAGTGAAGGGAATGCCAAATCGGCACTCCTAACATGCATAAAATTAAGATTAAAGAAAAAATTCACGTCATGCTGTGTTAAATAAGTGATATTGGAATGCTGATCTTACCCGCCACGTGCGCCAGGCACTTGAGATGACCATCTGGCTCTGTCGCATGCGTTGGTAGCGCTTTCTAGCGTGGTACATGCGGAACATCTTTTGGATCAACACGGCCAGCTCGCTGATGCGCAGGCGGCGGAACTGTTCCAGTTCGTAAACGGTGCGCGGACTGCGCACGAACACATTCTTGGTGCCTATTGTAAACTCGGCCGAGGGCAGCGGCAGGTTTCTGATGATCAGGGCTATGCCCTCCACCTGACTGCCGCCGTGGAAGTGCGGCCAGGTCAGGCTATTGAGCAGCTTGTAGCGGTGAAAGAACTTGACGTGCAGCAGGTGGTAACAATGGCCGGTGCGGCACAAGTGGACCAGTGGCATCAGAGACATATAGCGTACCTGGTGCTGCACTAGTGCCATGTCAAACTGATGAGGCTGCTTACCCTCATTGGGTTTAATGCAGAAAACGTAGTGGGAGCGGCGATGCTTCACGATGGCAAGCAGGGTTTGGAGCTGGGTACGGATGTTCGAGCTCAGCGTGCTTGGCTTCTTGGTTACTTGACGGCGGGGATTGCCCTCGGGAAACAGACTCTGTATTAGCGACAACTTGCTCTGGTAAAACGCGGCACTGATGTACTTGGGCAGGACGTCAGAGTTTTTCTCGAGGAACCGGTGTATTGAGTAGTTCACCACGTTGGCAAAGTGTCGAATTCTGCAAAATGCAAAACCATGAATTAGGATTCGAATAGGAATCGAATCGGGCGTAACACTGGAAACTAACTGAAAGCACATGGAATTGCTGCCGGTAGTCATGAAGTTGGGATGCCCCGCACAACACTGCTGAACACGCAAGAGAAGGGCCTCGTTGCTGTTTAGATGGGATTCGTTTATTAGGCTCAGGATGCCATAGCTTGGCTTGTCAATCAGCTCGCAAATGGACTCGTTGTCGAAGTAGTCAATCCGCGACCACTCCATTCCCTCGCGGATGTAGAGCTCTTGCTCTGAGCGCAGAACATGGAAAACAAAGTTCTGGAATCGCAATAAAAATACAAAAAAGTTATTAATTAACCCCAAAACATCTTAAAAAATAACAATTCTTGCCTGATGGATCTTTTCCGCACTATAATTTATTGCAAACTGCTCGAAGGAGTTGTGGTCAAGCACTTCGAATCCGTAAAAGTCCAGCAGGGCCAGGTTCTTCTCGCGCTGCGTCGATTTTAAAGACTCATTAATTTTGTTGACTAGCCATGTAAAAAGACGGCTGTAGAGAGTGCGACATAGCGTGTTCCGGTTGCAGGCCGCCTGCCTGGCGTCCATTTCGCAGCCCACATCCTCCTGGGCGCTGTTAGAACTGTTCGCTCTGGTTAAACAGTTGATCAGAATCTGAGCCTCCATATTGAGAAGCTGTGCTGTCTCCTGAAGCTCTGTATGGGTTGAATATTGTTTGTTACTATCGATCAATAAGCTTGGTAAGATGAAGCAAATGACTTACCGTAAACATTGGACACCTGACAGCCCTCGGTGCCATCGATGTTGGTGATAGGCACAAAAATGAAATTGCCTAGCTTTAGCACTACAGCTATGACTCGAAAGATAGAGCTTATTTCATCGCAGCTAAGGCCCAGAACATCCAGAGAGCGCTAAAATATTAATGTTGCTTAAAAAGGTTCAAAAGATTTATTACACGAGCTTGTAGCTAACCTTGGTATAGTGAAAATTCATGCGGTCTTCCTCCATGGCAGTTGTGTTGCGAAGCAGCTCGTATTTCTCCACATTCCGGTACAGCTTGAGCGATTCTAGTGATACCAAAAATAATTCGAAATTTCCTTTAAAGTCTTCTTTTAAACTTACTTAGCAATTGGAGATCAGCACCAAGTAGCAACTGGTAAAATATGTGAAAGTTTCGCTCTCCCATGGTGGTGTCCGTTATACGGGTCTGTGGAGGGAAAATAAATTATAAGTAAGATTATCTTTAAGTGTGAAAGATTTCAAAGATGTAAAGCAAACCTTTTCCAACATATCTTAGGGTTAAGCATGTAGAAAATTAATTATTTATTATATATATTATTATTTAATGGCACAATATTTTTACTTACAGTGAGTTATGTGCACTCCCATTGGATCGCCCTTAAAGTCAATTTCAATATCAAACAATTTGCCCTATAAGGAAACCAAAAAGCATTAAGACATTTAAATTAGGAACGTCAAGGAATTTTATACAAGGTTTTGTTTTAGACTTACATATCGACTTGAGTTATTATTCTTCAATGTACAGGCATTGCCCATGGCCTCCAGGAACACATCCGCACAGGTGACGCACTCACGCAGTCTCTGCGTTGGCGACTTGTGGCGCCTGTGCAGCGAAGAGCTGGCCGAGGGCGTGGGTGACACTGAACTCGGCGGGGGCGGCAGGTCGCCCAGCACCTTGCTCAGTTTGTGTGCATCGTACAGCGATATACGTTGCGTCGATCCCATAAGGGAGCTCCGATCCCTTTCCCGCTCCGGCTGACTTTCAGTCGAGTGCTGGCGCATTAAGTTAGAGCAGCTGCCACGGTGCGGATGCGCTGAGTGGGTGGCAGTGATGGTGGACAAACGACTGTTACTGCCACGGAGCTCAGCACGGTCTTCCTTCTCCAGACTCTGGGCACGAACGCACTTGCTGTGGCCGCACTGGCGGCAGCCTCCGTAGCCAGACAAAGAGGGCACGGCATACTTGGGGGACCCCTTGGCAGCAGCCGAGGGCGTAGCAATGCAGGCGCCGACTTGAGTCTGCTGGTGCTTGAAACACGACTTGGTCGGATGCAAGTGGTGAGCGTGCGATTCGAGCAGGCCACTGATGTTTTCGCTGCTTTTATGGTGCGAGAAGTCAAAGTCTACGATCTTCTCGCGCATGTGGCGTCTTGTCTGACGTTCGATGCTCTCGGCCCTTGTTCGTGACCGCTGCGAGGGTCCTGGCGAGGGACTCTGGCGCCGCGAATTGACGGTCGCGGTCGGGTTTTCAGCTCTGTTCTTGCAAATGATAAAGTTGGCAGTGCCGGAGCAGCTACTAGAGGCGCGCCTATGCGCGTGTAGCACCACCCCACTGGCCGAGCTGGTCGAGGATTGCTTGCGCAGGACATTCGGGGTGGGAGGGCAGTGCGCGCGATCCTGTATGTGGGTCAGGAAGTTTACGATCATTTTGAATGTCTCCGTCTTTCCCGCCCCACTTTCGCCCGTGAGGAGTACGCATTGGTCCTCGCTTTGGTCCTTGAGCGACTGGTAGGCCAGGTTCGTAAGGCCGTATCTAAAAGGGATAAAGGGAAGTGTAAGCATTGAGCTGAAACCAAACAAATCGAGCTCAGCGTACATGTGGGGCGGCAGCTGGAAGATGCCCTTATCGCCATAGTTCCGGACATTATCCAGCGAGTGCTCGGATATGTGATGATATGGATTCAGAGCCACAACAGAAGTTCCAATGTAGGTCTGCAAAAAGGAATAATGTATGTAAAATAATGTGTTTAGTATACACTAAGAGATCACGGCTCCAAACTCACATATATGTGATCGCGCTTGTAGCGCTGGTGGATGTTGTTAATAAAGCTATCCTCGGACAGGTTCTCCAGCAGAACCGAGTCCCAGGTGCCGATTTCCTGCTCCATCGCGACACCCAATTACAACGTGCACGGCAGTAGTGGCAGCAGCAACAACAACGACGGCGGCCAAAATCGAGCTCAGCATTTGAATACATCAACTGGTAACGGGGCCAAGACGAGACCGACACCGACACCGAGAACGGGAACGGCAGCGGGTGGGAAGGTGGTCGGTAATGGCTGCAACAATTGCATAATTTATCGCGGGCCCGCTTGCATCTGGGCAAAAATCCGTGTTTTGATTTTCTGATTCAATTATTGATTTTCATGTGCTGGCGAGCAACAGCCTCGAGAACGTGTACACACAGATATCCCCGTTTTGCCACTCCGACGCTTCAGCTCCGTAACTCCGCCACTTTCTTTTCACTACCGGAGGCTTTGCATTTCGGTGTAATTGCTTTTTTTAGCCACGAATTGCACATTTTGTTTACCTTCTCATTTATTTTTTGCATTTAGTGGGTACTAGGGGTGGGCAGCCATCGATGACAGAAACAATGTATTTCCTTGGCCAGTTATCGATTATACACCCTAGGAAAGAGTACTAGTATTTTGTCGTCGAGCCCAATAAGATATAGCTGGACTTTAGAGAGATTGTTTAATGCAAAAGATTAATATCAGTTTTAATTTGGTTCGATAATTTACTGCATAACAGCTGGGTGGAAGTTTAAATGAAACTAACATATATTTTTTCAATTTCACAGGTTTTTTGGTATTTTCCCTTTTGAAAAGAGGTATTTGCGAAGTCGGCCTTCAAAAATTACTTTATTTGCATCTATCGAACCATTGTCCATCGCTATTGCCAATTTGTTGTTCCACGGAGAAGAATATATAGGCTTCTATGGTTGTCCAGTTCCTGCCCAGACCATGAATACAGACGAGCGAAACTTTCGTTCCAGCTACTATGAGAAATGCCTGATCAACAGCGTGGAGGAGAAGAAGTCGCTAAACAAACTCCTCCAAGATGATGTCCGCAACCTAAACAAACTGAAGCAATTCTGCATGAACTACACTGTGCCCAACATCCACAGGAGCTATCTGTGGGCCCTGGTGATGGGCATCCTGCCGCTCCACAAGGCTTCCACGGCCTATATACGCGACCAGAGACGAGAGGTTTACGAGGATCTGCTGCGAGCAGTAACAGTACTTCAATGTGCTGCCCAGAAAGAAAAGGAGCTGGTGATGCACACCATGTGGCTGCTAGAGTCCAATCGACTGTGGCACGGAAACGCCAGTGCCAGTCTCCAGGCGGACGACACCCACTTCATTGAGATCGTGCGGACTTTGCTACAGATATTTAACGACGACGTGGACACCTACTGGATAGCCAAGGGATTCTACAAGTACACCCGCGAACTAAAGAAGGAGTGCTCCAAGCTGAAGGAGCAAACACAGATGCTGCTTAAGCGCGAGGACCATCCGCTGTTCATGTAGGTTTCCAATTGGGGAAAAAAAATAAGTAAAAGATTCGTAATGATTATTTTCCCTTTTCAACAGCCATCTCGAGGAGCTGGGAATGTTTGACAGCAACTCCACCCTTCTAGAGAATTGGTTCATCACCTGTTTTGCAGGCGTCATTTGCGAGACTGTTTTGGTTAAGATATGGGACAAAGTGTGCGGTGGCTCTCGTAAAATTGTAGTTTTCCTATTCATTGAGATAGTAAAGGACTTAAGGTCCCTGATTCTACAGCAGAAATCCCTGGCAGTAGTTAAAAGGCTGATAGAAGGGGTAAGTAAGGTTCTACCAGTCCAATTGTCTTCTCAACCCTTGTATTCTTTTCCAGGTAAAGGATCTCGATGGCGTCATTGTTAACAAAGCCATCAAATCGCTGCAGATCAACAACAGCGAGGTCGAGTACACACACTAAGCATATAATTCTACATTTTTTATATTGGACATATAAAGGCGAAAGCAAGAAACTAAATGTATTTGAAGATCACGTCCTTCTTGTCACCCACCGTCTGCAGTTCCAGCGTCACTGGGCACTGCATCCAGTAGGAGAGCAGCTCCTCCGTATAGCCGATTAGGAAATACATTTTTCGCGGAGTAATCGCCTGCCGGATGAGGGCCGCGATTCGAATGGTGTTGTGTTGCCGCTTGATGATGACCTCGGAGCAGACGAGGGCGTGCCAGGTGCCCGTCATGAACTTGCGAATGAATACATCCTCGATGGCGGTCTGGGAGGGGCGCTGGGCGTTCTTTAGGGTTGCTGGAATCGGGCAATAGAATCGTGAAATTGATCTCTAATAAATTGTTTCAACTCACAAGTGTTCCAAGAGTTCCACGACTTGCGGTGGCCAATGAAGTGCGGCGGATTAGCCATCTCGTAGGTGAGCGGTCTGTTCCGCTTTGTGGTTATGCGGTAGCGGCCAGATTGCACGCGACAGCACACGGCGCTGGTGTGGATGCTCGATCGGCTGAGCAGCTGTGCCTCCGCCAAGGCCACCTGCGGCACCAGCTGTGGTGGGGAATATATCATGGAATTTAAAAACCAATTTTATTTCTATGTTTAACTTACCTTTTTCAGAAAATTCATTATTATTTTTCGGCAGAAACAATTTTGCGTCCAGCAACAGCTGATTATAGTGACGTAACGGCTGATTAGAGATGGGACATTTGTGTAGAGGGAACTCGATATCTATTAATTTTTACAAATTTTAAATTAAGAAATAATTCAATTTTATTCTGTCTTTAAAGACTTAGTTCATTTAATGTATTCAGTTTTAAATTTTAATAAGAAATAATAGTAAATGCCTCAGCTTTCTTAACTTTATTTGGCTATTTTGAATTTGAATAACTTGTTAAATGCTACATTATTATTTATTGCATTATCTTAATGTTAAATTGCAGTAAGGACTGATAAAACCGAAAAAAAGTGTATGGCTTAAATTCCTTGTACGAACCATTTTCAAAAGTTGCGCTCTCTATCGATTGCCTATATTCAACCGATAGCAATTTCTTGGACTTGGTAACACTGGCAAGAGTACTAGGCCTGCGCGAAGCGCTTGGAAAATGGCCTAAACGCAGGACATTGAACAAAGATCTCGGCAGAGGATCAACTGGTGAACTACCTGCCGCAGTGAATGTAAAACCGGGCTCTTCTTGGAACTCCTGCTACCTGCCAAAGGGCCAGAGAAGATACTTTCGCAGCCATGACGCTGAACGAGAGCGACGCCACTCGCTTGGAGCTAACGCGCAACTTTCTGGAGCTGTCCCGCAATGCCGAGACCTGCACCGCCCTTCGCAGCTCCGACTGCATCCAGCTGCTGGTGCAAATACTGCACGCCAATGACGAGGGACTGGGGACAGCGCGGAAGTACGCCAGTCAGGCACTGCACAACATAGTCCACAGCCATCCGGAGGAGAAGGAGCGCCAGCGGGAGGTGAAAATGCTGCGCCTGCTGGACCAGATTCTGGACTACTGCAACTTCCTGCGCACCCAGCTGCAGAGCGGTGGTGAGGCGATCGCAGACGATGAAGATCGGCATCCGCTGGCAGCCATGAAACTGCTAATGAAGGCCAGCTTCGACGAGGAGCACCGCCAGACAATGTGCGAGCTGGGCGCCCTTAAAGCAATTCCCAACCTTGTGCACCTCGATCACGCAGTTCACGGGCCGGCTGCGGGCAGGGAACAGTGCAACGCCCTAAGGAGCTACGGCCTAATGGCCCTGACGAATCTCACTTTCGGAGACGAGAACGTCCACAACAAATCCTACCTGTGCGGTCAGCGCCAGTTCATGGAAGTGGTCATTGCCCAGCTGAACACGGCTCCGGATGAACTGCTGCAGGTCCTTGCTGGAGTGCTGCGTAATCTCTCGTGGCGCGCGGACAAGCATATGAAGACTATCTTTAATGAGCTTGGCACGGTGACGTCCTTGGCCCGAGCAGCCATGCAAAACAAGAATGAAAATACCCTGAAGGCCATACTCTCTGCTCTGTGGAATCTTTCGGCGCACTGCAGCACCAACAAGGCAGAGTTCTGTGCGGTGGACGGAGCGTTGGCCTTTCTAGTTGGAATGCTGAGCTACGAGGGCCCGAGTAAGACTCTCAAGATAATCGAAAACGCTGGTGGCATTTTGCGGAACGTGTCCAGTCACATTGCGGTGTGTGAACCCTACCGTCAGATCCTGCGACGTCACAATTGCCTTTCAATTCTCCTGCAACAGCTGAAGTCCGAGTGCCTGACTGTGGTGAGTAACTCTTGTGGAACCCTGTGGAACCTCTCAGCCCGCTGTCCCGAAGACCAGCAGTTTCTCATCGATCACAACGCCATTCCACTCCTCCGCGCCCTGATCACCTCAAAGAACTCGATGATTGCCGAGGGAAGTGCTTCCGCCCTTAAGAATCTGGTCAACTTCAGGGCGACCCTGGAGCTGATGCCCAACGGAGACGGTGGATCGTTGCCGTTGGACAAGGAGTCTGGCCACGCAGGAACGCTGCCCCGGAGGTATAGCTCACTTCGCCTTAGCTCGAATCCTACGGGATCACTGAAAAAGGTTCGACCTTCCACAGTGAGCACGACCGGAGGTTTCCTCACTAGGAAGTGCGAGAGCCGAGAGTCCATTTACTCGGGAAAATCGGACTCCACAAAATACTCAACCAAGTCTGAGGGTGGCAAGAATCCTTTTGAAATAGTAACGCCCACCGAAGAGCAGCCCATTGACTATTCCATGAAATATATGGAGCATAAACCTAATAGCTCAAAGACCTTCGAGATTGACTTGGACCAACCCACGGACTTTAGTGCCAGATATAAAGAGAGGCGATCTGTTCAGCCGTTAGCGAAGCCAGAGCTGAAGTCAGAGACAAACAAAGCTACCAATAACGCCCTGCCGCTGGCCAAGTCATCCTCGGCCACGGAGCTGCCAAATGGAGCAGGTCACTTGCCAGTTTCAACAGCGAAGCAGAAACTAGCGACCAAAGCCGATACGGAAACAGGAGAGCGGGAGCGTCCGATCAACTACTGTGAAGAGGGCACACCTGGCAGCTTTAGTCGCTTTGACTCTCTCAACAGTTTGTCCGAGAAGCCGGATAAATCAGTACCACCGAAAACACCCACGAAGCAACCTATTGTTCAGCCAGGACAACTGGACCGGAATACCCCTCAGATCATTGACTCTGCGCTGGAAACTCCCTTGATGTTTTCGCGACGCAGCTCAATGGATTCCCTGGTGGGCGACGACGAGACCATTGCCTGCGACGACAACGGATCCGTCATCAGCGAATACAGTCGAATGCAGAGTGGCGTCATTTCCCCATCAGAACTACCCGACTCACCTACCCAGAGCATGCCGCAGTCTCCAAAAAGGGACCGAAAGATGCCAGATTCTACACAGCATAGCTCGCAGACGACTGCTTGCAAGCCGACTAGCAATGTTTTCGAGGACAAGCTCAGCAGGTTCCACGAGGAGCACACGCCTGCAAATTTCTCCTGTGCCACCAGCCTGAGTAACCTGAGCATGCTGGACGACTCCAATGCGAATGCCAATCGAGGACCACGAGGCAGTGACATCAATGGCAATGCGGATGCTCCTCGAAGCTATTGCACTGAAGACACACCGGCGCTGCTCTCCAAGGCGCCCAGTAACAGTGATCTTTCCATTCTGTCGATACCCAACGACATAAACGCCAACGAGGAGCACCCGGAGGTTAGGGAAAAACCTATTGTTTCTGGGATGGACATCCGGACACCGGCGGAAGACGCGATATCCAAGATGCGTTGTGGCGGAAGTGCATTGCCCAGTTATCTGCCAGTTTCGGATGAAATGAGCAAGTATTATGTAGAAGACAGTCCCTGCACCTTTTCGGTGATTTCTGGGCTATCGCATCTCACTGTAGGCTCCGCCAAGGCGGGGCCTGTCTCAAGTCTGCCCATGAGAGCTTCAGAGGAGGCGCCCAAGCTGCCGCCCAGACGCAGTGCCATTCACGGGGAAGTTGAGCCTCGTCTGCCCCCAAAAAGAAGCGATTCGTTGAGCTCACTGTCCATGGACTCGGACGATGATGACAGCAATCTACTAAGCCAGGTAAGAATGGTTTATCTTTATTTAGTTTCAGCTCTCGCTTTGAGAGTCCTCAAGGTTCAACATTATTTTATGATAAATGTGTACCACAGTCTCAAGTAACTTTTATATGATATATTGGTTCTTCAAGAAAATGTTAAATTTCTTTATTTAAGAATCAATTGACCTTATTTTCGAGTCGGAATGTTAATGAAAGCTTAGAAATATTACCCAAAAATTGAATTTGTTGAGGAAGTTGGTAAAATATTAGTTTATCCTCTCATCTCCAGGCCATTGCAGCGGGAAGCTGCCGACCCCAACCCAGTGGAGCCAGCACCAGTTCCAGCTTGGCCAACACTAGTACCAGCACACTGACCAAGACAACAAATGGCCAAAAGAAGCAGCCACAGCTGGAGGAAAATGGTGACAAGCTGAACTACAGCTCGGATGATTCGTTGGACGACGATGACGACGATGCAAGATCAAAATCCCTGTTCGAGCAGTGCATCCTGAGCGGCATGCACAAATCCAACGACGCGTTGGAGTCGGAGAGCGGCGACCAGACGGAACAGCAGCGACAGGAGACGAGCGCTCGGGATCGGTTTGTCAGCAACCAGGTGCGTCAGATCGAGTCCATGTTGGCTGGGCGCCAGCACTAGCAGCGGATGCGAGAAGCGTGGTTAAGTGAGAAGCGCATGCGTTTGTTTGGTGCCTTTTTTTAATCTTGTCTATGCAATAATATTCTCACGGTCTCAATTTTCCTATAGTTCAGATTAAAAATTTGCGCTTAATTTTAACTCTCCAACACGTGATACGTCTACCCTGATCTCTCGTAAAATAGCATTTGGGAAGGACAATTAAGGAAACTAAGAGGGCTGAATGGTAAACAGTCGGTGTGTGTATAAATAAATGTTGCGAGCAACTGTGAGGTCCGGGAAACTCCTAACAAGATGCTTGGTTGGACTAGCTTATGGGGCGATGAGCGGCCTTAATAGAAACGTTTTCGCGCATTACGATCCTTGAAGTAGGAAATGGCGAAGATGGCCACCGCCGCCGCTGCAACTACAACGAAGAGGAGGATGAAGAAGATCTTTGCGTTGGACATGCCAGGCTTGGGATCGTCTTTGTGTTCACGCGGGGGCTCAAATGTCTTGGCATTCGGAATAATATTCGTGCGTCGAATAATCTCTTCTTGCTGTAGGAGAAAAAAAGGATGGATATTAGTAGGTTCTCGCACAATAGACATTAATCACTTACAGTTGTATCCGTATCGATGTCGTAGAACTTGAAGCTGTGGATGTCGTGATTGTCGGACAGATCGCCCGTCGTAGCAGACAGTCCAAAGTAGTAGCCAGTAGGAAGTTCCACATTGGCTACCACAAAGCAGCTCTTCCACTCGTTCCGATTCTCAAGATCTGTGGACACAGACAGAATATCGTTCTCGTATCGAATGCTGATGAGCGTCTCATAGTCCACGTTGCGGAATCGAACTTCGCAGCCGGCCAACTGGGTGTGTGTGCCATCGCGATCATGATCGTAGCTCCAGCTGCCGTTGTTAACCATGGCACTCAGATACGGATGTTGGTGCTTGAAAAGGAGTAAAGTTGCTCAATAACAAGGTAAGTTTTGTCATAAGATTACCTACGTTATGCGGCCCATTGTGATTGCTGTATGTGTCTAGAATGATGGCCAGCCCGGAGAAGTGGTCTTTGCTGCCGAAGACCGGTCCCGTTTCCATGCGGTCCTTGGTGTACCAAATTGCGAAGCCATCGCCAAAGAGCTCGGTGCCCTTTCCATGAACCTTGAAGCCCACATGAACCTCCCAGTTGCGCCCCATTACGGGCTTGAGAAGTAATAAAAAGGCAGAACATAGAATGCTGATAAGGTCAGGCAAGGGAGTGAATGCGAATTAGACTTACAGAGAAGTTCCAAAGGGCGCCGCTCTTGGACTGCAAGTCCGGTGTCAGTCTTATGTAGTTGCCGGTCACCATTGTGTTGCCCAGGAAGTCCCAGTGCGGCAGGATTACGCCCACACCTGCAACGAAGCGGAAGTGCAGCCACGTTCCAAGTACACGTAAACCTTCGCAGCCGAAACCGAAATCAAAGCGAAACCTACCTTGAAATGGACGCACCAGCGAGTGCTCCCGCTTCATGTACTCCCCCTCGTCCGGCATATCCACTTCGCTCAGCACTGCTAACGGGGCGGCGAGGAGCGCCAGCAGCGCCAGGGAACAGTGTGCGCCAGTCGGCTTGGTCATGGCTGCATTCGTTGGCCTCCGAATTGGTTAAAAAGATGTGGAAAATAAAGGCAAAGTTTTTTTCGCCGGCCAATTAGTGGTGAGCAATAAGGGTACTAGTGACTCATTCACTGTGATTGCCAACTATCGGCTGTGATCAGTCATTAGGTCACATTAAATTGTCAGTAAGTTATCGAAACTGGCAATCGAGCGTTATTTATTTAAATCGAATTTAAAACAGTTTATTTAAACTGCTAACAGTTTAAATTCAATCTGGAACAACCGTCTTTAAATTATATAAATGTGAAAAAGAACAATCACGACATTTCTCTGCAAAAAGTTTTGAAGTCTACAAAATAATGAAGTCTTCGTATAATAAAATTAAAAAAATATATTTTGAATGTTTATTTATATTTTATTTTATATTTTAACTTTCTTCCCATAACATAACTTATATATGTATGCGGAGTGAGACTTATGTATGTACACCACAAATATGGGACAAATTGCACCCGCTATAAATTTGTTACGGAAGTGCAGCTAATGCCACTAAACTGATGAATGCAAATTATTGTTTTGGACAGTTTCCCCCTTTTTTGGCGCTTAATTCACGCGTCCAACCAGTTTATTATTAATCGCTTTGGATCGGCTTACAACGCCAAACAACGCAGCCCCGTTTGTCATGGTAACGGCCAGCACAGCGCTGCTGCGAGAGACGTTTTTATGGCTTATTGCACACGCACATTGGCGCCTTCACGCCTCGGCTCTTGGAAACGGGGCGGGGGGAAAACCAGTTCCAGTTGCAGTTGCGGTTCCAGTGGCACTTCCCACCTGATAGTTTTCTTCTCGGCGCGTGCTTGGGGGTCACTGTCAAGGTCGTGGAGTGATCGTGAGAACGATCGATAGACGAATAATGCAAATGCGACAGGAATGCAGGCATTAGTCCGATTCAAATGCGCATTTGGGCACAATTAGCTAATTGGCAGGCAGAGATCGGCTAACGGTGAAAGATCACCTGTGTCAGGTGCGTCAGTTGTGAAAGGCGGCGATGGAGATTCTGATGCTTCCTCAACACGCCGCTAATTGGCATATAACCTGCCTAATTATATCAGTCATTTATGAAATCATTTCACTTTTCACCTCCCCAAAGCTTAATGCATTATCTGAGCCAGTTTCCGCCGAGATATATATTTTTTCGTCATTTGTTCTTGTCGATTGGCGGCTTGAGTCACCTCAGCATTGCGATCGATCGATCGACTTCCTCATGGTTGCGAGTGAAATATGGCGGTTATTTCGGGATCGCGTACTCAAAGGGAGTGTGAAGGGGAGTGGAGGCAAAGCGGAGGCCTAAGAGCCCAAGCTCCCTAATGAAAGTTTAAATGATTAATCGTTCGCGTGGCAGAGTTTTCCAGCTGATTGGCGGCAGCAGGATGTGGCTATCAACATAGCTGGGACATCGCGTCACTGGCTATTTATGGCCAGATAGAATCTGGCAATTAGTAGAACGCTTAAAAGCTCATTTGTCTGATGTATATTGTAGCTATCGGCTGTCATGTGCGGACAAGTTGGGGCCCAAACAAACCGAAATCCGAAACCCGAACGCCGAACGCCAAACTTTTCAATTCCTCAAAGTGGCAATAACCTGGGGCCAGGCCAAGACAGGCCAAGTCTGAGGCCGCTCGGCATTTCATTGATTGATAACCTGCTGCCGAGCTGCGAATCGAACCTGGCAAAGAAAGCCAAAGTACGCGCAAGGCAATTGGCTAATTGATTCAGCAAAAATCAATGGCAATCAGCAATTAGCCGCATTAATTGCCTCGCTTACAGCAATTGAGTGTGAACTTGACCCTCTCGCCATGGATTTGAAGACAATGCAAAAACCGAAGAGAACAGAACGGAGAACGGAAGGCCAGCCAGATAATGCCCTCGCAAAAAAATATCTAAACTATCGCCCATAGAATGGGTATTAAAGGTAGCAATTGATGCAATGGAACTCTGGCAAAGAATAAATTTATTTTACTTATTCATAAAATTAAATCTATATTAAAACTTATCCTGTGTTTTTTTTAGTTGTATTACCTCTTTGTATATAGCTGTATATCTACCAAAATAATGTGTATTTCAAATAGATGAGAACCTCAACTATACTTATCCGATAGTTTCAACGGTTTCATAAAAAGCACCCTCTAAAACACCTGTAGAGTGGTTAAATTAAATTAATCTTAATCTATAGCTGTTTTTATAAGTCCAGTAAAATCGGTTTTGCCATACAGCCAACTGTAATGTCTAGACCTTTAGCTGACATAACCCTTTCGCGGAGAGTATAAATTGAATATTCAATAACTTCGACTTTGGCGGTTGCAGCTCCGGCCAAGGAGCTTTTGTGGCCAGCTGTGGATTGAACTTGAACTTGCTCTCTCCCGCTCCGCACCGCTCCTCACTGCCCCCCGAAGAGTTGGCGTATAAAACAACAAACATAAAAAAAAGACTCTATTTAACACAAACGCATTTCTCGCATAGCAGCAGACAAGTGTGCAAATCGTATTAAATTAAAGTTAATCAAGCATGACAAGCATTCCTCATGAATTTCACATTTATCGCCGTTTTTTAAGGGCCGCCACACAGCAGCAAACATTTAGCGACATCCATAATGCATGTCCGTCACATAAATGTCAATCGTTTAACGATACACTTAGCTCGGAAAGATGCTGCCGACGGGGTTCTATGGGGCATCATGGACTGCTCCGCTTCCGGCTGAGAACTATCGAGCGTGCTGTGTGTTCACGACAGTCATAGTTGTGACACTGCCGCCGTTTGTGTTATGATTATAATTATGCATATTGGCATTCTTAATCACAGAAGCGAGCATAGCGTAAATTGTCATTTAAATCCAGCAAATACAATGGCAAATTTCACGGTCAAGTGGAAGTGGCCGACCGAGGCGGAAGAGGCCAAGTTGTTGTTTTCACCTGTACACCTATAGGTGTTGCTGGCCAGCTTTCCAATTACATATGCTAGATAAACGGATTTGCATGGGCGTCCAGCGGCAGCAGCAGCAGCTGATCGACCCGTTTGGAGACCCAAAACTGGTTACCGGAACCAACAACATGGGCAGCCCCCAAATGAATATTGATTCGCTAGAAAGTTGAATCCGCGCTGCAGTTTGCGGCTCCGATTCCCCTGCAGAGAACAAACATCACGTGGCCGCCGGGCAAAGGCAAATTGCACGTAGGCCAACGTTTGCTACCGTTGGGAGCACCTTCAAGCTACCAGCCACCAGCTCCTCTGAAAAAAAAAACTCACTCAAGCTGGCTGAGAAAACTCACTCAAGACAAAAACGCACGGAACAATCGCGCGGCGACGGGGACAGCGCCGTCGACGTCGGCGTTCGGGCCATGCTTTATATAAAATCAACTGAGCATATCTGTTGGAATTCATTAAACGTTTTACTGCACAGTCGTACAGAGCAGTCCGAGATCCGATCCCCACTCCGAGAGTCCACGAAAATATCCACCGTGTAAGAGCCAGCAGCACTTGAAGTAGAGTCAGTCAGTCAGTCAGTCAGTCAGTTACATTGTTGCGAGCGGACGGTCCGCAGTTCACAGCCTTTGGATTCAGCTCTTTTTTTCCTGGCTTCGCGTGCTCGTCGGTAACCATAATAAACGCAACGGAAAAAACACACACAACAAATAACAAAATCAAGCAACAAAGAAAATAACGCATTGCTGCATTTGTTTACGAAACTAGCAACTGAAGAATTTACCAAACAGACGTTAAACAAAAATTAATGAAATTCAAAGCCAAAACGTTTTCGTGTTCAAGCAAATAAAAAGTGCAAGTGTTTAATAATAATTCCAATATTTGTTAACTAATTGCAGCTTCTCAAACACGCACGTACCAGCGCAGCTTAATCAGCCAGCAATATGAGATTCGTAAGTATTTTTAAGTATTTTATTATGCATATTTCGTTGCAAATTCCTTGCAAGTTCGTTTCCTAAGTCTTTCGTTGTCGCCACAAGTTTGCTTCTTAAGTCTTTCGTTTTCGCGACAATTGTGCTCGCTAATGCTCTGTAATTGTTAACACGTTGAAGCCTCGTTTAAGCCGCAAATGAAGTCAACTATTTCGGTTTGACAGTTGCCAAATGACCGCTGCGGCCTGGTCCAATGACGACGGCTGCATTGTTCGCTCTCTTCAAGAATTTTTATTGGGCCCTGGCACTCTAATTTATGGCCAACAGAGTAACAAAGTCGTGTGTGTCAGCCAGCGGGCCATGAAAGCCAGCCAGCCAGCCAAGCCACCGCCTCGATATGTCTATATCAGTTCCTATATGCTCTAGGCCAAATATAACTTTATGGCTTGCTTTTCTGGGCCTGCATTAATATGAGAGGCCATCCGTTGAAAATTTGATGAAAACTCGTATGCATAATATACGAGTATGCATAATCCGAGCCAGATCTTTCTACATAATTCGATCTTGATAAGAAGATTATGAACACGCAGCTGGAATGCTAGCTCATTTCGCCCCAACGCTCGTTATTTTTTGAAATTTCTTTTAATTTCACATAAAAGTTTACGTTTTCACCTTTGTTTGATTATTTAATTAAACCAGTTGGGACTTTATTAACGATTTTAAATGTTATTGGCTCCAAAATGAACAATATTCACAATCAATTTTAAAAGTCACTTGTGCAATGCTTAAAATAATTGAAAAGACAAGTAAACATTTCAAATCTTTATCATGGAATTCCGCTGACAATCGGAAGCTGCTATTGCTTTAAATTTAAATATTTCATCAAAATGTTAGTCACCATGAGAAAAATATGCATACACTTATAATGGGCTAAGCCCCAGCAGCTAATTAAACTAATTTTCATAATCGCTGGCGGTCGCATATTTTCCCAGGCAAATTCTGAATCATATCATAAGGTTTATGGGTCAATGAAACATTTACGTTTCGCTTGGTCTCCAAAATTATAGATCTCTAACCAGGTTTAATAAGAAGTCGCCTGCGTTTCCGCCACGCAAACGACCATCAAGTGGAGTAGCCTGCAATTACATGGGAAAACGCACGCAAAAACGCAAAAAAAACGCAAGATTGTATTCAAGTTCATGTTGAAGGCCAGATCTTGGCAGTTTGGGGCAGACAAGAAAACAAGCCGAAAACGTGCTGGGGCATGCGTTTTGTAACTTAATTGAAAAGTGCGATACACACGCGCCAATCGCCAAGAGCCATAGCCAAAGCCAAAGCCAAAGCCAAGAGCAGAGACCAAGCCAAAGTGGCCGGCTGACCAACTTCTTGTGTCCAATTGCGTGTCCCAAGCCGGCTCTCCGGCCAATCCCCCCCCCCATCCCATCCCGGCGCCACAAGCAGTCATGAATGAATCAAATGAACCGAAGCTGTGCGTGGAAAATGGAAAATAAAACGACAGCGACAACGACAACGACAACGACGACAGAGCGAAATCAAACTTAAAAACTTAAACATTATAAAAATGCAAGCGTGCAATGCATTGGAAAAGAGCTTATGCAATGGGCCAATGGTGTGGACATGGAGTTGGCAGCTGCACGCGGCAAACGGGGATCGGAGTGGACCTGGCAGAGCTGGCACCCTGGGAAACCGCAATCAACGTCGCTCTCGATTAGGATTTCGGCCATGCACACGAACAAGATTTATTAATTGCTCGCAGCCTTTTCAGCTCTCCAGCTCCAGCTCTCCAGCTCCATTCCCGCTTAGCCCACTGGGTTAATCGCTGCGGCAGATGTCCGTCCGCGTTCCATGGTCCAAAGTTACTGCCTTTTGCACGCTTTGCGTGTGGAAATTCAAATTAATTGCCATACGTACTCGTACTCGTACAATTTGATGTTGTATTTTGTATTTTGTGATTTAGTATTTTGGATTTGGGTTTGTGGACTTGGTCTTTGCGTTGCGCTTGGCTTCCCTCTAATGAAGATGTCACGCCGGAAAGTGCCGATTGCTTAATGCCCATGTACGGGGACAAAGACGACAAGTCCATTTCGTGCATAATTACCGCCACCTCCAAAGCTGCTTGGCTTGGTTTCGTTTGGATGTGGGCTTTGGGTCAGGTGGAGATATCGACACACTCTGTTGCAGAAGAATGAAAAAAAAATTAAGGAGGGAAATGTAGAAATTAAAAAAGGTGTAATAAAAGGGTGACAAAATGGCAAATCGCTTAAATTAAGCTTTTCTTTTATATCAAGTTAAATATCAGATTAATTCTTCAAAGTTTTAAAATATTTGTTTCTGGTTGCAAGTTCGTTGCCTAAGTCTTTCGTTTCAAATGTTTAAATGTGGCTTAAATCAATAAGCATTGTTGGTTTTCAAGCTCTTAGAAATATTATTCGATATTGTATTTTAAAAACAAAATTACTTTACGTATTTAATCTGATTAATTAGCAAAAACAATAAATGATTTAATGTTAGGTTCTTCAGGAAATTTATTTAAGGATTTATCAAGTTTGTTAAACTCAAGCTCAAAAAACTCAATTACTAAGTCAGTTAAAAATGGAAGTTCAGAATTCGCAATGACCTTTCCCCTCAATTATTTTATTTTCCGCTTTCAGTTAATTATAAAAATATTTAATTGATATATATAAATAAATGTACATTTGCAAATGTATATCTCCACTCGTTTGAGATTGGTAGGCTTTTCAGGAGATTTATTTAAGTCAGCATTTGAAGATTATTCCACACTTTAATCTGACAACAGGCCTAAACATTCCCAAGCCACCAAAGCTATCTGGAGCTGCTGGCCATGTCATTCGATATCGTCCCATCGCAGCGGGCACAACAGTTTTTATTACAGCTCTCTGTCGCGTCGTTGGACAGCGATTAGCGTTGGAGTCGGAATGGGAATAGGATCACGAGCTGGAGCTACAGCTGGAGCTGGAGCTGGACTTGGAGCTGGAGCTGGAGCAGCTGTTGCAATCGCTAGATTCGGGTCCGGCTGTAGTCGCAATTGTCCGCATAGTCAGTCACTCGGCAGGTCAGTCAGTGCACATGGCAAGTGCATGGCATGGACGACGTACACATGTCCAGTTGGCGACTAAAAATCAACTGCCCACATGCTCCGGATTGCGGGTTGCGAAAAGTATTTCTGCTAGATTTATCGCCGGCGATCGAAGGAGTCGCTAGTCGCAAATCTGTGCTGAGTATTCGCGTGCCCATTACCATATTTATGAGGCATGTGCGTCTACCACTGACTGGCGCTGTGTTTGGCATTTTGTCAGACTCTAAACGATACAAATTTGGCCGACATGCAGCTGGTAACCAGTTTGAACTTGAACCCATTCCGATGGCAGGAAAAAGGAAAAGCGCCCTCCATTACCGATTCTCACGCTGCAATTTTGCACTTCCTAGCGTCCAAATTGACGTTTAATAATTCAATTACGTTTCCAATTACAATTCCGATTACAATTACTCGTGCAATGACAATGGGGATGGATTGGGCAACACAATCAGCGGGGCAGCTGGCCACGAAGTCGCCAACTGACTCCGTTTCCCACCTATTAAACACAATTCAAAGTAATTTGAAGCGGCGGCAGTCAGTCCAAAGTCGTTGTTGATGTTGCCGAGTTGATGTTGCTGATGTTGCACCTACTACATCCAAAGCACTCTGCACCGATCCAACACCGGAGCAGACCCGGCGATATTTGCGTTTGCCACTCAAAGTCGGACGACCGGCCGTTTGAGCTGGGAGCTCCAAAATCCAGCAGCTCCCAGCTCCCAGCTCCCAGCTTCAAGATACGAGCTTCCGTGTTGAAAGTCAGCCAAAACGTTGCTCAATCGAGCATTGACCCCTCTGCCAAATTTGAGGGAGAGAAAAAAAGCAACTGGGCGTTGCTATCGCCGACAAAAGATAACAATAATAAGTCGTGTTCGGGGCGAGTTCAATTGTCTCGCCCAAATCACATTCACTTTTCCATCTACGTGTAGTTTTCACATAAAATTAATTACGCCCGCCCAGGCAAATGACAAATCGTTTAAGCATAAACAAGATTAATTAGCAGCTGCTCGCCTGCCACCTGGATATCCATCAGTCCCGGTTTTCCAGGCTCCCGAACTGAAACGGAATCGGACTCCAGCTCCCTCTGAGTCATGCAAATTATTTAAACCGCAGAGCTAAGCTTCTGGAACGGCTCTGGAACATATTGAAAGTACTTTTCGATTACCTGTTGCTCTGGTTGAGCAATAAATATATCTTATTTTATAGTGCATATTGGAAGCCAATCAAAATCTAAACACCCATCATAAATGCCAGCGCATAGAAATGGAAAAATCAAAATTGAAAATATAAAGGGAGCAGCGTGGCAAAGCTGGCTAAAAAAAATGTTCAGGATAGGAATTTTTAAATCCAATATGATCGAAATATAAAGATCAAGGAAACGAGATTTATACATTACGATCACTGATAGGCAAGAAGCAATTAAATAAGTGAAAAATTAGAAGGGGGTAACAAGAATTCAATATAACTGACTTCCAAATGCACTTATCTCTAATATATATATGTATATATATATATTTAAATTACTTTACTTAGTATTTTAGTCAGTGATATATATTTAAAAAAAACTCATTGTCAGATATGTCTGCATTCATATTTTATTATTTATGGAAATTAGGGAATTATATTTCACCTATCTAAAAAGACTCCTTGATACTTAAGTTTATTCGTTGAAAATGAAGGATAATTCCCTAATTTAAAAGTCTCCTTTGTGGTCTCGTGCAGTTATGAATCAATTTTTATGCACTTTAAACTGAAAGCTATCAGCGGCATGACAGTGCTATTATACCCGAATCCAAAGGCTATCAGCGCTTTCGGTCTAACGAGACAATGTAGCAGCTATCGTCGTCCGTCCATGGCCAACGTTAGTGATTTTTTATTTAGCTTTATATGCACTGGCACGCTCACATGCTGCTGCTGCTGCTGCTGCTGCACTTAATCATTGTTGTGGGTGGGTGGGTTTTCGCATGAGCCGCCGTTGGCCAATAGCGGCGGCACCACTCGTATCCACTCGAGTCCACAGCTCGGGGCAATAGTAGTTGTCTGTCTGCGTGCCTCGAATTGTGTAGCGTTGCAGTGTGACTTAGCAGACCAAGTCGCCCAATTACGAAATCATATCTAAGGTCATTTGTTTTGCTAATTTGTCTACATTCGAGCCCCTTGTCCGAGGGGAGGCAATGCGCCCAGGAAGATAAGACCGTAGGCCTGCTTCTCTTACCGCCACCCCACCACCATTACCTTTAACATCAGCTAATTAGCCCAATTAAAAGCCACTAAATTAACCAAATCGATTGTCTTCGAATCGGGTTCCAAACTCCCGCGGCATTCGCGGAATTCCAGATGCAAAAAGCACCGGCTGACGACATTGTGACGGCTACATGTGTTTACATGCCGCAGTCGGAGCCAAATTGGAGTACGTTGACTGGCCAAGAGTGGCCAAAGTGACCAGCTCTGTGGCTCAGACGAAGGGGAGAACCGCTCTGGCCAAGACAGATGGATCTAATTTGTATGGCTCACTTTTTGAAAGCCATTTCTAGAGGTGGTTCGTGCTCCTTTCCGTTTAAGCCAGTTGGTTTTTTTCGTGGGCATATCACAGAATGTTATCAGGTGAAAAACATGTTGTCAGCACTTTAATTTAATTCAAATTGATCTGTAATTTTTTGGTTAAGAAGTTACTTAAGTTTGAATCATTTATAATTACTTATGGCTTAGCTTTTCTTGATTAATTAATCAAGTTCTAGTCTCCTTTATATATCCTAGGTCGATTCATGAAAATAAATAACAAAAGATCTTAACCTTGGCCATTACTTGACCATAAATCATTACTTACCTAAATAATTCATAGAACATCGCTAAAAAAAAGCCAGAAATAAATGTCAGATATTTGTGGAAAATCAAAAATCACGTCGCACCATTAAATTGTAATGGAACATGGCACAGTTTCCGCAATTTGCAGTCAAAATTTGTGGAGTAATCGCCGCAAATGGATTACAAACGGTCCATAACTTAATGCCCCGATCAGATCATTAGTCAAAACTATTCAAGTGACAGATCTGTAGTACTCTCTGTAGGATTGTGTTTCCCCCTAACGATCTCATGTTCGCCGATCTCGAGAACTCTTTGGCTGCAACCGATTCCTGTGCACTGCCACTGTTTCCACTGTTTGGATGTGGTAATAAACGACGACTCCAAGTCTCAGTTGTAGTCTCCGTTCCCGTCTCCAACTCCGTCTCCGTCTGAGGCTCAGACTTAGCCTCTAAGTTTTCTGTCTGGCGGACAACAACTTCAGCAGCCACAACAAACACGAATTAATTAAAAGTATTTTTTCACAAGTCACATTGCCGTCTTGTTGGCAACTTTGCGGCCGCCTTGTTTGCATATTTTCTGATTATTTTGTTCAAACTGCTAACCATTTTTCGAAGCATATTTTGGCTAATAGCAATTAGCCTTATTGTTGCAGCCTGGCCTGGCCTGGCCCACAGGGATTGAATAGCATGTGTATATCCCTCGACAAATAACATATTAGTTGGCTTCCAACGAAGGCGCGGCCCATTAAACAATTAATGAAGCACAGAGGAGGTTTTGCAATATTTGCATGTGCAGGTTGCACTATTTAAGCCCAAGTGGGCATCGATTGGAATCGGACTTTGGCCAGAAACCCGTTCTATTAAGTCAAAAATGCCCTATGATTAAAGTCAGTCTGCCAACTGCGTGACGGCCTTAACTGAGACGTTCGACACCCGGTCCATGTCCATGCCCATGTCCCAGGTCCAGCTCCACTCTATCGGCAGAGTAGCGCTCCGTGCCGACAGTCTATTGGATTTATGGACCAGTCGGCAGGCAATTTGCACAGCATGTGGCTTCCACTCCCACTCTCCGCCGGCCTAAGCTCCATTAGCATCCCGAACTGTGTGCGGAGATTGGGGTCAGCGGGAAAATAATCGCAGCCGTGATTGCTATTTAACAAATTTATCACACTTCGGCACAGTTGTGGCGGCTCAACGTGATGTGCATTGAATAAAGCTCACAGTTTTCGTGTTAATTCTGCTTGCAGCATTGAAAGTCAATAAAACAGAGCACATAAAAGGAACCTAACTAGCCTAGTTGGCCCGGGGAGTGAGTCTTTAGCGTGACTACTTCCTGGAGCCACAGAGCAATCATGATTTTATTTACCCAAACCGATCACAATTAAACTGCAGTCTTTCAAGTTTTTCAAATTAACAATTTATAGTGTAAACCACTTCCCAGTCAAATTATGATTAGGAAATCGGATGTCTGGTCAGATATTTTTCAATGCGAGAGCTTTATAAAACTATTTTCTATCATAAAACTTATAAAATCTTTAATCTTTAAATGTTTTATAGCTTATAACTTTGTTACCACGAAAGCAATCTAAGTACTTGGCAAACAAATCAACTTAAATTCAACAGAAATTATTAAGATATACTATTTTTAATAAGCAAAAGCTTATTTTTTAATGAGTTGTGTTTTACATAATTTCACATAACTAAGTTTACTGTTAGAGTGATAAAATAAGTGCTTTGAAATATAAATAAAAATATAATTTAGAGAAGTAATAGCTTTATGACTTAAAATAAGATAATTTAGGATATCCTTATCTTATTTTCCACAAATATTGATCGCAGCATTTCAGTTGACTTTTCAAAGAACCGACCATAATTGTTGGCTTAAAAAAGCCACTGGGCGATGCCCTTATTAGCTACCAACATTTATGTCATAAATTCGTCTTGGCCTATTGCACCAGTTGGCGTGGCAAATTGCCTAGGTGCTTTGGCCATCGACCAGAACCGTAACCGAAAGCAATTGAACTGGAACTGTAAGCTGGCAGTACGGCAAAGTCGACACTCCGGCTTTCTGGCACCTTACCTTTCGGGCTTTCTGCCTTTCTGGCTTTCTGGCTTCGTGGCTCGTGCTCAAGGCGACTGCACTTGACCGGGCCGAAAGCGAGCCATGTGGCATTCTGCGTCTTGCGTTTGTTATTTAATTGTCGGCTTATGGCATTGGCACACATTTCCACGGCTTAATTGCTTTGGCCAGCGTGCAACCAGTGCAATTGGCCATTTGTACACAGTATATGTGCTCCGATATCTAAGTATTAATCCCACCGATCTCTGTCCTCTTCCACTTGCAGTTAGTCACCATCGCCGCCGCCCTCTGCCTGTTCGTGGCCTTTGCCGCGGGTCAGCAATACTTTTTGGGTCAGTTCCCCAGCAGGGCTCGTTTCGGATTCCCGGATCCCCTGACTCTGGCACAGCCCTCGGCCACACAGGTGCGGGATCCCCGACAGAATCGAGGTGAGTATTTGGTTATCTTGGGTTTTTGGGTAATGGGTTATGGATATCGGGAAATGTGTCTTACCTGGGATTCATCTAATATGTATTTCTATTGCAGGACCCGTGGTGTTCCCTCCCTCGCCCCCAGATGCAGTGGACGAGTCCAGCGGCGTGGTTGTGGGTGCCTCCGGATACGGTTTTGTGCCGCCCCAGCAAAGTAATGCGAACCTCTTTAAGCGCACTGTCTGAGGCAGCTGATCATACCCACACACAGTCACTCCAGCACCCACACAAGCACACAAAACACACACACAAAAACACTCACACACACACACACAAACACACTCCTAGAGGAGAAAAAGCTTTATTAGTGCAATATGTAGCCGCGTTTTTGTTGTTTTGTTATTTCTTTGTAATTGTTAAATAATTGTCGAGTAATTTGCAATGAATCACACACAATGTCTTATTCGCAGGAAAACGCTCTGGTTAAAGTAACAAATCTTCCCCACACCGAATTACCAGTAATTAATAAACACACACAACACCTAAAAACAAAGCACAAAACTCAAGCACCTGCACTTGCACCAGCACCAGCACCCGCACCGGAAACGGAAGTGCGCCCCTCTTAGCTAATTACAGCCCCCAGCTAACCACCTACAAACAGTCCCATAACTAACTTTGCACCACCTGCTCCTCCAACTCCCAACTCCCAGCTCCCATTCCCCCTTCCCCTTAAACAATGTAACATTATTTAGTTTAATTAGCTTGAAAACCCAATGTTAAATCCCACTTTATTGTTTTTTATTTTCTTATGATTTCTGCTTCTTTATAATTTATGTTTCAAATTGGAATTGTATTTTGATTTTACTTTTTATTTTTACCTTATTTTATTTGTAACAACGAGCTAAATTTAAATTATGAATAAACCGAAAGATATTATTAAACGAAAATGAAATAAAACACACTCACACCTCTTGTTTTGGCTCCAAAATTACTCGGAAAAACGTTTCGGCACACAATATTATTTGTACGTTTTGCCTTTTACGTTTTGTCAATGCACCATTTGTTTATATTTTTATTTTTGCATATGGATAAGCACTCCACTCCAATGGTAGCAATTATTTTAAGCGCACATAAAACTAGCGCCTAATTAACACGGCTACGCTCCGGCTTTGAAGTGCAGCGGCACTTAAACCACGACACAGACGAAGACGGAACCTGGGAAACCATCGACTATGACCGGTCCGAATATGCTCTCCCCCACAGCTTCGCAGGCGGAGGAGCACCTGGTAAACCGCAGACGAACACATGTAGACCAAGTGGCCCATGGGGGGAAGTCAGACAAAACGATGAGTAGTTAAAGGGGAAGATAAGCTACTTCGTGTGACATATATTTGATTTAAGACTTATTTTAAGCCCCAGCCAGCTTTCTTTACCTTAAATGTTTAAAATTTGATGGGGTTAAGAAAGAAGGAATTAAGTCGTTTTTATCCTGTGCAGGACAAGAGACTTCATTTAACCGAGATACCCTTAGTTACCGTGACTTAACGATCCCAGCAGAAGCAGGTGCTGGAGCAACAATTGCTACTACTCCAAGTGGAGTATAAATGGAATCTGGTCTAGAGTCGAGGAATGGAATGGCTTGAAGCCACGGGACGGAGCAGACACCGACCAGACGGAGTCAATGATATGCGCGACTAATGCGACTCGCCGCTCTGTCTTTGCTTTTGCCGCATGCAAAATATGTTGGCAGGCGAGCAGACACAACTCTTTTTTTGCATATCGATTTTGAGAGTTGGAGGCAAACCGAAACATAAACAGAAATGGAGCAACTTTTTCTAAGCAAGCTGGAGGACTAGGACTGCGACTTGGACTCGAAACAAATGAATGGGGAGACATTTCACAATGAACTGGAACAAAAAGCGTAAAAGCCATCGAACCCACAAACGAACACAAACGACGCTAAGTTGAGATAATTTTTACAATTTGACAATTTATGCACGATCGCTGGGCCTGAGACTGAGCCTGAGCATTTGAGCTGGACGCGGACATAGTCTGGCCATTGTGTAATTAATTTTGCATGGCAAAAGTTCTCTCTCTCGCACCGCCGAAGCCGCAAAACGCAGTCTAAGCCACAAATGGTTACGCAGTGGGATTCGGCTTCCTGATGAGGACTGCCTGCGGCTAGGAGGCCGAGGCCTGCCGCCAGGCAATGGTAATGGTAATGGCAGCTCCAATCTATAACTGAAGCCGCCGCGTAACAATTGCCCAAGACTGGCGTAGATTAATGGCAGCACCCTCGATCCCCGCCTGGTTTAGTTCCAGACCAGCATTGGAGCGGCGATTGCCTTTGCTGACGTTGGGCAATCCCAAATCGCAGCCACCCACCCACAGTTCCACGAACAAGGAAAAGTTTTTTGAAATCCTTTTCTAATGGGAGTGTCCTTGTCGATAAAAAGGAAAATAATGTTAACTGAAAGTCATCGAGGTATCCAAGTGAGACATTAATTGCACACATAACACTAACCGTTTATGGTTAAAGAAGTTATTTCAGATGGCTTTAGGTAGTTTAATTAATTTTCCCAGTGTATACATCGAGTGGTTTTTTGGTCGGGAGAGAAGTGGCCTAATGTGACCGACATTCTAATCAAAGCGACAGCGTTGGGCGTTGTCAGGCGGACGGACGACTTGCTGGACATTCAAAGACTGTGTGACGTCGACTCTGTGATTTGATTGCGATTGTGATTGAGATTGACAGAGCTCGAGCTTTGAGACGGGGACGGGTTCAACCTTCGGTCCGCGTCATTGGGTGACGCCCACGCTTGGAATTCAGCACTTGGCACCCGCAGCAACCGCAACTAATACCCCCCAAATACTCCAAGTGCACTTGCCCAACAATAAATGCCATATTAATCACGTCGAGTGAGAAACCCAATTAAATCGCTTTTGTTTGTCCGAACAGCGACTGCAGCGGTGGCGGTGGCAGAGGATCCGACGTTTTTTAGCACCACGTTCCAGAGCCCCGACACCGCCTATGCGACGTATAACTTCTTCGGTAATCCGTACACCACGCGATTTAGGTACTTCTGAGGCGGATGCAGATGCAGATCCGAATGGAGATGAAGCTGAGGCCAGAGCCCCAAAACCGAGTCATGTTGAGTAGTCAGTAGCGGACAGCGAGGACGAAACGAAGAACTAGGAGCAAGAGCTGGAGACTAGAAACAATTTTTTCTTGTAAATAAATGCGTTAACTCTTATTAACAAACCAATAGGCACAACGTCTTTAACTTGAATGTGAACAGTAACTAAATAGCGAGACCTAGAAAGATGAGTACTTCATTTGCTTGATGATACACAGGATCTCTTTATCTGTCGTATAAGGTATTTAATATTAATTAAAAAATAAACCAATAAAATATATTGTTAAATACAGAGTTTTATAGTTCTTCTTCTTAAGCTTCTGTAGTTGTCTTACTTAAGCATTTATGAAAATTTCCCAAGAGTTCGATTGGCACACAAAAGACTTGGGAAACGAACTTGAGAGCGTGCTGGCAGATCATTTGCATTGCGGCGACCTAATTGCCTCATCCCTCTAGCTGCGAAATTGGCAGCCAATCAGCGATAAGGATAACTGGAGTATTGGCAATAAAAGCAACTGAGCCAGAGCACGCACATCGCCAGGGCATCGTCAGGGGCTATGGAATGCTGCGAATGCGACTCCAAAGTCAATTGCGGAAAATCTGTGCACACTGGCGGCGAAACCGAAATGACATGACAGGCAGCGCCACAATTGCATGTTGCTTTGGCTCTAGCCGTTGCCATTGTATGCTAAATTACGTATACGCCCGGGCGGCCAGGGAGCAAGAGACAAAGTCAGGCCGCCGGGCGGTGTTAATTTCCATTGACACTGGCGATGTTGCGACCAGGGGTTGTCCACCGAGCGCTATATTTATTTATTTTATTTATTTATTTGTATTTCTGCGACTGTCAAAATCTACAGAGACCGAGCCCACAACCGCTACCCGCCGCTACCGCCGGCATATGGAAATGGAAATAAAGCAGTAAAAAAAGTTTACAATTCTCGGGCGGTTTCTCAACAATGGGCAACCGGGGATCATTAGCAATGGCATGATTCACAGCCAAATAAAAGAGACCGAGCAGTGTGCATTGGGAGCGGGAAATGTGCTGTGGGCGGCCAGCCAAGTTTGTCATAATTTTATTTTCATTTGAAACAGGGCAAGCGCCGCCAAGAGCGTTGATAACCTTGTTGACCGACCACAAGAATTTCCAGCGAAACGACAATTTGCCGACTGCAAGTTCATTTTATGCTCCGACACCGCGGGCAATAACTGCAGAAATGAAAATGAAACCGTGAAAACATTGCTAAGGGGCCCAAAATGGGTGACAAATAAACAATCTAAACACTCCCGGGTCCCGCCCCAGCAGCCAGCAGTCAGCAACTCTCTGATCCCATTTCAAAGTGTCGCTGAAGTCAGAAATCACGTATCCGCTGCCGCCTGACCTTCAGGTGATTTGCAAATAATGGTTTTCAGTTCAATTCCGTCTTGCAATTAGCAAATTCTATAAAATAAAGCCAGCAGCCAAGACCGGCGGAACAGTGGCAGTAATTAACATAATTCCAAAATTTACTATCACTTTTAATTGCTCTGCATTCGCGACTCTGGCCTGGCCTTTCCAAATCCACCAGCGATGAGCGGTATTGTCGCACACTCCGATGTAGTCACAGGTTTCGCATAGATCACGTGTGTGAATTAAGTTCTCTCAATCAAAGTTGGCGACCGTGACACGGTAGTAACAGTATCATATCATTATATTACAAGATCAAAAAAATAATACAAGAGTGTAATATGATTTTCAATTTAATTAATAATATTAGATATACTTTTTACTTATACAGCTGGTTAAAAAAAAAGTATTAAAGTGGTAAATGCTTTTTAATTTTATTGCATTTTTAGGAACAATATTAAATAAATAAGTCAGCTTTGAAAATATTAAATGCCAGAAATAATCCGTACTTAAGAAATACTATTTGTGAACCCCAAATTAAATTAATGATTCAATTCAGATAAATACAGGAAAGGAAGCTAACTTCAAGAACACTAAGTGTGTAAAGTTTATGAGTTTGAATGTGAAATCAATAATAATTTATTAGGGAACTGGCATAATACTTTAACAATTAAAAAATTAAAAATTTGATGTATTTTTGACAATTTTATTGGTGTTACCCCATAAATATTAAATAAATAATATATTAAATATTCAATATTTTACCTTTTTTTCAAATGTTAAGATTTTGATTGCATATAAAAATATAAGTCACTTTTGCCAATCATTCTTGGCCTTCTTGTCCAAGAAAAAATATGTATTAATTTTCTGGGTATATTAAATCCATATTAAAATAAGCTAATTTTTTGGTAAATCAAAGTTTTTCAATATCATAACAAAGAAAAAAAATACATAACATAAAGTTGGGTTTTTAACTTTGAGTATACTTTTATAGATATTCTTAATAATTGTCATTGTTAAGACTTACCGCACACGGTTGTCCTTTTTCGTCATTGCTTCATTTCCTCCAATGCAGAGTTATAATTTTGGTGACTTCATCGAAGTACGCTTCTACCAGGTTATCCAGATGTGTCGGAGGGCAATCGCAATCACTTTCACTGTCACTATAGATGTAAACAGAGGGGAGGCCACGGACAGAATGCGGTCGGTACGACGGCAGGGCCTGTATTTATAGTCATAGAGTAAAGAGAGCAGAGAAAGTGAGAGCGAGAGAAAGTCATATCACTAGAGAGGTAGAGAGAGTAAGAGATATCTCTAGGAATACACAGAGAAACATACCGAATGAGATAGAGTAACAAAGAGAGAGTCAGAGAAAGAGAGTTGGAGAGACTGAGAAGAGAGATAGGGAGGGAGGGGGGTAGGATGAGAGAGAGATAGCAGATAGCAACGAAACACATTAAATATATAGTTTTGCAGTTACAGTTTTACATTCACAATTACGAATTTTAAATAGATGCACAATTTAAAAAGTGGCAATGTGACCATTTCTGACAATGTTGACAATACCCAGTGCACTAATTAGGTATGTGGCATGCATACCGATTTGGTCACACTCGCAGTTATACACTGCGAATATTCTAGATTAGAGCGAATTTCTATGAATCGAAGTAAACTAAACAAAACATAGTCAAAATGCAACAATGCTACAATAGAGGCTGCGGCCAGCTTTTCGACCCGGCGACCAACACCGATGGTAAGACCCCACCTTTCATATAACCTAGCACATATAATCAGATGTTTTCCCCTACCCCAAAACTCGTAAATAGAATCATGCCGGCACCATCCTGGCGAGCCGTTCTTCCACGACGCCTACAAGGGTTGGGGCTGCTGCAACAAGAAGTCCGTGGACTTCACTGAGTTCCTGAACATCAAAGGCTGTACACTGTCCCTGCACTCGAACGTTAAGCCGCCAGAGCCCGAGAAACCCGTGAGAGAGGAGTGCGACAAAGACGAGGTCATCGAGGTGCGCGCTCCCATCAAAGAGGCTCTACCGCGGCCGCCCATCGAAACCCCGCTGACCCTCCTTCAGGCAACGGTAGTGCCTGCCCTAAAAACTGCCGTTTTTGCAACGAAACCGGCCGCGGACGCGACACCGGCCGCAAAATCCAGCGACTCCACAGAGGTGGGCACCAGCTGCAAGAACAACGGCTGCACCTACTCCCGCACGGGCACCAGCAGCGACTACGGCGAGTGCACCTACCACCCGGGCGTACCAATTTTCCATGAAGGCATGAAGTTCTGGTCGTGCTGCCAAAAGCGAACCTCGGACTTCGCACAGTTTATGGCTCAAAAGGGCTGTGTATACGGCCAGCATATTTGGGTTAAAGAGGTGAGTCTCACCGATCTTACCGGGAATCCTCTTACAATCTCTTGCTATGTTTAAAGAACGAAGACAAAAAGGTTGTGCAGTGCCGCTACGATTGGCATCAAACTGCCACGAATGTGGTTGTGGCCATTTATGCGAAGAAGTATCACCCCGTCCAGAGTGTGGTGGAGGTGAACCCAATTAGACTACATGTCAATCTCGTTTTCCCCGAGCAGGAGAACGCCAGGTTTGACTTGGACCTGGAACTGCGTGGCGTAAGTTTTAGAACTATCCGTCCAATGGAGGTCATTACATATATTTATGCTCTCTTACAGATTGTTGATGTGAGCAAAGCCACTGCTCAGATGCTCGGCACAAAAGTGGAGATAACGTTGCCCAAGCTGGAGCCCGGTTCTTGGTCAAAACTGAATTTCCCTCGTGATAGTCTGCCGGCTGCTCGTAAGAGCCTGACCGCAGAAAAGCCAAAGCAGGAAGATGAAAGCGATGAAGACTTCGACCTCGATGACATTCAGTCTGTGGCCAGTCACGGCCTTAAGCTTTCGGATTTGAGTTTGCAGAATCCGAACAATCTGGACTAATAAATAAAACAGTTGGCATTTAAATGTTATAAACAATATACGAAATGTTTTTGGAGAAATGATTATTTTACAATAAAGGCACCGGCAACAGATCAAATTTAATCATCATCGTCATCGGCGCCGGGCACCCAATCCTCGTCGTCTTCGTCTTCATCGAGGTCTAGCTCGCCCAGATCTTGGAATAGCGCCTCGTCGATCTTGACATTTTCTATATTCTCTCCAGCCTCAAGCAAGAACTTGATGTCCGAGTCGTTGAGCGTGTTGTCGCACATGAACAGCTCGCGACCGGTGAGCTTTTTGGACACATTGTTCTTCTCCCGCTTCGCCGCAATGCCCGTGGTGTCCTCAAAGTCCAGCTTCCACTTCATAAACGACTCCACAGTCACGCGCGTACCCTCGAACTTCTTGCGCTCTTCTTCCTCGACCTCCTTCAGCTTCTGGGCACGCTGCTCCTCCTGATGGAACTTGTGCTCGTCCCATCGCTCGTTCAGCCACTCCTGGGCGCTGCTCACCAGCGAAAATATCATTTCCATACCCAGGTTCTCCTCGATAGTCTGACGCAGGTGCTCCAGTAGGCGCGACTCAAACGCTCCCTCAAAGTTTTCCGGGTCTTCGATTTCCACCAAGGGCGCCCCATCGGGGTAATTGGCTGTGTAGGTGAAGACCAATTTGCAGGACATACCGTTTTCGCTCTCCTCGGCGCTGTACTCCTCCGTGGCAATCGGAATTTGGAATTTGTGAAACGGCTCCGTGGCGAGAACTGTTAATCGGATGAACATGAAGATATTAGCTCGGACTTGATGAAAACTCCTGGTTACTTACTCTCCATTTCGCCACTGTAAATGGAGTCCAGAGCTTCGACCTCGTTGGTCTGATCTTCCTTGTAGTTTCGGCTCATAATGCTGAGCTTAATAAATTTAACAAATAAATAAGAGTAAATCAATCAGTCGCCGCGCCGCTTTGAGGTTACTTACTGGTGGCTCTTTATACACGATCAGACTGCTTGAGGAAAGCAATTGCATTAAACTTTTAATTAAGATGAGCATTGTAGGAAGTATAAATCAACTGCAATACGTTCTAAGCTTACCACAAGAGCAATAAAAGCGGTGAAATGACTAATATTGTTATTGAAAACCTATTTTAGTATGTTTGTCATGCAACACATAGCTGTCATGCAGCTTGACCATTCCTAACTGAAGGGACCAGATTTAAACAGGGTTGCCAGGGTTACACGATCAGACTGCTTGAGGAAAGCAATTGCATAAAACTTTTAATTAAGATAAGCATTGTAGGAAGTATAAATCAACTGCAATACGTTCCAAGCTTACCAAAAGAGCAATAAAAGTGGTGAAATGACTAGTATTGTTATTGAAAACCTATTTTAGTATCATGCACCTCACAGCTGTCATGCAGCTTGACCATTCCCAACTGACGGGACCAGATTTAAACAGGGTTGCCAGATCACAATAAAATACGTTACTTTAATTTAATCTTAACAACAATCTTAATCTATGGAACAACTTTGCGCTTATGTTTTATGTATGTGGTTTGTTTAGCCGAGATAAATCAGCTTAAATTAAAGATAATTGTACATTTGTATACATTTCTTGATACTCAAACTTTGTTGTCGGCCTGCAACATTTTGATTTTTATATTTTATCGATCGGGAGCCTCCAACCTGAAAATAAGCGTAAATCAGTATGGAATAGTTATATTAAAAAATAGTTCATACTTGTGCACCGTAATGAAGTTGCTGGCCTTGACCTCAGTGTCCTGGGGCGTGAGGAAACAAAACTGACGGTTCTGGCACTGCTTTCCCTCGTCGATGAGGATTTCCGTAATAAACTTTCGGTTTACTTCATCCTAATGTGTATAAATATATTTTTTAAACGTTCAGTAAAATAGAAATATTAAATAATAAAAAAAAACTCACCGTAAATACGTCGTATTCGTCCAGAAAGTAGAACGGATGATCTGAGGTGCTCCAAAGTCCTTTCAGCAACGAAACTGTGGTAAACGATCGTTCACCGCCGGACAAGCTTCTGGTATTTGATGTTTCATTTCCACTGGGCGGAAAGACATTAATCTTCCACGTCCTGTCTCTGTCATTGGTATCGAAGCTCACTTTAAACTTGCGCATTGACAACGCTTGCTGCAAGAACAATCATTTAATTAATTATGAAAGGATAAAGACTCTACTTTACTCTACCTCAAATTGAAACTGAACCATGGTAAAGAAGTGATGGCGCGATTTCTGGAACTGCTGCGCCCGCTGATGGTACGCAATGCGCAACTTCTGCATCACCGATTCCACCACTTTTAACTGATTGGCCTGTTGCCCTAGATTATCCCTCAGCACGGACAACTCACTTTCCACCTCCTCAACGTTGTAGTTGAGCTGTTCCACCTGTTTGATCTTTGATTTGTAACGACTTATCGACTCGCGGATGCTCTCCTCCGACTGCGTCGTAGCTATGAATTCGCCCAATTTCTCAGCCGCGGCGCGAGCCTTCTCCAACTCTGCCACCGTTGTCGCCTTCAAATCGAGCATTTTCTTCTCCACCTGCAACGTTTTCTCCAGACATCGAGTGTTTTCCTCAAAGTGCAGATCGAGGCTACGAATCTTACACGCCACTTCCTGAAACTCAGTGTCAACGGTGGAAAGCTTTTGATTGATGTGCTCAAGGGCCTGCGTCTCATTAGCCTCTTCTCTGCTAAATTGTTCCTTTCGTTCGTTGATCTCTTCCAGTTTTCGCTGTAGCGCCTCGCTTTCTTCCCTGCACTTTTCAATCTTCTCGCCGCTGTCGCTTAAATGTGTTTTCTAGCAGGAAATAGACAAAAACATTATTTTATTAAAGGCTTTAGGGACTTAAGACCTACCAGTCGGTCATATTCCGGTAGCTCTGGGTAGTCATAGTTTTCCAACTCAATTTTCTGCTGCATCGCCCGATTATTCCTCAACTGATGCTTGCCAATTGAAACACTTATCTTTGAAATCTCTTGGTTAGTTTTCTCTAATATCCGTTTCTGCTGCCTATAATTTTCTTCTATAGACGCCTCTTTCTCCCTAATGGCATCCTGCTCCATGTGGATCTGGCGGATACGATCATCGACATTCACATGAATAAATCTCGCCGGATTTATTTTATTGGAGTAGACGGCATAGTTGGGCGATGGTATGTACTCAAGTCCCAGGTTTGGTACCAATACCCTCGTCAGATTGGGAGGTACATTCTCAGTATCCGAGGTGAGAAACTCTGCAATCTCCTTAGACTCGGTCACAAGGACTGTTTCAATGCGCAATATGTCGATGAGGTAGTTCATCACTACCGGATCATCACAGCTAAAAAATTAAGAGTTTGAGTTGGAGTTAAATAATGAAGCTCAAGACAAGATAAGACAAAACCAACCTGATTTCATCTATCAGCACTGTTGTATTCGGTGTGGTTGGCCGCACCTTGTGCCTGGACACATCGTAAACGCGATCTGTGAACGAACTGGTGATAATCGTGGGTACATTTCCATTGGGGTACTTGTTTTGCAGTAGAGCCCGCAACGACTGACGCTCTTTGTCCGAACTGACGATGTATGAGCGCAGGCAAGAGAGCAGCTGGTTCTCGACGAGATCGCGGTACTTGGGATTGGGTGCACTGATGTACTGGCCCAGCGGACCGCGCGGCATCCTATGCATGTTGCCGCCGGCATACTGAGTGCGCAACGCATGAACCACTTGAATCGCTTGCTCACCGTACACGGACAAAGTGTTGGATTTGTTTCGGGATAGCGTCTCAATTTCCCATTGCATGCTCTCTGCAAGGACTTTGAGATAAAGCAACCGACTTTTTAACAAAAGAGAAGTAAACTTACGTTTCGATTTATGCAGCTGGGCTCTCTCAAGCTTCACAGAATCGGTGCGCTCCTGAACGGCTGTTAGTTCGCGCTTCATCTGTTGCTGCTCTTCCCGCAAACGGGCGATGAGCTCGTCACTTTCAGCCACTTGTTTCTTCAGAGCCTCCATCTGCTTGGCGTGCTCCTCCCTCTGCTCCTTCACCCGATTAAAGTCGGCATGGTAGCTTCCAATGTGCTTTTCGCAGGCAGCGTAAGTGTGCTGCTCCTCCCTCATTCTTCGCTGTGCATTATCAAGTTGGGCTTTCACAGAACTGATCTTCACTAGGAGATCTTGCACTGCCTTTTTGGCCGTTCTAACCTTCACTTCTTGGGCCTTGTATGAATCTAAGATTACATTTTTAGTCGACTCAAATTGGCTGTAAAAAGGACAGTGTTTTAGGATATAATATTTCAACACAAAGAATATGCGGCGTGAACTTACCTAAGTTTCTGAGTGAGCGTGGCTTGGGTGGTCTCCTTTTTGGATGTGGTTTGCTCTAGCTTGGCCTTCTTGTCTTCTATCAGGCTAATCGAGTGCTCCAGCTGGTCGAGCTCTTTCTGAGAACGCGTTACAGCCAACCAGGCCAACATAACCTTAGATTTCTCCAGTTTAACCTATTGATTACATACTTAAGCGCATATTCATTCAACTCATTTTGGGTTACTCCTAGTTTCTCACCTTAACGACTTCCTTATCCTTGAGTATTGAAAGCTTTTCCTCTACTGCCTCCACTTGTTTCTCCACGACTTCCCTTTTCTGTTTAAAGTAATAAAAAACTCTTGAAAATGGGTTAAAGACCACTGGCTAACGTACTTTTGTCAAGTGTTCCAGGTCTTGGCTGAAGTGACGTCGCTGATCATGACATTGAAACAAGCTAATCCCACAAACATCGAGTTGTGTTGCCTTCATCAGAAGTTTGTAATTAGATTCCGGCTCCAAACTGTAAACAATTACGAAAATTTTGCTGTAGTTGCATTCTTGGTATCGTGGTATGGGTGTCAGTTGCTTACTCTTTCAGGAACTCTCGCGCCGCCTCCTGATTCAATACAAATATGGGATTCTCCACGTTAATGCCGAAACAGAGCAGTATCCGACGGATTTCGCCCACTTTCTTAGAAACACTTCGGCCGCGAGCATCTAGGAGGTCATAGGCTGACGATGAGTGCCGGATGTGGCGCACCACAGTAAGATGCGGCCCAAAATTTCCGATTTGAAGGGCCGCAATCCCGTATTCGACAGAGTTATGGAAATGCTGGCGCTTGCCTCTCCATTCTTAATTAGCTCTGCAATATGAATATTGATGACTCAGTTTACGCTTCATTGAATAAATATTGAACCTACTCTGTATGCTGCTAGCCCGGCTGGTCACCCGAGCGCTGCTGGTCAGTCCCAACGCCAAAGCCGTGATCACAGCGCTCTTGCCGCTGCCATTATTGCCCACCAGGAAGTTAATATTTGGGCCAAACTCGATTAACAGATTGGAGTGACACATGAAGTTCGTGAGGCGCATGGAAATGACTTTGCCGCAGCGATTGAAAGCGTTCGGTATGGACATCTCCGACTGAAAGAGAAGTATCTGCGTTCAGTAACGGTTATTATGTTTATTATATCATGTAATGCCCACCGTAAGATTCATAGTAGAGACATTCTGCGACTTTTTTGGACCAGAGTTACGCGCCTTTGAAATCGCTGTCTGCGAGGTAGACGCTTCCTCCAAGCCATCCTCCTCCTGATTATCGGTTCTACCTTTCCGGCTCTTCTTGCGCCTCGGAGCTGCAGTTGAGGTGTCGTCGCTATCGGATCCAGAAGAAGGCGCTCTGCGAATCCGACCATTTCGACTCCGCTCCATTTCGTATGTTTATCTAGCACCAACAAAAAAGCGCGGGCCGATTTTAAAGTAAACAATACCGGGTTTTAGCCGTCTTAAACCACTTAATTGCATTGGTCTTTTTTGAACAGGAGTCTTCTGCCTGCTGGCAGGGATCGGGAAGCTCAAAGGCAGGTAAACAGAAGCGTAATAGCGAAAACTATTCGCGTAATTTCGCCATACAAAATCTTCGTTTTCCTGGCACAGTGTGGCCAGACGACGAATTCTATAAAAATACCAAACTAATTACAAACACAGTGAGCACTCAATTGTAGATGAAACTTTTCAAGGGATTGAATTTTCTTCAACTAATGGTGCTATGACACAGTAATGTAGTTTTTATTCAAGTCAATCAAATTAAAAATTATGATTATTATTATACTATTTAGTTTGAATATTTACAGGCAATTGTTGTTCCAAGCGTTTGCAGTTTAAAATAGCATCACATTTTATAAGGTCAAGGATGAATTGGAATGTTTGCATGTTCACTCGCATAAATTTCTCGATTTTCATCAATTTCAAGAATTTCAACGGGCGTTATGTGTGTTTTAGGTACAGAATTAGGCGGAAAAATAAATATAAAATCAACCTTCAATTCTTTCACTTAAAACACACATTATAATTATGCTGGTTAATTAAAGCATATCCCCTATTGTTTATATTTTGATTATTGAAAATTTGGAAATCAGTCGTTCAAGAATTTAAGAATTAAGTCCCTAGGGTCGTTCCCTATCCGGCTGAAAATATCGGTTGAGTATCGCGCTACATCGCCGATCTCTTTAGTATTTCAACAATTTTGTCGTATAATCATAATAATATAATTTTATAATAGTTATGCTAAATTCTTATGGCAACTGGACTACTTTTCTTACCGCATCTAGTCTTATATAGCTTATAAAAAGGGAGTTTTCCGTCAAGCTATCGTTTCTCTCTTATGCGGCAGTCTGGCAGCCCTGTCGACAGTTAAACAAGCTGGCAAGCTGACCTGTAGTCGTATCGTTTCGCCATTTTTTCTTACTCATTCTTTTTACCGTTTGAGTGAGCGCGTGGCAAGTCGTTCCCGCTGTGGTCCGTTGTTGAAAATTCGCAAGCGATTTAGACGCCGCCTAAAAACCTCCCAACCAACGCTAGCACCATGAAGATCTACAAGGACATCATCACCGGCGACGAGATGTTTGCCGACACCTACAAGATGAAGCTGGTGGACGACGTGATCTATGAAGTGTACGGCAAGCTGATCACCCGCATGGGCGACGACATCAAACTGGCAGGCGCCAACGCCTCCGCCGAGGAGGCTGATGAGGGCACCGAAATCTCCTCGGAAAGCGGCGTGGATGTGGTGCTGAACCACCGATTGTCGGAGTGCTTTGCCTTCGGCGACAAGAAGTCGTACACCGTCTACCTGAAGGAATACATGAAGAAGGTGCTGGCCAAGCTGGAGGAAAATTCGCCCGACCAGGTCGATGTCTTCAAGACCAACATGAACAAGGCCATGAAGGATATCCTCGGCCGCTTCAAGGAGCTCCAGTTCTTCACCGGCGAGTCCATGGATTGTGACGGCATGGTGGCCCTGGTGGAGTACCGCGAAATCGATGGCCAAAGCCAGCCCGTTCTGATGTTCTTCAAGCACGGCTTGGAGGAGGAGAAGTGCTAGATGACGTCCCAAATCCCGGCAGTAGGCCTGTGCATTAGGGATCATAGTTGCCCCCTGCCTCTGGGCGGACTAGGAGCGGATTACCGAACGCTACAGGCCTACATACTCATGCATACCTTCTACATATTTATCAGAAACTTAGTTACAATTTTGAGTCTTAAATTTATGTTAAACAAGCTGACAAATCCCTGTATCTCGATCTGTGCGATTTTAATTGATTTTGGTTAGAGAACCCATCATAATATTCGATTCTATGTGTTTATTGTTTAACTCAGAGCGGCAGCCACAGCGGAGCAACTACGATAGCTAAAACAAATAAATTACGCCAACTATTGTAATTAAAATAATATTTTGATAGCAACATAGACGGTTTGTATGCGTTTCACTTACGAATACATACATAAAAGAAAATAACCGAAAATGGGAACACAAGTACTGAATTAAACGGAAACCATATACAACTAAATCCGCATGCCTGTACTTCTTTGCACTCCGATTCCATATACAGTTACATATGCGTAGGTAGACGCCATCGCATTGCAGCCGTCGCCGAGGTCGTGTGAGTGCAAGAGAGAGGGCAACACAGACGTCTGAGTCACGGAGTTTTTTTTTTGGCCATTCTCAGAGTTATTGACCTTTGACGTGATGTACACGTGCGGGTATAAGTCCATATGTATGGGCAAGGAACATGCGCACTGGCCCTCGACATGGATTACTATTTTCTGCACGCTGCAGTCCCATTTGCCCTAGTTTCGCACGTTGCATTCGCCTTAACCTCAATCGGCAGGCGGGCCGCTTATCATTTTAACAAAATGCGCTGCTCTCGCAATAAGGTGGAAATCTATAATCTAGCTCTGGGGCGTTGAAAACGTTCGTTTTATCTGCTGGAGGGGAGGGCTGGACGCACCAACACCGGTGCTTTTCTTATTTTAGAGAACGTGTGAACCTGTTGGACGCCGTCGCGTGAGAGAAGCATACAGTGGAGTCTCGCTTCGACGAACGTTTATAACTTGATATGATTAAAATAGAAAAATAATAAAGGTAAAAGTGTTTTTTCGGACACCAGATAATTTCTGAAAAATAAAAAAGTTTTAAAGCAACCAAATATTTTAAATGCATTGCTTATGTCAGATGGACTATTGCATTTGCTTCTAAGTAAATTGGTGATATTAAACATTATTTTTAATCCATGGTAAAACAAGAATATTTATACTTTATTATACCCCTATATATACCCCTATGTATATATACCCTATATATCATATATGTAATACATACATACATACATATTCATGTATATTTTTGATATGTATATATCATGTGCCGAGATTATCTAGCCGTACCCATCTGTCAAACTTAGCGCTGGAGTATCTGGATAAAATATCCCAGGAAGAACAAAGTAATTGCGGCAAGAATATATATGGTACTTATGTACATATGTATATATATTACCCCATATTATTGTATTTAATTTCTTTATGAGTACCCATACAACCAAAATTAAAAGGTCACTACATTTCGTTTACGTATAAAAATGCTAATAACAAATTAAATTTTATTCGTTCATATTTTTGATACTTCAAACTGTGGCAAAAACTGTTTACTTAATGCACTTCCACCGCACAGCGGAATGTTCGTGGAAATGTCAGTCAGATTATGTATGGTAGGTATGCATGTTTCGGGTTTTGTTCATTCTGAATTTAAAAAAAACTCTAAATATATATTTACTCTTGCACAATTGGGTTTGCTTAGCTTACAATTACACTAGTGCTCCTCCATATCTACTACTGCATATGCTTTATGCTTTCAGTGTGTACAGAATGGAATGAATGCCGAATGCATTTCAACAAATACAAAAGATAATAAGTTAACAAAATTCGCAAAATTACTAGTACAACTGAAGATTACACTTTTTGTTTTGCGTAGCTCCTGGGGGATTTTTTGGAAGTGATTAAGTGGTGTGGCGCCCTTTAGAACTGCAATTTTCCAATAATGTTGATAACATCTACGATTTTCCGCACTACACACGCTTTTGAATATACACATCATTAATTTTACAGGGACGCCATTGTGGGCCAGTCTCGTCTGCATCACACATAATCCAGCTGGATGTAGATTTGCTTGACGCCCACCGCCTCAAAGATCATCCGCGTGTGCGTGACCACATACTTGGGATCTACGTTCTTCGACACCTCCAACTTAATGGCTCCCACGAAGACGTCAGAGCAAAGGGTCCAGAAGTGAGGCTCTTGCACCGCGTATACTCCGGCTAGCCCTGTCACCTTTTGGTAGCACTGCGGCAGGGATCGATCCAGAGCCGAAGGTTGGCGCTGCATCAATATAAGTATGGACTCCTTGATCAGTCCCAGCACACTGAGTGCAATCAGCAGGGCGATGAAAATTGAACAGATGGGGTCCGCAATCATCCAGCCAAACATCTGCATCAGCACCGCCGAGATGATTACACCCACAGATCCTAACGTATCAGCCAGGATGTGCAGAAAGACGCCTCTCATGATCTGTGAGTTGCTGCCTGAAATATCCCCATGCGAGTGGCCATGACTATCGTGATCGTGGGAATGACCGTGACCTAAAAACAATTAAAATAATCCAATTAGAAGAATTAATTTTATACACCTGCAGGAGTGGAAATAGGGTCTAGACTTTACCATTATCCAAGGTGATGGCCTGGTGATTGTGGTTGCTGACTTCGTTATGGCTGTGCGAGTGCCCATGGCCAGCGGCGCCACCGCCATGAGAGTGACCGTGTCCGTGTCCACCGCCTCCGTGCGAGTGCCCGTGGCCGCCGTGATTGAACGCATAGATGCCAACCAAGTTGACCAGCAGGCCCAGGACGGAGACGACAAACAGACGCTCGTGCTTCACCTCTGGCGGCTCAATTAGCCGCTCAACGCCCTCCGACAAGATGAAGAAGGCAATGAATAGCAGGAACAGACTGTTAACAAAGCCTGCTAGCACCTCGGCGCGCACATAGCCATACGAGAACTTGTCGTTGGCCTTCCACTTTGTGATTACCGAGGCGGCCAGACCCGCCAAGAGGCCAGTGCAGTCGAAGAACATGTGGAATGAGTCGGAGATCAGACCTGGCGATTATCAAATAAGAGCATTGTAAACCCCGGATAAGATAAACACCAATTAACATTATGCTGGAGCACTTACCCAGGCTGTTCGTCCAGATGCCATAGAAAAGCTCCACAAAGGCGAAGCTCAGGTTGAGCAGCAGGAACAGGAACAGGTTTCGCGAGTTACGGTCTGAGAAGATAAGCCGCTTCCAACTGTTGAGCTTCTCCCGCACCCGGTAGCCGAAGCTGCTTCGGTCCTTGTGCGACAGCGGTATCATCTTGGCGGCTCTGCGGGGAGACACACAGGAAAAGAAACTAAAGACCGCACCGTGTGATAACACTTTTGTTTGCATACGTGGTATTATCGGGGGTTAGCTGTCGCGTCGCCCGCGTAACGCCGCTGGTTCTGACTCCGATTCTGGCCGGGCCCGAATGAATCTCTATCGGCTTGCGGCAGCGGCAGCCTTTTGATTCGCGAATAACTCCGCAACGCAGACGCTTCCTGGTTCGGCTGGCTGGCTGGTCGTCTTGTTTGCACAGTTGCCGGCGAGACGGGGCTGTCGTGAAGCGGTGCGGGTGGGTGGATCGCTGAATGGCTTTCGCTCAATTCATTCTTTCAGGCAGCCAGAAACCGAACCAAAACCGTCTTTGCCAGCACCAATCTGCTGTGTTGTCATCAAAATAAAGGTAACCACGTAAACATATTTGTTGAGTGCACGCTTGCAACGTTTCGCTGTGAATGGCAGGCAGGCAGTGTCTGTCTGGATGCTTACTGGGTTAAACCTTGGGATATTTAAACTTAACCATTTTTTTATATGTCTATTAACAATAAAAACTTACAATTCTCTTGTTTAAGTTTCTTATTTTCTTTTAACTATTAATTTATTTACCGTTCAAACTAAATATTTCAGTAATTCTGACAACAAAGGAAACGTTTTGACTATCCAAGTTAATGCTTAAGTATGGTAAATATTTATTCGTTGGCGAATAAACTAATAAATAAAATGCGTTAAATGGAAGAAATGCGTGTAAAAATATTAATTTTTAATGTATATTATTATTAGTGTGCTTTAAAATTTGTTGTATTTGATTATGACTTGCTCATTTTAGTTATTATTTATTATTATAGACCCCAAATTAAAAAAATAAACCATTTTCAATTTTTAAGACACAGCAATATCAAGCTTTAAATGATTACTGGTGGTAGCTTTTATCGGAGTGGATGCAAACTAGTAAAAAGCCAGGTAAAAACGAAACAATTAGAAAAAAAAAATCATTTATATTAATTTATATGTATTTTAAGCTCTTGGGTACTGGAATAATAAATGAAAAATACAAGTAACACCACGGAATGTAGTGACTTCTTGGATTCAATTCGATTTAATAATTTGTTTTTTCAGATATTACTTTCTATATATTCAGAACTGATAGTTAAATAGATTACTATATACAAAGCACAATGCGATGCTCTTGAATAGTTATCCTCATCTGTTATTGTTGTCTTCTGTCAATTTAACAAAACATTTAGGTAAAACAATAAACAATTATCCAACCGACTCCAGGCTTTAAGCGAAGCCTCTGTTCCGTACATTGATCTCTATTTATCAGAGCTCATCAAAAGAACATTAAAACTTCAAAGAAATGTCCCTTACATCAATAAGAAAGCAAGTTTATTCAACATTTCACACACACGGCGACGTCCTAGTGCTCTCGAATACAATCATTGTTCAATTGTAAAATGAATGCGACTAAAAGAATGGGTTGGGTAAAACATTTACGCCTCATCACCCTTGGTGGCACGTGTGTAGATGACCTGGGAATGATGCTGCACGACCTGCTTGATCAGACCTGGAATGGGGAAGGGCATTAGGAATGGGTTGCAAGTAACATGTCAGTGCAAAACAACGTACCCTTCTCACGCAGCTCAATCAGAGCACGCTTGGCAAGGGAGCCACGGATCTTCAGACGCTCAGAGACAACCGAGGGGGTGATCAGCTTGTAGGCGGGCACTTCCTTGTACAGCTTCTCATAGGTAGCCTTGTCGAAGAGAACCTGGTTGTTCAGCTTATCCCTGACTTTTCCCTTGGACCACTTCTTCTTCTTGGCCTTACCGCCGCCGGAGCCCTCCTTCTTCTTCTGTGTCTTTTGCGGCTGCTTGGCCGACGACTTCGCGTCCTTCTTAGGCGGCTGTGGGATAAAAAAAACGGTTCGAATTAGTTCTCTGCTCACAAAACACACTAATAACTTCATTTAATGCCGCAGAGCAGCACCTGGAGCTGGCCGCTTTCGAGGTTAGGGCATGCGTTTGTTTTTCACCCAGATTCTCACACTTTTCCACGCAATGGGGATATTCTATTCATGGCACAGCCCAAGGGCAACACTTCAGTTATGTTTTGCTTTCATTTGCAGGGCACTTTCACAGTAAAAAACCATTATTTTTGAAGAAATCGGTAGCAGCGAACTCACCATCGTGAAAAGTCAATGCAGAAAGATGGAGGGCGGAAACTGCCAGAGTTACCATAAGTCGCACAGGGTCGCACGCAATTCTACCGATAGTTTATGTCAGAGTGGCAGCCCTTTTCGGTATTTTTAGTATTTTCACCTGTATTTTTCCTCAGTCTTAGCCACGGTCACACCAATTGTTTAATGTCAAAAAAGAAATTTAAATAAATAAATAAATTGATCGATATGAAGGATTTCTGCCGCACTTGCGGCCAGACCATTGTAACGGATCAGTGCCTGCAGATCTTCTCGCGGGAGGGGCGGAAACTATTGCACTGCGTGCGATCTATCACAAACTGCTGGGTGAGAAAGCCAAAGAATCCAAGTGGGACTCCGGATAAAGTTTGTTTACTCCATTATATGTAGCTGCAAAATGACCAGGACTCACCTAGCTTCATGTGCCCGGATTGCCAGGCGCTGCTCAAGCAGGTGCAAAGGTTTCGCCGCCGGTGTGCCAAGATTGAGAAGTATCTTGTCAGACGGCGGGCTAAGATGAATCTCGGTGAGGGTCCCGCTTCTGTAGCCCTGCAACTTCCCGTGCAACAAATAGGAGCACCCGATCCCCTGGGCATTGATGAGTTGCTGACGCCAATTGATGTTAAGGTGGAGCCCATGCAGGAACACAAGGAGGAGGAAGACGCCGAGGCGTATCTAGAGGATTATTCCGATGAAGATGGCTTTGACAATGATCCCAGCGAAGATTTCTTGCCTTTACCAGAGGACTACGGAGAGCCACAGACTGCAAGGGTGACCACCGCCGAAAGCAATCAGGACCAACCAAAAGATAAGTCCAAAACCAGATCCAGCAAGCACACAATGCGCCTGGGTAGGAAGCTAATCCACGTCAAAGTGATCGACGACAAGCAGCCGAAGCGCATTGTGGACCGAAACGGACAGACCGCCAAGCCGTGCATCTGTGAGCACTGCGGACGCCAGTTTAGGGACACCAGTAATCTCAATGTCCATCTGCTGCGGCACACGGGAACCAAGCCCTTCGAATGCGAACAGTGCCACCAGAAGTGCTACACACTCCACCTTCTGCGACGCCACCAGCTCAAGCACACGGAAGGACCATACGCCTGCACCTTCTGTGGACTGGAGTATAGCACCAACAGTTCGCGTGTGAGACACGAAAGGTGAGTCCCATACATGTCCTTCCATTCCTCCAGTTACAACACTTTAATTCCCGCAGAGAGGCATGTAAGAAGGGACGCGCCCCGCAATCCAAGTGGGAGATCATCAAGAAGGGCGAACGCACTTTCCAGTGAGTTTTCACAGCACATATTCTCCTCTTCAATTTGTTTATTAACTTAATCCCAACTTTTTCCAGCTGCGAAGTGTGCGATCTGTGGTTCCTGCGTGCTGGAAACTTCACTCAGCACATCAACTCCAGCAGTCACATTGAAAATGAACGCAGGAAGCAACGTAAAACGAAAATAGTCCAATCCTTGGACATAGTTACATAAAACAGAAATTCGGATAAGAAAACAGTTTTTCATTAAATTTCAACAATTTGATTAGCCTGCGCTTTCGAGAGGTTCTCCTGGTGCATTTTGCTGTTTGCATGTACCTTCATGTTGTACTTGTAGCGGAAGTGGACATCGCAGATCTCGCACCTGTTTAAGAATCGGAAGAATATTATCTTGGGGGACAAATTGATCGCTGGTATGCAAACTCACCTATAAGGACGCTCGCCAGTGTGGATGAGCTCGTGCTCCCGGAGCTTAGTTTGTTGGTAGAACCCTTTCAGGCACACCTCACACTGCAGCGGTCTCTTGTCATCATGGGTTATTTCGTGGCGCTTGAGCGTGGCTGGATCCGAGTAGCTCTTGTCGCACAGCTGGCACTTGTAGGCACCCGCATCCGTGTGTGACTTGACATGCCATGCCAGAGCGTACTTGGAGGCGTAGTGTTTCTCGCAGAGTTCACAATGATAGCGCGTTTTGGAGCGAGGCATGGGCTGGGGATTGATTCGTTTTACGATGCGACGGGGTGGTGCTCCATGAACACCGCTAGAAAAAGAAATCGATGTAAGACCGTTACCGGAATCTATGATTTATGAGTTTAAAATAACCCACCTTTCATGTTTTTGACGTGCTCCCGCATACGCAAACGTAGCTTTGCAGTACCGACAGCTAAAGGGAGTTTCTCCACGATGCTTGATTCGGATGTGGATGTTGCGCATGTAGGCATCATAAAAGGTCATGGGGCATTCGTTGCACTGGTAGTTCTTGGTACGGGTGTGTCGGAGGATGTGAATTTGCAGATTGTGAGCCATGCGGAAGGCCTGGCCGCACTGATCGCACACAAAGTTCGTTGGTCGGGCTCGGATCTGAGCACGACGGATAAGATTTCTCTCTTCTTTGGTCTTGGGGTTTGATTTTTTCAACGGTTTTTCTGCGTGATCCACAGTAGTACGCTTAGGTTCAGTCGCATTTGCATCGAAAGCCTCTTTTTTTGACTTATTCGTCGACTTTCCCGTGTATTGGCTGATTAGATCCTTGACAATGGACGCTCCAGGGGCCACACTGAGTGGATCGTGTGAACCCAACTCGAGAGATTCTGCCACAGACTCTAGCTTCAGGTCAGTATTGGAAAGAGGTTCGTCCACCACAGGCTCGTCCGGAGGATATTCATCTAGATTTGAATATTCAGAGCCAGAAAAAATATCAAGTTCTAATGACTCTTCCTGGACTGACTCCAGATCGGGCTCTTCATCAATTTCAAGCTTTGGCTGTGTAAGCTTCAGCTCAATGCCTATGCACATTTCCCTAAACTCGATCGCCAGCTGGAGGGACATCTGGCATGCGGGGCATATGAGATGAGGTTCCCCTTCGATATTTTTAATCTATAAGAAACAAATCACGTTAGTATGTCATTCTAAAGAGTTATTAAGGTCTATAGACAAACCCAAACTCCGCTAATGACTTCAATGTGGAAAATCAGCACACTGTTAGCCGGGTCGAAAAGATCTTTGGCATTGGCATCGACAACGAATTCCTTGTAGCAGGTGCGGCACCTCTCCGTTAATTTAGCCTTTTCTGCGGTCACGAGCGGATCGTCTTCCACGATTATCGAGGTCAACTCTTCTTCTGCCGGTTTTGGACTAACGAATGAAGGAGCAGAAGCTATTCCCGTGTTGAGCCGGACGTAGCTGGGCGTGGGAACCACTTCTGCGGGAGCACTAGCCCTGGCTTCATCCTCTAAGAGCAGATCGGCCACCAATTTATGATTACTACGCCGCTTTGAGCGCTCTAATCGTGCTATTTCCGACGGGCTTTCTTGGCTCTTGTTTATGCATGGAACCGCACCAGGGCGCAACGTTCTCTTTTTAGCAAGTCCTGGTCATAATAAATGGATTTGAATAGTTGAATTACTCAAGATATATGGCCAGAACTCACCCATTTCAAATTTGATAGACCCCTCTATGTCCTCGTCTCGGAAGTGCTCGATGCAGATGCACGGATTCTTCACTTTTAAGGCATTCTCGGAGCCGCGACAGAACGACAGCCATCTGTTGAATAGCTCCGGGGATTTAGGAAACTGGAAGAAGGAAACCGGCTGCTGCTGATCCGGGTCTCTCTTGGATCTGCGTATGGAAGAATTCCTACAATTGGGCACGACACATCTCATTTTCGTGCGCAATTTTGATTTTATTTTTAGCTTTCAATTGGTTTTTCATTTGGTTGGCCCCAGAATTTATACGAGCAGGACCCTGAGATTAAAATGTCAACACAAGGAGGAAATGTATTACTTTATAGTTTGTATTATAGATTTTAAGCTGTAATGTTCAGTTTAGTTTCAGTTTAACAAAAAAATAATAATAATAAATAAAGTAATGTACCGTGTGACCGTCAGATTTTGAGTTCAATATACTTAAATACGCTTAACAACATTTTAGTGATTTCACCTCCTTGTTAACTGGTCAGACTAAAAGTGCTTAACCCGTATCAAATTGGCGTTGCCAGACTGGCCGATACAAAATATTGAATGAATTAATAAAACTACTAATATTTAATTTAATAATGAAAAAATGAATAATTTAAACGTTTGAACATTTAGTGGACACTTTTTGGTATTTTAACTATTTATTTAAATTGTTTGCATCATTTTTTGAATACGACTGAGAAGTCGGATCTGGTGGATTAAAATGCACAAAATGTAATATAACGCACTCGGCATTTTTATGAAATGGAAATTAAAATATAAAAAAAATAAAGAAAAGCTTTAATGGGGGACATTAATTGTAAATATATTATGAAAATGTAAAAAATTGTGTTAAAAATATGAAAAATAATAAGAGGCCTATAGAAATCACTAGGATCTTTATATCTCTTCAGTAAGTGAAGAAAAATAAAGCTAATTAACTTAAAACTTCAACTAATGGCATGACTATTGATTAATAAGACTGAAGCTTTACTTCCATCATAATTTTAAAACCCAAAAGGTATTAATAAAATTCTTTGATTTATTATTATTTTTTTTTTATAAACAAAGAACTTTTCTTGACTGTTTTCGACAATTAAAACGATATTTAACCTCTCTTGTGCATCATTTATGCAAAATATTCGTACATGGATAAATACATATGAGTAATTAAAACTATAACTACAAAATACAAAAATTTAGGTGACTATACGATAGTAGTAGAGGTTGGCTCTAGTGCTTAGCCTTGTCCACCCTGCCAGTCTTGACTCCACTCAGCTTCTTTTTAGGCGTTTGCTTGGTGGTCTTCTTTGGCTTCTTCTTCTTAGTTTCGAAGGAGCTGAAGTCGACAGTATCGGAGTCATCCTCGTCACCGTACTTCTCTATCAGGCGGTCCATAAGTGTGCCGAAGTTGGATTCACGCTGATTGCGACGCGCCAGAATCATTTGTTGCAGGTCGCCACCGTTGGCCGCCAGATCCTGTTCGTCCTTCTCCTTCTTTTGCCGCTGAATGCGCTGCTTAATGACCTCGGCCTCCTTGGACTCACGGGCGTACTTCTGGTGACGCTTCTTTCGCTTGGCGGCAGGCTCTTCGGTGAAGATTTTGTACTCTGGCACTTCACCGGCTGCAATCATCCCCTCGACGATCTTCTTAATGCGCGGCTCGTCCTCCACCTTCATGAAAGGTATGTGATTCATCAAGTAGTTTATGCAGCCCTTGCCCCCCAGATAGGCCTTTGTGATGTCCCTGCGCTCCATCTCTGAGTCGATGTAATCCTTCTCAAAGTTGTTGATGTCCTCCTCACTGATGGGCTTGAATATCTTGCTCCATAGGTCCAGCCACGAGGACAGCTTGTTCTCGACCCCATCGTCGTCATCTATGAGACCCTGCTCATCGTAGAGGGCGCGCTTCTGGGTGTCCGTCAGCACCTGGTACAGCTTGGACAGCACCTTGAACTTCTCGGTGGCCTCCTCCTTCTGGTCCTCGGGCACTCGGTCTGGATGGACCAGCAGCGAGAGCTTGTGATAGGCTTTCTTCACCTCCTTCTCGCTGGCCGTCTTCTTCAGGTCCAGCAGCTTGTACACATCTCGAGTCCCAAAGAATTTTTCGCACAACTCCAGCGTCGACATTGCAAATTTTGTTGAAAATTTGTTGTTTTTACTTTTCGGCACAAATACAAGCTCAAAATGCGCCAAAACGCTCCATTGGTGTGACCGCACAAAGAGAAACCAAAAAATACCAGGAAATTTCAAGCCGACTCAGAGTACGGTTGTCGAATATTTAAAAAATATCGTATCGATGATATAAATATATCATTTTGAGAAAAATATCGATAAATTGATATTTTGGTATATTTTCAACACCCCTATTTCGAAGTACCTACCATTCGAAAATACTACCCCGATAAAAAAATACGTATATCTAGTATGAAAATACCATAAAAAAATATTGGGGGTAGTCTCTAAATAATTCAAAATATTGAGGGGACTCCGACTGAATTATTGAATATATCAGAAGCTGAAATTTAGTCTTGCAGTCGTATAAATAATCCCCCGAACATACAAAATATTTAAATAAATAAATATTTAATTGATATAAGCTGTTATATACAAAACTTCACTTTTGCTACATTTGGCAATTAATGATATCGGCTAAATACCTAAAATACCAAAGCTACAGAGTTTATAGTTTTTAGAGTTCATAATAATTAAATATTTTCCATATGAATAAATTACTTAGTTCCTAAATATATAAAAGATTTATTTAACCGGAGAGAAAACGATAGGAAACAGTTTGGTCTATAAATGTTTTTGTGTAAATTGTATGTCTAATATCATACGATGATGATCATAGGTCACTATTATTGAGTAACCACTTTATATTGCAATCGTCAAATTATAATAAATGACTTAAGCTGGACTTTGTCCTAAAATCACTTTCGTATTCTCCTTACGGCCAAATTAATAAATTTCTAAAATTATCACCATATATCGTGAAGTAGACTTGTTCTCCACTATCGATTTACTCGATGTTTTTACGAACTTACATCTTTACTATAGATTTGTTAAGCCATGACGGGAAAAATCAAAAGTCTTAAGGTTGTTACAATATTTGTATTAACAAAAAAACACATTTCATGTAAGATGTAAGGTAACAAAATAGTTTTTAAAACATCGATAGTGAAAAATCGATATCGACAGTATCGATTGTGCTCCGATGTTTTGCCGCAGCCAACTTAGCTCCCGTGGCCTCCACTTCCGTTCTTTTTGTTTCATCGTCCAAACTGAACAGACGTCATGGTAAGTTTCCCGATAAAATATAGAGTTGGATACAAGTGAAGTTTCATAATTGAAGTAAAATATTGCGGCGAAAGGCATCACAGTGACTGTGAATTCGTTTGATCAATGCAAAGTGAACAATATGCGCTTAGTTTTTAACGAATTCGTGTGGGCAACGTCCACGTGTTCGACATAACCTTGGTGACTTTTTCTTACGGCTTTTCTCTATCCGTATTACAGTCTCATCGCAAGTTTTCTGCGCCTCGCCATGGCTCCATGGCCTTCTACCCCAAGAAGCGCTCAGCGCGCCACCGTGGTAAGGTTAAGGCCTTCCCCAAGGATGATGCCAGCAAGCCTGTCCATCTGACTTGCTTCATCGGCTACAAGGCCGGCATGACGCACATCGTGCGTGAGGCTGACCGTCCCGGTTCCAGTAAGTACATATTTTCGTATCCCAAACTGTCTTATCCTTTTTCCATGATGAGTAAACTAGAAGATTTATGGTTAGAACATTTATGATTAACCGTGATTTTTTAACTAGGGCGGACTGACTAACCACATGTTTAGTTAATCCTTGTTGAATGCGGTGGCACGGGATTAATAGAGTTTCTCTCCTTTTACAGAGATAAACAAGAAGGAGGTCGTGGAGGCCGTCACCGTTCTGGAGACCCCGCCCATGATTGTGGTCGGTGCCGTCGGCTACATCGAGACTCCCTTCGGTCTGCGTGCCCTGGTCAATGTCTGGGCCCAGCATCTGTCTGAGGAGTGCCGTCGTCGCTTCTACAAGAACTGGTATGTATCTAGGTCCACGTGTGACTTTAATTTTCACCTAGGTGACGCCGCCATTTTGTTTGGCCGGGTGCAGTATGCAAACGCACACACAAACGCAAACCACGTGGTTTTTGTGCAGACTGGATGATGATAAGATGGTATCTGAAAGAGCACACCCTGTTGAAAAGCCTTCTACCATCTCTGCTGCCTTCCTTCTGATCAGTTCTGCAAATGAAACCCCGTGTTGATCTTTACATATCAAATATTAGTTTTCAGAAGTTGTAAATGTTTTAAAGAATCTCTTAATAGCTATTATTAATAATTTAATTACTCAAGTTTTACTTCCAAAGTGCCCAAAATAGCTTAAAATCTATACTCCTACTTTTGCATTCTTAGAGAAAACTATTTTCACTATTCGTATCACATGTTTGATCTGTGTTTGCTTTGTGCGTGCCATGCTAGAGACTATATTTTGTAGACTTTAAAGAACGCCTTATTAAATGTAAAATCAAAATATAAAGTTCTTCGATCAGCTTGCTGAGAGAGCTTTTCAAATCCCTGAAAGTTGTGTGAGCTGCCAAGTGTTTTTTGGTCTCTATGAACTGAAATTACTTGCCGAGTGAACACGGCATGGAAGGTCGCATCTCCGCTCGCAATTTGATTGCGATGAGGTGCGCTTCCTGTTTTGTCTCGCCCTCCCCCATGCAAACAGCGGGTAAGAAGTTGGAGTTGTTGAGACACGACACCCCAATGGATTGCGCCACATCTCGCTCGTGTTTCTGACTTGTGCATCTCCAACTTGACCATCGTCTACCAGGTACAAGAGCAAGAAGAAGGCCTTCACCAAGGCTAGCAAGAAGTGGACCGATGATCTTGGCAAGAAGAGCATCGAGAATGACTTCCGCAAGATGCTGCGCTATTGCAAGGTGATCCGTGTGATTGCCCACTCGCAGGTAAATCTAAAAATTAATATCTTATAATGTACATTACGACGTCCTTGGCCTTGTTGCGCCAGTGTTGCTGGGTCCTTGGACTCGGCACCTTTGGTGCGCCTGGCCTAAAAAGCATTTGCGCTGTGGTTTCAATGCACAGTTTAGAAATGCAACGTCGCAGAGAAAACTGCCCCTCGGGTGGCGGAGCTTGATATATTCCAGTAACGGTGCGGAGCCGCTCAGGCGATGATAGCGCGGTTAAACCATATCACGCACAGTCCCAAACTTTAAATGATTGCGATTGAAAGAAGCTAACGAAAGTACTTTTGCTCTCCATTTAGATCCGCTTGATCAAGCAGCGCCAAAAGAAGGCTCACGTTATGGAGATCCAGCTGAACGGTGGCTCCATCGAAGATAAGGTCAAGTGGGCCCGTGAGCATCTGGAGAAGCCTATCCAGGTCAGCAATGTGTTCGGCCAGGACGAGATGATCGACTGCGTCGGCGTGACCAAGGGTAAGGGTTTCAAGGGTGTCACTTCCCGTTGGCACACCAAGAAGCTGCCCCGCAAGACCCACAAGGGTCTGCGCAAGGTTGCCTGTATTGGAGCCTGGCATCCGTCGCGTGTGTCCACCACCGTGGCACGTGCTGGTCAGAAGGGCTACCATCACCGTACCGAGATCAACAAGAAGATCTACCGCATCGGTGCTGGCATCCACACCAAGGACGGCAAGGTAAGCACTCAAAGCCATAATTTGTTTATGACAATACTCTTGGGCTGATTATTCTGTTGCACTGATGATAAACAAGCAAAATACAACGACATCGAACTAAAAAAGCTTGATAAACCGTGATATTTATAATGATAGGACTGATCACAACAGAACTCAGCCGTAAGGGATTGAGTCCCAATCCCCAATGTAAAATTAACGCGTGAACTAACCAACCGAATCCTTAATTGTTTGCAGGTCATCAAGAACAACGCCTCCACCGAGTATGATCTGACCGACAAGAGCATCACCCCCATGGGTGGCTTCCCCCACTATGGTGAGGTCAACAACGACTTCGTCATGATCAAGGGCTGCTGCATCGGCTCCAAGAAGCGCATCATCACCCTGCGCAAGTCGCTGCTGAAGCACACCAAGCGCTCTGCTCTGGAACAGATCAAGCTCAAGTTCATCGACACCTCGTCCAAGATGGGTCATGGTCGCTTCCAGACCCCTGCCGACAAGCTGGCCTTCATGGGTCCGCTCAAGAAGGATCGTATCAAGGAGGAGGCCGCTGCCACCGCTGCTGCCGCCGCCGCCGCCACCACCGCGACCGCTTAAGTTGTTTAACCATAAGTCGAATCATCTGCCTGCTTCTACCGTCTATTCCAGCGGTACGGCGGCATTTAATAAAAAGATGTTGGTTTTCAATAAGCTAATTAAGAAATGTTTGCATTTTATTTTGGCCCAGCTGAAACTGAGTTTTAGGCACGTTTAAATAGAGGCCCTTGAAAAAAAAAACAGGGAAGAGTAAATGTCTTTTGAGACAAGATCTGGCCCGAGCTTTCCTTATTTTTAACACGCTTCTATTTACTGTACTAATAGATATTAAATGTGGTCCAAAATTCCCTTATATCTACATTACCTTAGCGATAAGCAATTACCCAAGTATTAGACGAATTATGTAATTTTTTAGCACTTTATATCTGCTCTGGGCTGTATTATGTATATAATAAATTCTTAAATCATCAAATGTCATTGTTACATTGCCTAGACCATCTTGGTTCCCTCGACGATCTTCTCGTTGTCATAGATCTCCTTGGCGTAGCACAGGTTGGGGTAGTCGAAGGCGGCACCGTAGCGGTTCTTGCATCCGGAGGTAGACTTCTCGCCGGGAGTGTAGACAGGCTTGCCAACAATGTTCGAGGTGGCGAAGTTGCAGGTGAGCACGAAGTGGTTGTAGAAATCCTTGGAGAAACGAATGGCAGCACATCCCACATGAGTGTTCTTCTCAGCCACGGCAATAGTGAACTTGGCGATGTTCTTGTTGGGCAGCTCTTCGGGGAAGTTGGACAGGATGTCGGGAGATGCATTCGAGCGTTCGGCAAACCAATTCTCGATCTGCTCCTTAATGATCTCCGCGTCTGTGTACTCGGATTCAGCTCCACTGTAGCTGAAGATGGCGTTGTTTTGGCCGGCATATGCGAATCTCTCCGTGCTGCGGCACTTGTCCGGCAAGGATTCACAAGTTTTAACATTAAGAAGAGCCAGATGGGAGAGTTCCTCGCACCAGGACATCTTGGCCATGCGAATGGCCATGGGTAAGCCTTCTATTTGACCTCCAGCAACTTTATTACGGATCTCATTAAACAGGGTAAGGATGAGCTTGTGGTGGGGTTCAATCTTCACCTCTCGCACATCCTTGGCACAGTTTTCACTAAAGTTCTGAAGAAGTGATTGAGGATTGAGTGAGTAGAAGTGAGACTGAGATTCTATAACTTACTCCTTTGTTATTGCAGGCAATATGCTTATCCAGACAAGTGGGCAGGGCGCAGTAGTCCACGGCAACGGCGACTCCAAACAGGACAGCTAGAACAATGAGTACCTTCATTGTGATCTTGGCAATTGGCTTCCAACTGAACTTATACCAGTCCAGGGCCACTATTTATAGGAGGACCACGCCAATGTGCTCATGCGCTCCACAAGTTTCTATGCACCACCTGTCAAGTGTGTAGCTGCTTTCAGGAGAATCTCTGTTTTCAAATCGCTATTCCAACTAATTATACGAAATTTAGCCAGGCTGCGATACGACTATAAAAGCCGATCAGTTGAGTTAGTTAAGTCAGTAAGCAAGAAGCAAGCTAAACAATGGCAAAGACATTTGGTTTCCTGCTAATAACTGTTGCTCTGGTTGGTTTCGCCAATGCAGTCGACTACTGCGCCCTACCTACATGCCTGGATAAGCATATTGCCTGCAATAACAAAGGAGTAAGTAGACATCCTATAAAACTCCAACTCCTCTAACACTTATCCTTCAGAACTTTAGTGAAAACTGTGCCAAGGATGTGCGAGAGGTGAAGATTGAACCCCACCACAAGCTCATTCTTACCTTATTCAATGAGATTCGTAACAAAGTTGCTGGAGGTCAAATAGAAGGCTTACCCATGGCCATTCGCATGGCCAAGATGTCCTGGTGCGAGGAACTCTCCCATCTAGCTCTTCTCAATGTTAAAACCTGTGAGTCTCTGCCGGACAAGTGCCGCAGCACAGAGAGATTCGCATATGCCGGCCAAAACAACGCCATCTTTAGCTACAGTGGAGCTGAATCCGAGTACACAGACGCGGAGATCATTAAGGAGCAGATTGAGAACTGGTTTGCCGAACGCTCGAATGCATCTCCCGACATCCTGTCCAACTTCCCCGAAGAGCTGCCCAACAAGAACATCGCCAAGTTCACCATTGCCGTCGCTGAGAAGAACACTCATGTGGGATGTGCTGCCATTCGTTTCTCCAAGGATTTCTATAACCACTTCGTGCTCACCTGCAACTTCGCCACCTCGAACATTGTTGGCAAGCCTGTCTACACTCCCGGCGAGAAGTCCACCTCTGGATGCAAGAACCGCTACGGTGCCGCCTTCGACTACCCCAACCTGTGCTACGCCAAGGAGATCTATGACAACGAGAAGATCGTCGAGGGAACCAAGATGGTCTAAACAACAAAGGATAAGAAATGGCGAAATGGAATTCTTATTTATATTAGCTTATTTATGTAGACTGTTGAATATGGAATAAATTCCAGAAAGAAATAATCTGCTCAGAGAAAATAACGGCTTCAGGACATCAGCTGTTTTGCCCAGTAAGTTGGCAGCGCCTATTCCAGATGTTCACATACTCATTAATTGCGGGTTGTACTGTTAATGGTCATTAATTCTTTCTGTACAAAAAGAACACAAAAATATATTTTTAAAAGGCTGAATACTATTATTTTTCCACTCTTACTTCAAAATCTTATTTTATAACTATCATCTAAAGTCCAGCTACACAAAGCATATTTCATTGTTTTCTAGAATATTATATTACTGGATACCCCTCAGTCGAAACCGTTTTGTCTACTCATCCGATTTTTTTTGTGGGAAATTTTCCGCCGGGTCGACATGTTACGCGAAGCTTTGAGGGCAGGCAGCAGGCGATGGTACAGCTACAAGTCGGTGCGTCGCCCTAACCTAGGAGCCAGCAGTGCCCCAAAGGCTGAGCCGGTGAAGGAACAGCCGGGAGCTACATCTACAGAGGGAAATGACAATGGCAGTCTGGCCAAGCAGCTGCGGGCCAAGATTCTGGCCACTGGTCCAATAACAGTGGCGGAATATATGCGCGAGGTGCTGACAAATCCCCAGGCCGGCTACTACATGAACCGGGATGTGTTCGGACGCGAGGGCGACTTTATAACTTCTCCGGAAATATCGCAGATCTTCGGGGAGGTAAGTTATCATCTGCATTCAAAGTTCGCTCATTGAGCTCTGTCTTCCAACAGCTTGTGGGAGTCTGGCTGGTGAGCGAGTGGCGTAAAATGGGCAGCCCATCGCCCTTCCAACTGGTGGAACTCGGACCCGGTCGCGGGACCTTGGCCAGAGATGCGATGAAGGTGGTAACCAAATTTAAACTTGGGGCTGAGTTTTCCATGCACATGGTGGAGGTTAGCCCGTTCCTGAGCAAGGCCCAGGCCCAGCGGTTTTGCTATACCCACGACACCTTGCCGGAGGACTCGCAACTACCTCACTATCAAGTAGGGACCACTGCCACAGGAACCAAAGCCTACTGGCATCGCCGACTAGAAGATGTGCCCCGGGATTCTCGCTGGTGCTGGCCCACGAGTTCTTCGATGCCCTGCCTGTGCACAAGCTCCAGCTGGTCGATGGAAAGTGGCAGGAGGTGCTTATTGATGTGGCTCCTGGGCCGGATAAGGAGCTTAGTCAAGCAGACTTCCGCTACGTGCTTTCCCGCAGCCAAACGCCCGTATCAAGCGTTTTCCAACCCATGCCAGGGGAGACGCGCTCGTGCCTGGAGTACTCCCTGGAAACAGAACGCCAGGTCGGGCTCTTGGCGGAGCGTATCGAAAAAAATGGAGGCATTGCTTTGATCATGGACTACGGACACTTTGGCGAGAAGACAGATACCTTCCGGGCCTTTAAGCAACACGCTCTACACGAACCCCTGCTCGATCCAGGCAGCGCTGATCTCACGGCCGATGTGGACTTTAAGCTGGTAAGGCACACCGCTGAGACCCGTGGGAGTCTCCACTGCTGCGGCCCCGTGGAGCAGGGTCTGTTCCTGCAGCGCATGCAGGGTGAGGCCAGGTTGGAGCAACTACTGGCACACGCCCTGCCCGAAAACCAACAGATTATACGATCCGGCTACGAAATGCTCACAAATCCGGCTCAAATGGGCAGCCGCTTTAAGTTCCTGGCCATGTTTCCCGGCGTTCTAGCTTCCCACCTGGAAAAATATCCGGTGGTCGGATTCAGTTAGTAATAAAAAGGACTCCAATGTAAGGTTATAAACATGTTGCATATGATTGTTAAACAAAATACGAATGCTATTTCTTCTGGAATGATGCGTTGATCGCCTGCATCTCGGTGGTGGTGAACTGGAGCACCGCTGAGATGGCGTTCAACATATGTCGTTTGCCGTCCGCATCCCGGGTCACGATGTAGCTTATGATCACGTTTTTCAGGTACTCCAGGTTGGCGCCTTCGCGCGTCTTGCAGCGCTCAAGTCTGGAATGCAGAAGGGTGGATTAAGAGAGCTTTAAAAGAAATAAAGTACTAAGGACTCGAGACACACCTGTCCACCTGCTCCTCGAGGCATTCGATCTTCTCATGCATCTCCTGCTGCGACGTGACCTTGTCTTGGATGGCCTTCCTCAATGTGGATTCGGCGACGTATTTAGCCTTGCGAAGGGTCGTGATCTCGATATCCTTGCGGGCCAATTCGTTGGCATAATGTAGCATGTGGCAGTTTTCGCCCAGTGACATCTTCTTCGACCGCACCTTCAGTTTTTTTTCCCGCTCTCGCTGCTCACCCTCCACCTCAACACTGTCGGCATCCGATGAGTAGGCAAGGGACTCGGCGGCGACTTCAAGAGTGGGTGAGACCAGTGAGTTCCCCACGCCGGTGGCCGAGTGGAACACCTCGAAGGAGGTCTGTAGAGTTTTGATCTCCTGCTCCTTCTCGTCAAGCAGTTGGAGCGATCGCTGGCGCTGCTTCTGCAGCAACTGCTCCAGCTCGTTGAGCTTGCAGCGTGTTTCGTTCTCCAGTTCGGCCTTCGCCTCCTGCCACTTGGTTCGTTCGTTTTTCAATGCCAATCGTAGCTTTTCACCTTGTTGTTTGAGCTCGATTTCTGCCTCATCAATATTGCGGTTGAGCACCTGCACCTTTTCCTGGAGTGTCTGGATGTGCGACTGCTGGAGTTGTGCCTTTTGTTCGAGAAGCTGCCGCTGCTGTTTGGATGCCTCCAGCATTTGCTGAACTCCCTGGAGCTGCTGTTCGCAATGTACGTGGCTTTCGGCTGCCGTTGAGCTTTGGCCGCTTAGAGAGAAGATCTCTCCCAGATCCAGAGGATTGGCCGAGCGTGCATTGGCACTGGTTAAGAGCTTTTTCAGGCGAACCATCTCGTCGACAAGGGTAGCCACATCCACATCATCGTTGACAGACTTAAGACTGGATATTGGCCGAGTATGGGCTTGTTCCAGATCCTGAAGCTGCTGTTTCAACGCATGAATACTCTCTTGATCCTGCTGCCGCAGGCGATCATAGCTGCCAACGGTGGTGCTAAGCTCTGCTAAGCGCGCCTCCAGGCTGGCCACCCGGTCCTCATGGAGAGCCGCCTGCTTCCGACTTTGGTCCTCTGCTCTCAGAACCCGTCTCTGCTCCTGGCGAATGGCCACTGAATGCTGCTCCTTTAGCTGCTGCATCTCTTGACGCACCTGCTGGAGGACAGCTGCGCTATCCGCATTGGCGGCATTAGTCGCAGACTGCTCTGCCTTAGCCTGAAACTGTTTCAGCTGAGAGCGGGCTTCCTTCAGTTGAGATTGTAGGTCGCGAAGGCGACTGTTCTCCGCCTCATTGCTGGCAAACTGAGTCTTGAAATTGTTGAGCTGCATCTCTATGTTGTCCTTGAGGTGTCGTTCGTCGGCATAGAGCTTTTGCAGCTCTCGGATCATAAGCATCTGATTGTTGGTCTCCTTCTCGCGCTCCTGGCGCTCAACAATCCACTTGGCTTTGACCTCATCAACATCGCTTTTGGCACGGGCTGCCTGCTCTTTGGCTCGTGCATGCAGTTCCTGGATGGTTTGCTCCTTTTGGGCGATTTGGCTGCGCAGTTGCTTCTTGTCTGCCTGAAAGGACGCCTCCATGCGTGACTTCTCCGCGGAGAGTGTGGCTAGCGAGTTCATCAGTGTGATTATCTGCGTTTGCAGCTGCCCTTCGGCAGGACCAGCTGTTGAAGTGGCGGCCACTGCTCCTTCTTCCGCACCATCCGCGCTATCTGTGCTGGTATTCTGGGATGATACCTCTCTGGCTGGAGATCCTGCATCTCCAACGGCCGTGGCTTCTGCATGCGCCGCCAAACTCGTTTCCAGGGCCTCCTTCTCCTTTAGCAGTCCCTTGTAGGCAGTGACCACGTCTGCAAGTAGGTCAATATCACTGTGGGTGCATTAAAAAATCGTATGTTGTTTACCTTTAAGTCTCTTCTCGTATCGTCCCAGTTGCTCCTTCTGCGTGGAGACCAAAGCCTCTAGCTCTCTCTGCCGCTTCTCCATCTCGTTTTGCGTCGCAAGTCTCCGATTCGCTGTTAGTTTCCCTAAATATTCAACTTATTTCTCTCCCGTGGCATTTTTGCATTTCCCTTAATTAAATATTTCTTTTTTTTTAGCAGCTGGCAGTTTTTAACAGGCGGGTCTGCCAACTTGTTGGGGCTGCCAACTTGTTCGGTTTGTTGAGTGACTAATTTGAACAATCTGTGTAATTTTAATATTTACGTTTTTTTGGTACATTTTTCATTGCTTTTATTTAAAAGCCTTTAAATTTAGTTGATTTCAGTTCTAAACATTTTATACAGAAACATATATAAAATGAAATTTCATAATAATATGAATTGTTGTCTTTGTACATAATTTATATATTTTAACAAATTACTTATTTAAATAATAGTCCCATCTTAGTTCTCAAAATAAATAAAGTAGTGGCTTTCATTTAAGCTTAATCATAAACATCATTTGTGGGATTCAAATAGTAGTAACCCAACAAGTTCATTCGTTGTCCTTCTCATCCTTCATCATCTGGTCAATTAGTCGCTTCCGCTCCTCGGCCTGTCTCATCTTTCTCATAACGAGGTCTTCGTAATCTCGAGCGGATGCTGTGCTTCCAGCGTCGGATGACTTTTGTCTCGGCTGATCTGCCGCCGGCGGTGTAACCCACTCGAACTGCAAAGGCTTTGCGGGATCGCCCTTCTCGTAGGCCAGCACCATATCGCAGGCCTCACGGGTGCCCAGCTCTACCATGGCGCGGCCACGCCGCTTGCTGTTCACCACCAGGGCAACCACTTCGCCGTACTTCTTGAGGTACTTGAGAAGCTGCTCCTGCGTGTAATCCTGACCGGGGTCGGCCTTCCACTTAATCTTGATGCGATGCTGGGCGGAATCAAATTTGGTTGGCTGTTGCTGCTGTTTTTGATGCTCCGCATGGCTGCGTTGCAGTTGCTCCCGCATCGCACGCTGTTCCTCCTCTAGCAGACGGGATCCCTCTCTCCTCAGGCGCTCGATCTGATCCTGCAGCAGCTCTTCATCGCTTCGGGCTACCGTGCTGTAGGGCTGGCTCTTCTGTAGCTTGTGTAGAGCCTCCCGCTCGCGTTGCTCCAGCTCCTGCTTCAGTTTCTGGCGTTTGCTGTCCAACTGCCGACTTCTCAGTTCCGCCGCCTTCTTGGCTTTCAGAACCTTGTCATAGGCAGCGCGGGCGGACTCATCTGTAAGTATCTCCAACGCCTTGGACAGCTCATGGAAGCGTTCGGCTGCTTGCGGATTGTCAGGATTCTTGTCCGGATGGCAATCGAGGGCTCGCTTACGATACGCCTTTCGTATTTCATTTTGTTCAGCTTCAATGGAAATGCCCAAGAGATCGTATAGATTGATGTCACTGAACTTTTTGCTGGCCATTTCGCTGGAACTATAACCAGTATTTAATTATTTCAAGTGATTTTCCAATACTGAGTGTATTTCACAACTGTGAGCCGGCTAACAATAAAATGGAATACAAAATGTTTCGATTGTTTACAAAACGACGCGTCGCTCGATCAGCTGTTCTGTGCAGCAAGTTGGCAGCCCCGCAACACAACGTGCCCTGTTGTTTGGCGTGGATTCTGGAGACTCATTGCAATCCGCCGCGGTATAGCCAATGATTTGACACAACCAGGAGCAAGGCGATAAGCACGTTATGAGCATCTATCACGACGAGGTGGAAATCGAGGACTTCGAGTACGACGAGGAGGAGGAGATGTACTATTATCCGTGTCCCTGCGGCGATCGATTTCAGATCTCCAAGGTAACTACGACGCGTATACGCAACATTTCCGGACTTGCCCGTAATTTGATAATTTTCCACTCCCACAGGAGGAGCTTATCGAGGGCGAGGAGGTGGCCACCTGTCCCAGCTGCTCATTGATAGTTAAGGTCATTTACGATCCGGTAAGTGACGCCATCCCGCCTTTTCGCTTGGAATATTCCACTGAGTTCTGATTTTTTAGGAAATGTTTAAGGCAGAGGAAGACGAGGAGACGACACTTAACGAGAAGCTTAGCGACCTAAAGCTTGAGAAGAACTAAAAGTACAGAGGCAATTGGTGTAATTAAATAGTTTTTATTTATATAATTTTATATATAGACTTTGTTTTAGTGTAAATAATACGTTGACTAGTAAAACAATGAGTTCAAATTATTTAAGCTCGCGGAAACATTACAATTTGTTATGGATTTCGTCGTTTGTGTGATACAAATGATTTATATATTGTACAATATCTAGAACTAAAAGCGATTGTAATTTAAAGATATATTGCACTGAGCACTTTTCGATTGACGGGTAAAGCGTATGCGTGCACCCATCAATATGATCCCGAAATTAAAATGAAGTTACAATTTCGAAACACAAATCAAAGGAACTATGGCAGACCAACTGGTGTGTGGAAATGTGAGTAGTACAGAGTTACATACAGTGGAAAGCGGCTGGAAAAATATATATATATATGTATATAACATACACAGTTGCCACTTTCTGCTTACGGCTTAGGAATTCGACTTTAACTTAGCTCGTAAATATTGTTGTTCGTGCAGCATCCAGAGTGCATGCCTGGGCTTGGACTTTCTTAGCTTTGGATTTCTTTTAGAGAGCGTGCTCGTTCAGCAAGTGAGCGGAGGAGAAGAGGCAACTGCTCCTCCAATTAGATGCTTTTAGATGCCGCCTGAAAGGGTTCTTCGAGTGTTGGATAGTCAGATACGACTACTGTTCCAGCCAAGATCCGGTGGCGGCATTAGGTGACTTAAGCTTTACGGATTGCAATTTCATTTAGTTTTTTACCCAATGTCAATGTTGATTTATACTCACCTTGATATTGAACTGCTTCAGAGTGCTTTCCAGGGCTATGGCATTGCCGGAAAAGTACGCTGCGATGGCATTATGCAGCAAGATCAGTTGCTTGTGCATCACTTTAATCTATTGGGAGTATTATTTTGGATATGATATCTTTGAGTTCCTTTAAATGAGCCAAGCTTACGCGATTTTCGTCGAGAAATTGCATTTTAACGGCCACGTCAGAGCGGAGTTTCTCGTACTGCTCCTTGTGCTGCGCATAGCTGCGCTGAGTCTCCTCCAGAGCTGTGGCCGAGGGCGTCAGTTCCGGCTTCGTGTTCTCCAAGTCCATGCGGTAGGCATCAAATTCGATTCTGAGGTACAGAGATTTATAGATACAGAGAGAGTCGGAGTTGTGTGCTAATTTGTGTGTGTGGAACTTGTTCTGTTAAATGCAACTGCTAAGCTTCCTTCCTACCTGGCTGTTTCATACTGTCGTATCGTCAGCAGAGTGTCGTCGATTGTCTTGTTGCACAACGTGTTCACCGACGATATGAAAAAGTTGAGCGCATTTAGCAGCAGTTCCCCATTCTTGGTCAGGTTACGCTGCGTCTCAGAGTTGCAGGTAAACTCCTTCTGCAGCTCTGGGTTCTTCTGCGCCAGATCGGCAAAGGAGTCGGCCAACGCGTGTTGGGTGACGACCACATGCTGGAAGTGCGAGCTGAAGGCTCGCGTTAGCCGCAAAATGGACAGATACTTGCGCTGCGTCTCGCGCAGCTGCTCGATCTGAGCCTCTAGCTCAGAGTCCACCGTGCGCTGTGACTTGCCCAGCTTCTCCAGCATTATCTGGCGCGTGCACTTGTATGTGGATATGCTCCAATTCTTGATGCTGTCGATCTTGGAAGCGCTTGTGCGTATGAGGCTGCCGCTCCCGCTATCCGTCGGGCTGAGGGAGCCATTGCCAGACGGCGGGCTTATCGGCGACATCGGTGTGGTGGGTGCTGTGTGGGGAATCGATTTATGCTATGAGTCAGATATGGTCTGGCCGGGAACACTGATATGCCAGTGGCTCACCTGAGTGGTTTCGCAATGGCAAACTATTTGGGGCACTGAAGGGGCCAACGCTGCCGCCGCTGCCGATAATACTGTGGCTACTGGAGCTCCCAATGACCATGCTGCCGCCTTCGGTGCCCGTGTGCACCGCTCCGCAGCTGTCGTTCAGCGAGGGCGCATCTTTCAGCATCTCGTGAATGCTGCGCTCGCGTTCCGCCATATCAATCGCTCTTTATCAGCTTCCAACGCTATTTAATTGCCTTCGGAAAATTGTTTTTCGTCGGGGTGTTTGTGTGTGTGTGTGCTCGGTGGGTGGAGAAGCGGACGGCGGCGCTTCAAGTTCAAAAAGAAATCAATGTTGCACTCTGTGTGAAGTAAGACGCCAATGTTGATAGCCAATTCTCCACGCCAGGCTTTTAGTTATCCCCAGAATCTCTAAAGATTTGTTTTAAACTTCATCAAACTGTCTTCCGCAAAGCTGAAAATAAATGTGACCGAGCGAAGAAAGTTTTTCAAATACCGCTTATAATGGCTTTGTAGCTTGTACTGCCAGCAGCCGGCTTTTAGTATTTTTATTAAAAAAAAAAGTTTATTTTCGTGTGATCTTGAAAGGGACACTAAAAGATTATAGTAGTTTAGCAGATAATAATATCCCTGGATAAGCGAAGCATTTAGTTTCATGATGAAAATTACTATGAACATTCGAAAATCAAACTACACTAAAAGAATACCAAAAAAACTAAAACTCTAGATTTTTTAGTTGACAGTCTGCGGTCGCATTGAAGTAAAAACAATTTTTGGGGATTTTCTGAAAACCCTTTGCTCCTTGATTTGTGTGGCGCTTGTTATTCAATTCCTTGTTCCGCCTTTACCTGTAAAAAATGGTTTATCTTAACATATTAATTGGACTAGGAGTCGTGTTGGTGTCGGCCGCCGCTGCTATCTACTTCAACCAACCCACTTACCAGCAAACGCCGCCTTATCGCCAACGCCGACGCAACGATGAGGACGATGATGCTGGGGAATTCCATAACACCAGAATATTGCGACGGAACTTAACCCAACAGCAGGAGCATTGCAGGTTCGTTCTTTTATCGGTACCATCCAACAGCAAATGAATACAGTCATTATTTAATTGCAGCCGGCCGGGCGACAAGTGCTCCGTGTGCCTTGAGGAGATGCTGGAGGAGGACATGCAGAGGATGGAGTGCAGGCATGCCCTGCACAAGGGGTGCTTCGAGGAATATCGATATATCCGCAGGAACTGTCCACTTTGCAGCAAGACTGTAAATCCCAGCTTGCCCGGCGACAATTGCCCTATCTGCCTGGACCCTCTGGATAGGAATGACATGGTGTTCCTTCGTTGCAATCACGCTATGCATCAAGATTGCTACGAGCAGTTAATCAAAAGTGGAGCTAAATTCTGCTCGCTCTGCAGGAAGGAATTGTAGGAGTTGCAGAACAGCATTCAACAGGAACAAGCACAAAGACAGCTTTAATCGAAAAACGGGCACAACAGTTATGAAACCCGAGAACCCTCGGCCTTGATCTTAATGGATCGACAAAAGCGATAAGCAATCAAAGAAAGTCTGTCTTAGCGTTTAATTGTCATACTCTTTTTTTCTAAATAAACAACACAAAATGCCTTAGAGAAGTGCCTCCAGTACGGGTGCCGCAATCAGACTCCAACTCTCCCGCCATCGCAGCTGCTGGAACTGTTGCAGGCTGCGCTGGAAGCCAGCTCTCGTCTCCAAAATGCTTGGGTTTTTCGGGAAGTGTTCGAACCAAATGCGTAGCTGTTCGGCCAGCTGAATGTGGTCTGCAAACACGAAGCCATTCTCGCCGTGCTTCACCAGCTCGTTCAAGCTGAAAAGAAGTTTAAGAGGTAAGAGCAAGGTGTGAATTGTGTGTATATGACATATGAATATAATCTTATGTAACTTTCATTTCTGACTTATCTTTACAAATATTTGATTATTTGCTCTATGAATGATAAGGTGCATAAAATAGAACTTACCATTTGAAATCATAGGCGCATACGGGCAGGCCGCTGCCGAACATGTCCACCACCTTCATGGGTAGATCAAGGCCACTGGTGCTCCAGTGAAGGCACACTCCGAGATCGGCGCTGGCCAGCACAGTGGGATAATCTTCGATCTCCAGCCATGGCGTGATCACAGAAACCTTTTTCCACTGCAACCGGGCGATCTCCGCAGCATAATGCTCTTTTTGCGGCCCCTTCCCTGTAATGATGCACAGCAGCGAGGGATACACTAATGGCTCGGCTTGCGCGGTCTCTTCGTACGATTGCAGGGCCTTCAAGAGGATCCCAAAGTCCTCGTCCTGCGTCCAGCTTGTGCTGGATACTAAAACAGCATGGCGCTGAGGCTTGTACTGCACGCCACCATTGGCCATCTTTTGGGTAAGTGCTGTGGCCTCCACCACATCGGACTGGTTGTTACCCGTGCTTTGGAATTGCGGATAATCTTTGGCGAGCTTTAGAAACAGCTCGTGCTTCTGGGGCAGATCAATGGGGTGGAACTGCGTGGGCGCTCGATCATAGAGAACGTTTACGGGCCTAAAATAATATAGAGAATATAAAGAGGTTTTCAACTATGTGCGAATTAACAATACTTACCCAATCTTCCAGTTTTCCTGGAGGTCCTCCTGCATCGCCCGCGTCACACAGAAGTGAGTGTGCGCTTTGGAGCCAAAGTAGCGCTCTAGACGCCGCACCAATCGGATCAGTGGACTTTTCTCTCCGCCAGACATGCCCAGGGCCAGCACTGTGTAGGTGTAGTTGTGCCAATCAATGGCCAGCTTAGTCCGTGTGAGGGCGCAGTACAGGTAGCACACAATCAGCGTGGGAATGCCGGGCGGATTCTGGACGAGCAGGAAGCTGGGTCTCCGTATGGAGATAAGGGCCATCAAGAGACTGAGCGTCTGCCAAAAGGCCTTAAAGAGCAGCCGCAGCTTGGGCGTGAGGTTGGTCACTGGCACTGCAGTCAGTTCGTGGATGCGGCACCGTGGCTGCTGAGTAAGTGCCTCCAGAGGCCTCGTCTCCAGGTAGCCGATGATGTCCACGTGGTAGTTCTCCTCCAGCAGGCTCTGGGCATGGTACTGCATACGTGGGCTACGCCCAATGTCGCCCAGCACTATGACGCAAGCGTTTCGCTTCTTCGGCGGCACTTCCGTCATCGCGGAGCAAGGGAAATAGGAAATGATCAATATCTAAAGGAAATTGCGCGTTTTGTTTGTGGTTGAAATCCTGCGGAACAGTGTGGCTGCTCTCCCGTTGAAAAATCAGTGTTACCGTGAATTGGCCGATTAAAAATACCATACAGGGTAGTAGTTGCCTTTTTTTTAATTCTACTATTAAATACTAATAATAAACCCTACGATCCAAAATATACACGAAATTAATTAATTTTAACATTTTCTTGCCGCCCAGAAAACTGATCCATGTGTGCAATGATCCTTCAATAGGCTATAATCCAATATACGATTAATTTATTTCGCTTGCAAAATCACAGCTGTTTAATATTTTGATCCGGCAACGCTTTACTTTCTTCTTTCTCTTTTCGCTGATTTGATTATTATATTATTTTTTATGTGGAGTTTTTTTTTATTTTAATTTAATTAAGACGGCAGAAAAAGCTATTGTTTTTATTATTATAAACAAAACAAACCTAAAACCTGTAATTAATGATAAGTATTTATTTAAAATGTAATTGTTGGAATCGACGTGTTTATTCCATAATAAATAATTAAGTTTCTTGATCCGCCAAATAAGCTATATCTAGCCAGAAATAAGCGAAAGTGGCAGCACTGCCCATATAGATACTCCCCAAATCACTCAACACAGTCACATTATTTTCACCGTTCAACGAAGTCGGATGTGTTCGGGCGCGAGTTCGGCACTTTTTGAACGGGACTTCAGCTCTGCGTGTGTGTGCGCGTGTGCGTCGTTGTGTGTGTTTACCCGCAAAGCTATGCTACAATATTTGAAGCAACTAATGCTGATATAGAGGAAAAATTATCAAATTAAATGCAAAGTGAGACAAAAGCAAAGCAAAAACCAAAGTAAAGTCTGCCATATTGTGGTTTACCGTTTATCAGACAGTCGCAAATACGCCGGTAAGTGAAATCAGGATATTGACTCGCGACTGCCGTTATTTTACGCATATTCGCCGGCAAAACAAGCCGGTTTTCCACCCCCCATTTGGCGCCTGTCTACGCGGGAGTGTGTGTGTGTGTGCGTGTGCTTTGGGGGTGTGTATGGCTGTATGTGGGGTTATTTCAAACCATCGAATTTCGATGAAGTGGAAATTCAAATTTTTGTACACCGAGCCCTACTACTTGCCGTACATCCTTTCGCGGGTTTTTGTTTCTTTATTTATGCATCTTTATTCGCTTCGGATTATTCCTGTGCCATCATAAAATTTGTCATTTGTCTGGCTGTGCAGACGTACAGTGAAGCCTTCGGAGAGGAAAGGCTTTTTTATGACATTAATAAGATTCCTTAAATCACGAAGAGTTACTCACCTACTGCAAATCTTAAAATATTGAGAGGTTTCTAGGGAACCAAAATTCAAAATACAAAAATACTTTAAAATTAATCCCTTTAAATCTACAATCAATTTAAAATATTTATAATAAAAAAAGGTTTACAATATACACTAAACTTAACTTTGATTAGTTCATGCTATTGAGTATGGACTGTAACTATGCTCGTGTGCTACACGTACTTTATCCCATTAGGCCCGTCTGCAATTCCTGATCCAGACGCGATACTCTCTCGCTCGTTGTCCTTCCGCTTCCTGCGTCCTTCGCAAAAGGCAAATAGCCAAACTGCCACCCCCAAGTGGGCGGTGGGTGGTTGCACGGCTTTCCTCTAGGTGGGTGCTTCTCAGGGGTGAGTCCCTGGCTGCTGTTGCTGCTGCTGCTCTTGTCTCGTGGGGTTGGCCTGGCCGTGCCGCAAGCTTCCACTGTTGATTTTTGATTTCTGTGCGGCTTTTATTGCGCTGCAGAAGTTTTTGCACTCCTGTCGCCTTTATTTTTTGCAGCTCTCTAGTTTCTTTCCCATTCCTTATTGCAGCCATTTGGCATAGAAAAGTTGTCGTCGGTCTAGACATGGGTCGTCTAAAGGATATTTTTTTAAAATATTTTAACCAGATTTGTCCTTTGGAATTATGTATGAAGTGATTCGTAATGAAAATTAGGAGATTTAGAAATTTAAAAACTGAATTAAACTCAAACTATGTCAAGAAAAGCTTTATAGACCTTTTCATAATTCGATTATTCGATTTAACAAATTAAATATAAAATAAGTAAAATGCAAAATAATATGTAAAGGGTGAAAATAAATTTATATTAAATTTCATGCTTGGTTTTAAATACCTTAATCTATGCTTATTTTGCAATATACTAATCATGTTGACCTTTTTTACTTTATTGTTTTTTATAATAAAGACTGGATTTTTATAAATTGAAAACCAATTCTGCTATAATGAAACTCAAAAGCTAAATTTACCTTATCCAATTAAAATGATTTTCGTTTTTGAAGCAATTTGATATTTCATACTAATAGTTACTACAAGGATTTAACCAATTATTTAAATTGTCTATTTTCACTTTGCTGTATATATATTTTCTTCCTGCCATAAATGGTTTTTGCTTTAGTAGGATTAAATTGTATTTTATGTTTTATTTATATATATAATAAAATTTATTTTTGGCAAAGGACTACAAATGCAATTTATCTGTTTCAGCTACATACGTCGGCAAAACATATCAAGGAAGGGATTAATTTTGACTGAAAAATTCACTTTAAACATCGCTCGAGATAGAATAACTTTGACAGGTAAGATACCCCAGCAAAGGGCCATGTGTGTGTGTGTAGGGTGGAGGTGGGTGATGATGATGCAAGGTGGCTGACTCACCTGAGTCAGGCATCCGAGGCAGTCAACCTGAATAGTCGATTATCGCTGCATCTAATTTGTATGCCAAAGCCGTCTAGCTGCTGCCCGCATGCATCCCGCTCCAAAAGGCAAAGGCGCGAGAGCTATTTGAATAATTCGCATCATGGACTCTCTCTTGGATGCCTGGAATAGAGTCTCCAAATGGGGCAGAACATAGAGGATTCCGATGGGCACCGGTGCCGCATGCAAGCAGCTGCGTGAGCTTGTAAAATGCCAGCAGCACACAATGCCAAAATATCCTAAACAAACTTCCGCTTCGCAGACGCCCCGACGGAGTAGAGGTGGCTATAATTAAAATCTGGTCGGAGAGACAACGACAAGTGCATCGCATCCAGGCCCCTTTTCCTATTTTCGTTGGTCCCTCCTCTGGCCCTCTTTTTGATTTACAGTCCAAACACTGAAAAGTGCTGACAAAGAAGATGTTTCTAATTAAAAACAGTGTCGATTTCTAAAATTAAAAATCATAAATAATACAAAAATAATAGGTAAATCATGAATATTGATAATGCTTAAACATACATTCTTTACTTTACTTTAGTTCTTCTTAATGATGCTTTCTTAATTATTTATTTTTAATTATTTCAAAGTTTAATTTTATATATGTTTAAGCACATTTCATTTCACATTTTGTTAGCCATTAGTTTTTCTTTCAGTGCAGTACACAAGATCTTTGGCTGGGCACTGATCGACATCGAGTGTCTTTGACATTTTCGAAATCACAAAGACAAAGTACTTTTACAGAGAAACTAGCGGCGGAAGTGTTCATTCTCTTTGTCTAACTCTCTGCCTGCTCCTCAATTTGTAGGGAATGGAGGGAGGTGGTGTAGGGTAATTGGGTTCAATCGCCACACGTGACAAACATGTGGAACAACTTGAACTGGTCTGGACTAGCTCTGTATCAAGAGGCAAATTACGCGGTCCAATTCAGGTAAAAAGAGACTGAGAAGTTACCACGGGTCAATGACTACAGTTTTTTTTCTTAGTTTAGCACTTTTTTATTTAGAGCAAAAACTAAAATAAAGATGATCTCTTGGAGGGTTTTTTTTTTATAAAACTTACATTTTTAAAGTAATTTTTTTGGATGGAAACAGAACTATTTGTAAGCATAGGGCTTGTCTTCGAAAAGGATTAAGATTAATGATTAAAAATTTTAAAGAAATATATTTATAATTAAAATAATAAAAATAAAAAATAAAATAAAATAATAAAAATATATAATTAAAATAATCCCACTTTTCTTAAATTTAAATGTAGTATACATTTATTATACAGTCATTACTCTTTTAAAAATATTTAAATCTTAATGGAAGTTTTTTCTACCATTTTAGAATTTTTTATATAAAATAGAATTTCCTCGGAATGATTGCAATGAAATCATAAATAGTTCCTATAAATATTTCATAAATTTAAATATACATTTTAAAGCCAGAAAAAAACTAAATCCAATTTCCGTGTAGTCAAAGGAACTGGGTAGTTCCGTTCAACTGTCGGATGCAGATGCAAGTTGCCAGCGGGTCATTTGCGTTGAAGCTTTTATCCCCGAACGTGGACACGCGAATGACTGACTGACTGAATGACTGGCAGGTTGACTGACTAACTGACCGAATGAATGACTGACTGACTAACTGACTGACTGACTGACTGGCATGCAACAATTGCAAAGAGAAAGGTGCGAGTCCGAGGAACTGATAAGCTTCTCTTCTTCCTTGGCTCTGCTCTCCAAATTTATGCACTTCCCCATCCCCAAAATGGAGAGAGGAGGGTCAGAGTGGGAGAGGGGGGTCCGAGTGGGAGAGGGGGGATAGCTGGGGTGAGTGCCTTGGGCAGCGACAACTGCAAAGTGTTATTAAGTTGAGTTTGTTGTTGTTCTTGTTGTCACTATTGTTATGGTGTTGTTGTAGTTGTTGCTTTTGTTATGCTTTGGCATTTCAGTTGGTCTCTTGTTGGGAGTACAGTGAAATATCTTTAATGGGAATTTATTGAATTGTTTTCTATAACCTTTAATACTTTCTTTAGGGGAAATAGTTTTGTTTTTATGATAATATATAAATATAAATATAAATACATATAAATAATAAATATATATCTTATATATTGATAAAGAGTATTGACAAGTTTTTGGTTTAAAATTAATATAAATATTTTCATATGTAAGCAGATATTCTTACTGCTGTCTTGATTTTTGTGGCTTAGTCTCGAAGAAACCTTGTTTATTTTTACTATATTTAGGTTTTATTAAATCTCCTATTGTAAATAAAGAAATATGTCTTATTTGACTTACAAAAAGAACAATATTTTGCTTTTATAGTGAATATATATTACCTGGTACCTCATTTCTTGTAAATTTTACCCCAAAGTGCCTTGAACAGTACCCACTGTCATTGCTCTCGCACTCTCATTGTTGGCACTTGCTTTTGCTTGTTGCCTTTGGGCCATATTTTGCACCTTTTACGTTTATTGTGACATTATGCTTTGAATAATGGACGACACAGTAACAACAACAATAGCAACAACACCAACAACAAGAGGGCAAACACTTTTTAGAACACAAACCAAATAAACGATAGAATGGTTCCAAGGGGGGTGGGGGAGGGGATGTGATGTTGGGTTAGTGCCTGCCACTTTCCTTGTGTATTTTGCATCCTTTTTACATTATGTTTTGATTAAAAACTGAGCCACAGCTTCGCCGCAGCAGCAGCTGGAACAAAAAAAAAAAAAACAACTGAACACACAGAGAGAGAAAAATCACAAGAAGCGCAAACAAAAGCGAAGAGCAGAGCAAAGGCAAACAGGACATAACAAAGTGCGGTGTGTACCGAGTCCAGTCAAGGCAAGTGGACGTGGCAGGTGGGTGGGAGCGGGAGCGGGATGGGGAGGGGGTGTGGTAAATAGCCTTCACTGTGGCGGTCACTTTCAGGACATCCGAGCATAAAATAAACATAAAAAAATGCAAGGAAAAATTTATGTTTGCGGCTAAGTGAAAAAATGCTGATTAAAATGGCCAAGACCAAGATCCCCAGCAAATTTATTAAAAAAAAAAACTAGGAAAAACCAAAGCAAAAGATGACATAACATGAATTAAAATAATAATCAGCCATCTTCCTGCTTTTAATATCTTCATAGCTGTGCAAATATCTCGAATGTCGTTTTCAAATATCTCAAATGTCAGCATCTGCGCCCCGGTTTTTGTTTGAATTTAATTAAAATTTTCTTTGCGGCATCCAGTCGGAGTATTAGCATTGGAAAATAGGAAAAGGTAAAAGTAGAATTAGAAAATCATCATATTTTTGTGTTGTTTAAAAGCTTTGCTTGTTTTTCTTTAAAGTTTAAAGTTTACGAAAAAAGAACATAAACTTTTGCCATCAGTATTCCCTCATTTGCTGTTAAAAAATCCTCATAATTTTGTTAATTTGATACATCGTAAATGTACCAGCCAGAATCGAATTTTAATGAGATGCTCATGTTGGCCATGTTTAACATCATTTCTTTTGCTGGCCACAAAAATGTTAATTTTTCATATTCAGCTTTGAAAACCAATTAAAATTATCCCTAAAAAAACAGTGAAGGGAACAGAATGTTACATGGGACCAGGGATATATAGGATACAGGACACGCTTCCCTCAGCTGAGCTGGTGGCTTGTCACACCTCCCAAAAAAAAGGCAGGGGAGAAAACCCGAACCGAAAAGAGCACCGAAACCCGACGCCTCTGCAGTTGGTAAACTCTGTTGCCGCAGAGTGAGTGAGTCATTATGGTGGCAACAGGGGGGTTTTTTGTGGCCAAAAGGGAGTCAGAAGTGGTCGAGGGATGGGAGGGGTTTGGCGTTGGCGCCTGTCAGTTTTCGCAAATGAGGTTGAGCCATCTTTCCAGCCAGGATGTGTGTAAGCCTGCGTGTGTGTCTGTGTTTACGGGGCAGCTGCATTGTCGGGCAATTAAGCGCGGTCCCAGCCTGAAACTAAGAAACTTCCACTGAGAAAAAAAAGTCCACCTAAGCCAGGATTATAACAGATGATTAAATGTAAAAGAACAAAAATATCCTTACAGATAAACTCGTTTTCCTCCAGCTAAGTCTTAGTTTTTGTTCAGTTAATATGATACCGGAACTCTTGTAAATGAAGTATAAGTTTTTAGTTTTTAACTCGTAAGTTAGCTTATACTTTAAATTTACCTTTTAATTAACTTCTTAATTAACTTGTCTTATAATTTTAGAACTGTTTTGTAAGAAAACATAAGGATGCTTGTCCTTCCTCTCTCTTTATTAGATCAACTTGTTTAAATTAACAATATAAATGAACAAATATTTTTCATTTCGGGGTAGGGTGGAGAGGTGCCAAGGCTGTGATGGGTCTATTCCAGGTACCTTTCACCTCTCACCACCCCCTCTACCTCTGTCATCATCCCTCTCCTGCCTGCCACCTGGCTCTCTTTTTCACTTTGCCATCTTCAATTTGGGTTCATTGTCGTTTCTCGTGGCTTGTAATCAAACAAATGACTGCGCCCAGGTGTTGCCGCTGGCGTAGCCACACCCACCCAATACGCACACCCACAACCAGAAAACACACCCCCACGTCCTGCCCTCCTCTTGGAACTCCATTCTCCATTTTCCAACCAATTTTGGAGGCATCCTTGTGGCCTTAAAGCTTCTTTCATTGCCTGTCAGTTGCCGGGGTTTTTTGGCTTGGTATCGCTACTAACGTGCGTTTGCCTTCATTGTTGGCTTTTGGCAGGCTCTTCTCGGTCGGTCCTCCTTGTCCTCCTCCTCCTCCTTTCACCCATGTGTCCCTCGTCCTTGCCGTATTCCCTAGTCGTTGGTGCCTCTTTACTTTTAATGATGCGCAATTTGTCGTTAATTTTTTGGGCATTTTGTTTTATGTTTTATTTTT